GATCCATCATCAACAAACAAGACGAACACGGACCATTTTACATTGTAGATTTGGGGGTTCTTGTCAGCCTCATGGAAAAATGGAGCCATTGCCTTCCCAATATTCAGCCCTTCTTTGCTGTCAAGTGTAACCATGAGCCTGCATTCATTGCTGCATTGGCAACACTTGGTGCAAGTTTTGATTGCGCCAGCAAGGCCGAGATTGAGGCCGTCTTTGCTCATGGCGTAAGCCCCACGAGAATTGTTTATGCCAATCCATGCAAGGGTGAGTACCATTTAAGGTACGCAGCTGGAGTCGGGGTTGATCTTGTGACCTTCGACTCCATGGACGAAGTTGATAAGATCAAAAGGTGCCACCCGAAATGTTCCTTGTTGCTTCGGATTGCTGTACCAAATGACAAGAGCTCGTGGCGTTCATTCGGGGCCAAATTTGGTGCGTTGCCTGAGGAGGTTGCACCGCTTCTTAGACACGCACACAAATTAGGGTTAAGAGTGGTGGGAATTTCATTCCACGTGGGATCGAAAGCGTCTGAATCTCAAGTGTACCGCAGAGCAATAGCTGCAGCTAGAGCTGCATTTGATGTGGCTGATGAGCTCAAAATGCCCAAAATGCATGTGCTTGATATTGGTGGTGGGTTCAAAGCAAATCAACTGTTTGATGAAATAGCCGAGACCATAAATGTTGCCATCAAAGACTACTTTTCTGATCATCAGTCAGATTCTGATCTGACGGTGATGGCTGAGCCAGGAAGGTTCTTTGCTGAAACTGCATTCACAATGGTTGCAAATGTGATGGGGAAGAGAGTGAGGGGAGAGAAAAGAGAGTACTGGATTAGTGATGGAATTTATGGGTCATTTAATCTTCCAGCATACGACAAATCCTCTATGCAAATCTCACCGCTCCAAATTCTAAGTCCTCACCAAAATCAACTGACATATTCATCAACGGTTTTTGGGCCGACTTGTGATTCATTGGACACAGTTGTTGCTGACTGCAAACTGCCTGAATTAAAGCTGAATGATTATCTTGTGTTCCACAACATGGGCGCCTACACAACTTCTGCTGGAACCAACTTCAATGGCTTCTGCATTTCTGCTATTCCCACGTACCTGGCATTTACAAGTGCTAATAATTAAACTAGATTTTGTTGGGGTTGGTATGGCTGATGCTATTTTCCTGTAATTTCTTTTTTTCTCTCTGCTCTATTAAAAAAGAAAAAAATTGTTAGAAGTGAGGAGTGGAAAATAAGTTTTTTGGACCGCTACAAAAACAAAAAATTAGAGTATTGTGTGATCTTTCTCACTTTTTTACTTTAAATCTTGTTTTGTTGTTCCGTGTCTCAGAAAAATTATTATAATATGGGTAGATGACATAGTTCATATTTCCTTTTTTAGTATAAATAAATATCTACTTGTATTATAATGCTTAGACAACTTATATCACGTGTTTGTATTCTAGTACCATCTATATACTCACTTAATTTGTTGCACTACTCTAATTAATTTACCTTAATTGTGTGATCTTTCTTACATTTTTAGGCAAATGCTCTTATGTACCCCTGAGATAGGGATTGTTGACATTCACTATTTTATTTTAAATTTTTATCCGTAGTTCCTTAATTGTATGATCAACAATCTTTATATAACCTTTATTGCAAAATATTACTTCAAATCCTGTTCTGCGTACTTTAATTCATAGCATATCACGTTCAAGTTGGACAGGAAAATTGGTGGACTCGAATGGCCCAACCCACTTGCCCACAAAGAGGGCGACAACCAAGGCCCGCCCAAAATCAAATGTGTCGATCCCTATCACCTACCTTAGAGCATTTCTACTCATTTGTCATGGTAAAAGATAAGAGCAAACAATGATTGTTACTATTCACGTTAATAATGCCTGCCCTAGCAATTGTTTTTTGCTTTCCCACCCATTGACATGGCAACTCAAGGGCGATCACTCTTCATATGAGAATAATTTTATTTATACTTATGAGATTAATTTTATTTATACTTATGATATGAGAAGAAGAATTTGTGTGATGTTTTGGTGTGGAAAGTAAAGAATATTGCTAGGTATTTATTAAAAAAAATTCGAAATTTTTTGGTTTTTTACAGAAATTTTTTTTTGGTTCAATTTTTATTACACAAAGGTAGCCGTTGGATGAAGAAAAAAAATTGCATCGGACCCCAAGAGCCACCAATGGCGTACATGACTTTTTGTCTTGTTTTCGTAGGCGTGATGCGCGCCTATTGTGTGGCTTAGGGGGCAGTCTTAAAAAAAATTAAATTTGTTCGCTAATGCCAAGATGACGTCAGTGCTGGTGTCAACACCTTCAGGCAGCAGCTCAGGCTAATCTTGCCTTGGGCTTGCCCAGTCTTGGTGGACCCCACCATCTGCCCAGGCTGGAAATGCTTGGTGGGATGGGTTTTACCAACCCAGAGGGCCTTTTGCCATGGCAAAACCCACTAGTGGTAGTGCTATTAGACCAACTCTCTCCAACCCAAGGTCTTAAACCCAAATAGATTTAGTATGGAGGCTATAATGAAGGGTAAAAGTGAGGGATTATATTAATGGATTCCTTAATAGCTGTCCGATTTATTAGACTAAACCCCCTCATTTTTGTAGCCCCTCAATATAGTCTCTCATTATAGATGCTAGATTTAGTGTTACTTTTGTTACCCTCTTGAGTTTGGTGCTTTGGATGTCTAATGAAGTTGTTCTTTGATTAAAAAAGAATAAATTAATGGCTCAAATTTAAATCCAATGATCAAAATAATAAAATAATCAACCAAAATCCATTTCTGTCTTTTTTTTTTTTTTTTTTTTTTTTTTTTTTTTTTTTACAGCAATATTAAGGGGATGTCAATATTTCCCATGGGTTAGGTTTTCGTGGGGCTTGCGAATTGGTAGAGTATGAGGGATAAAAATTTGGCACGAGTACAAATTTGCGAAATTTTTCGGATATGGTGTTCGAGGAGAGGCGATGATGCTATTTTAATAATGTACCCGTATCTTCTCTGTTTAGAGCATATATGTGTGTATGTTGTACTATTAATGTTATAGTTTTTTTGTAGGTATTAATTTGGCTAAGTAATTCTTATTTGATATTAATGAAAATAGAATTAATTTACACTAGATTCATAACACTTCTTTCTTGTTTAACAAAGTTTTTTTTAATGATACTTTTGTAATAGGGTGGGTAGGGAAACCGATTCCCAACAAATGAGAGAATTGGGAATCCGCGATTTGAATATTGTGTGCGGGGATGGAGACGGGGATGAGGGAAAGGCAAACCCAACCCTGATTCACTACATTACCATCCCTAGTTATATTGAGAAAGGGAAGATTTTGAACACGCATGAATAACTCCTCTAAACCACTTGAGCCACAAGTTCCTTTTCATTCACTTCTTTCGACTTCATATTTTGTACTCATTTCATGACTTAACTTGTTTTTATGCAATAAATTTAATTTTTTAAAATAGTAATTTTTAGGTTAAAATTTTTGGAAAATAAATTACAATGAAAAAATAACTTCTTCTTTCTTTTTTTTCCAAAATGAAAAATATCTTCTTTGTTCACCCAATTACGGCCTCAAAATTGCACAGTTAAAAAACTACACCGCAGTGAAATTTGTTCCAAACTACATACACCAGAACGTAATTTCGCCTTTTCTTATGCTTGAGAGGGTGCCCGGAAGAAAGGTTTGGGTGTGTGTGGAAACGTAACCCCCGTTCTTGCGGCATTGTGCAGTCAGTCAGTGTGTGGAATTTCGGACCCAAGACTCTCCCGGGTTTTTCTTTATTTCCCGTTTCAAAAGGCAGAATGTAAGGTGCTCTCAGCCGTTGGATGAGACGTTTCCTCAAGATGCGCGTTGAATTCCAACGACTTTTAAACGCCCTTCAATTTTGCAACTGCCTCTTGACATTGTCTGCTCTTCTCAAAGGGACAAGTCTTACCCAGAAACAGAGCCTCAAAGCCGAGTTCGAGGAAGCAAGCGCCCTGGTTTCAATTTCTTATACGGTTATTCATTAAATTTTTCATTTTTTCACTCTTTTTTTTTCGATTTATATTTTTTTGTTTAAGAAAACCCAATAGTTTTATAACTCTGTGTTTCTGAATTTGTTGCAGACTTGTTGCATTTTCTTCTTTCCCAACATGGCAGGAAGAAAGTGAGGTGATGTTAAATTTGATTGGATATGTTGCATGAACCATGTGTTTTGATCTTGTTTGTGACCTTGTTTGGATTTAAAAACCAAATGTTAATTGTGTAGAAAACGTAGGGCATCTTGGGTATTGTTTTTGTATTTTTTTTCTTTAATTAAGTAAATATGGTAAGATGGAGATGAGAAGGAGAAGAGAGTGATAAGGGATGTGAAGGAGAAAGGAGGAAGAACACACAACTTTATGATGGTTTTCAAGATCAACAAGAAAATGAAAACAGTTTTGTAAGGTTTTCAATTACATTGGTTTTCTTTTCGTATGTATCGAAATTAAAATTTTTGAAGGGTAAGTGTGTGTGGTTCTCTTGTTCTGTTGTTCATACCAGGAAATCATGCTACATAAAGAATCCTTTGTTATCTTCATTTTATGGCCTTCTTCACTTATATTGTTGTAAGTTTCAATTGGTCCACTAAGTTTTGAAATGTGTGGTATAATGGAAGTTATTTACTGCTTTTATCACCTGATTTTGTGCTGCATATCTGTTTGTGGTTAGATATAGAGTGATTGCTAAGGACTGTAGTGTCTTATTATTAAAGACCATTGAATTGTTTCATTTTTCTTGTAAAACAGGCGCTAATTGGATCTTGATGTAAGTGTACTCCATAGAAAAAGATACATTAACATCACCATAACTAGATTGGAGAATTGGTGCTTGTGACTCGAGTGTAGAGGACAAAAGTGGCCAGAGTTTCTGATTTCTTCAGCACAAGTTAGAGGTGTTATCTGTTGCCTCTTGAAACCATTGAGTGAGTAGGTTGAGTTCAAAACATAAGCAGAATGGACTTCAGTGATGGGTTTGTATCAAAAGAGCATCGGGAGCTTCACCGATCTGCTTCAGAAAGTGCAGATCCATTATCTGTGTCTCCACTGCACATTTCTCCAAGGTCTCCAAGGTCTCCAAAGTCCCCCAAAACTCCCAAGTCCCCCAAGTCTCCAAGGTCTCCAAAGATGCAGGGCAAACATGGAAAAGGAAGCTCACTCAAGCAAGATAGACATTCACATTCTTCAGTAGATGGGCGTCCTAAAAAGGGTAAGCTACACTTATGACATCTTCTTACGGATTCTGCTTGAAGATATTTTTTGGAATAATATAATGGCTAGGAAACGGCAATAAAGAACTTCGATTTTAGGCACCATCTTGTACTGTAAAGCTTACCACAAGTAAGGTCTGTCTTTGGACTCAAAGGCTTCTTCACAATTCATATATACTATGACCAGACATGTGGTACAGTAATTCCCAAAATCCAGCAGAAAATGAATATAATTACATAACTACATAACGTATTTTCCAATGAAAATTTGTTCATTTTTAGAGCTTGATTTGATAAATCCACAGATCTAGAACTTCATTCCAGAGAATTGAACCTTCTCAAACTGTTTCTTCTCAAGAACCAAAAAGATTTGTGCCAAACTAACAGATGCCAAGAAAAGAAAAATATCTACATGTATAGTTGAAATGGCGCTAGTAGATTAAATTTAGATGGAGAAAACTTGAGGCATCTACGGTTATTTGTTGGTTGATAACAAAATGCTTCTAATGGTATAATCAATAACTTGAAGGTACTCTGATTTTTTTTTGGCTCCAGTGGTGGTTTTCCACTCTTAATTTTATGAAGACAATCATTATGCAGGTGGTTCTGGGGGTAAAGGCACCTGGGGAGGGTTACTTGATACAGATGAAAATGACGTTCTTGATCCAAATGACCCGAACTTCAATAGCAGTGAGGTAAGTAATTGAACAATTCACCTTCATATTTAACTCTGCCTGGATCTTGATAAGAAACCAACAGATGCAATGCTCATTTTAATTGCTATATTCCATTGTAGTTTCTTTCGTTGTGTTTACCAATTATTTGTGTTGGTTGCAGGAATGTGAAAATCCAATTGCGAAAAAAGAGAGGGTCGACTTTGAGGAGTACAAAAAGAAAGCTACAATAATAGTGGAGGAATACTTTACTACTGATGACATTACCTCAACTGCAAATGAATTTAGAGAACTTGATAGACCTAACTACAGCTATTATTTTGTAAAGAAGCTTGTCTCTAAGGCTATGGATAGGCATGACAAAGAGAAAGAAATGGCTGCTGTTCTTTTATCTGCACTATATGCTGAATTCATTGATCCCCCACAAGTTTACAAAGGTTTCTGTAAACTGGTAGAATGCGCAGATGACTTGATTGTGGATATCCCAGATACCGTTGATGTTCTTGCACTGTTCATTGCCCGGGCTGTGGTTGATGACATACTTCCTCCTGCATTCCTAAAAAAAGAAATGAATTACTTACCTAAAGATTCAAAGGGTGTTGAAGTCTTGAAAAGAGCTGAGAAGGGCTACTTAGCAGCACCACTCCATGCAGAAATCATTGAGCGGCGATGGGGAGGTAGCAAAAAACGGACCGTTGAGGATGTTAAGGCTAAGATAAACAATTTGTTGATAGAGTATATAGTGAGCGGTGAAAAGAAAGAGGCATGCAGATGCATCAAGGATTTGAAAGTTCCTTTTTTCCATCATGAAATAGTTAAACGAGCTCTTGTAATGGCAATGGAGAGGCGGCAAGCTGAAGGCCGGCTACTAGATCTGCTGAAAGAAGCTGCTGAAGAGGGTTTAATTAACTCAAGCCAAATATCAAAAGGCTTTGGTAGGATGATTGACTATGTTGATGACTTATCACTGGACATACCAAATGCGCGGGGAATTTTGCAGTCATTGATCTCTAAGGCAGCATCAGAAGGCTGGTTGTGTGCTTCATCTTTGAAGTCACTCTCTTTGGAGCCAAAAAAGCGATCATTAGAAGATAGTGTTGCCAGAATTTTCAAGACAAAGGCTCAATCCATTATTCAAGAGTACTTCTTGTCTGGGGATATCTTAGAGGTAAACAGTTGTCTAGAGTCAGAGAACAGTACTTATTCGTCTGAGCTGAATGCTATCTTTGTTAAAAGATTGATAACTCTAGCAATGGATCGGAAGAATAGGGAGAAGGAAATGGCATCAGTCTTACTGTCATCCCTGTGTTTTCCAGCTGATGATGTTGTGAACGGGTTTGTAATGCTGATAGAATCAGCAGATGACACAGCTCTGGATAATCCAGTTGTGGTTGAGGATCTTGCAATGTTTCTTGCTAGATCTGTGGTGGATGAAGTCCTAGCCCCACAACACTTGGAAGAGATTGGAAGTCAGTGCGCCGCACCGGAGTCCATTGGGAGCAAGGTTCTTAAAATGGCAAAGTCATTGCTAAAGGCTCGACTTTCTGGGGAGCGGATACTAAGGTGTTGGGGTGGTGGAGGAAGCAGCAGACCTGGATGGGCAGTTGAGGACGTTAAGGACAAGATTGGAAAGTTGCTAGAAGAGTTTGAGTCTGGAGGGGGTGTCAGAGAGGCTTGCCGGTGCATGAAGGAATTAGGCATGCCATTTTTCAATCATGAGGTTGTCAAAAAAGCTTTGGTGGCAATTATGGAAAAGAAGAATGAAAGACTTTGGATTTTGCTTGAGGAATGTTTTGGCTCTGGACTCATAACAATGAACCAAATGACAAAGGGGTTTGGGAGAGTAGCAGAGTCTCTAGAAGACTTGGCTTTGGATGTCCCTGATGTCCAGAAACAGTTTACCCGTTACGTTGAGCGAGCAAAGAATGCAGGGTGGTTGGATTCCTCATTTAGTTTCAGCAAATCAGGACACGTTACGGAGAATGGCACTGGTTAACTTGTTAACTTGTATTCCAATTTGCCTGATCGTAAATGCGATGTGAGTGCAGAAGCACGAACACATGTATGCAAACAAGCATATTCAGAAGTGCAATACAACACACATTGTAAACTTCTGGTTACATTTTCCTTGAGCATCTTATTTAGCTCCTTTCTTCCTTTCTGCCTCATATCAATCGACAACTGATAGATTTTCTTCTTTTTAGATGAATGAGAAATACTTTTTCAAACGGATTGCAGAATAAGCAGACCGAACTGCATGAAACTGCACAAAAACATAGCAGGTTTTCATGAACTAGAAACACAGCAGAAACTCATTAACAAGTCAATTACAAGCTGAGCAACTCCAAGCCTCACAAGCTTTCCTATTCTCAGCACTATTCTTTACATTATGAAGAGCCGGAGGCTGGAATTAGAATTATCTCATTTCTTGTATGATACGCAGAATGAATCGATCTTTTGTGAGGAATTTATTCAAATGTAGCCAGAGAATCTCTGATTAATTGTATTCATATTTCATTGAAATTATAGCTACCAGATTTAGAGACCCTCTTGGCTCCCAATATTAACAAATTCTGCTTGTTAATAGCAATATCCAGCATCATAAATCACACTTCTATTATAATAATAATAATAATAAAAGCTTTAAAGTTTTATAAACTAGTGATGGCGGTGTCTTGGCATTTCAACCTATATGCCTCCTCCTTAATTGTTCTTCGCGTCCGATGCTTTGAGTATCATCTCAAATGCATTTTCCATGCATGACTTGAACTTTTGTGGATCGATAAGCCCCTTTTCCATTTTGAAGGCAACCCTCACCTTCCCCATATAACTTATTATTGTCACGTCAAGGCCCTGCATGCAAATCCATTGAGATTATGTTACATATGGGGTAAATGCTATAAATGAATATTTATTTATTTATTTGAAGGAATATATATATATATATATATATATACAAACAAAGACTTACCTCAGGTGAACCTAACACCAAAAAGTACAAGCCTTTAATTCGTTGATTACCCAAAGCCATTTGTTCCACAGGCCCAATCAAATTCGAGATTACCATGCTCGAGTTCTTCAATGTGCTACGAATGTATTTGGCTGCTGCCTGCACCACATGACAAGCAACATCCTTTGTTTGGTGAACATTACAAATTCATTTAGAATTCCTAAAATAAACAGTACCCTTTATTTTCAGTATATACAAAAGGAGGCACTACCAGAAATTTCGTCATAGGCATCGGTTTTTATTCGTTGTGTTTTATTCTTTAATACCGATCGATGTAATTATAAGGTGATGCCTAATGCCTAAGCAGCGTTGTTTAAGACCAAATTTCTAGAAGTTAGGACAAAATTAAAGAGAGGGACTCGAACTCTTTTTACATACCTCATGGCCTCCAAATCTGTTGAGAATCTCCAAGAACCTGCTGGTGAGATAAATAGCTAAAGAGTTTCTTTTCGTGCTGATTATTTTCTGTGCCTTGGACACAAATTCAAGGGCAATATTTGAATACTCATGAGGATGATCATCTTCAGGTAAGAATAAGTTGGGTATTGGTACATGCAAGAATGTAAAATGATTGCCCCATGGCATCTTGCTGTTGGGTTTGATCATCTCCTGGATTGAAGTATAATCCCCCATCATCCTTGTGTTGAGCAATACCACTGCTGTGCCTCGTGATTTTCTTGAACTTTTGTCAATCTCTTGCATGTATAGTCGAGTGCCAAGGAAGATCATCCCCGTAAGAACGTCGTTTATCGTCTGTTAGTAAGCAATTAAATACGCAAACTACATTATATAATGAATATTAGTAAGTTATTACTAATTCAAAATCCAATTCACATAGAAAAACTTGGGGCAATTATTCCTCTTCACGTGTTGATTGACAGAACAATCCAATTCAAAATGTCATTTTTTTGAACTTGCAATGTAAAACAAATTAAGCGCACAAGTCTCACAATAGTTGGTATATAATTGAAAGAAACGAAATATGATAGGGGGAGAGATACATATATGTAAATTTGGAATGAAATATGCACACATATATATAGTAGCTTGTTGATTTATTGAGCTTACCACTCCAAGCTTACTCTTAATTAATTTGATTTGATCAAGAGAGAACGTCATAGTTGACACTGCAATGGGCTGAAACTCAATTCCCTTCCCAGACCTGATTGGTGTGAGATCATCTTCATCCATGGTGCTGTTTGAAATCCCCCACCAAAAATCTGACAGGGTGTTAAAGACTGATGAGCAGACTTTTGTCACCAAACTTTCACTCTTTGGCTGTGACCTTTGCCTTGAAGGAAAAGTTAGGGGAAGACGAGGATCGTCAGCCCGTTGTAGGCAAGAAAGAAGAGCACTCATGAGAGAGAAGCCATCCCCTAGGGCATGGTGGAGCTTGATGATTACATTACCAGCTGCATTGCTAGTTGGGTATTTGATGATATGAAATTCCCAAAGTGGTTTTTCTGGTGACAGTCTTTCTACTGCTAGCTTTGATATGTAGTCGTCAAGATACTTGTCATATGATTCTGGAGATAGACTGGGTGGGAAAATAGGGATGTTTACATGGTCTTCAAGCTTCACCTCAACCCTTTTCCACTGTTTCTTCCCATTATTTTCAACCTATATTTTCCAAATTAATAAATTTTATTTTTAGAAGTACAAAAGAAAATTACATGGTGGATTATATGAGGAATTATCAAACAAGAGTTTCATTATTCATAGCCACAGGATTTGGAAAATTATTAAACCAAATACACAAATATGGTGATGATGTCCCAAGTTAGCTAAGGCAACCATATTAGCTTAGTGAAACACTCAAATAATTAATTTTTGTTCAAGTTTACAAAGTTTTCCTTTTCTTTATGATACTTCATGTGAAAACTTGGAAAAAAAAACAAATTCACAGGTGATTGGGAAATGTTCTCTGAGCCTGAAATTCAGGCGATCTTTCCAACAAATTCATATATTATATATGTTAAAAATAAAATTGAAAAAGCATAAATAATTCCAATTCTTCGATAAATTTTTGTATGTTCCGGGTACATTAGTTGGCTGAGAGAAACACTTTCGTTTTCTTCTATATAAGAACATGTAAAATAATTAAGCAAGGATTGTTTAATATATTGATTTCAGGCTCAGAGAGAGAGAGAGAGAGAGAGAGAGAGAAGAGAGCTAAATACCATGATAGAGGAGAAGCGTGGGCTGATTGGGAGGAAGACATTCTGAACCAAAGACATGGTTTGAGACTCATCGAACGGAATCTCAGTTTCCAAAACAGCAAGATTCGACACTGACAACACAGAGCTGGTGAAGTAGTGACCAGTAGGGCTCACTGGCTCTAGTACTTCTTCCTCCAACTCCATATCTTTTCTTAATTAGGGTTATGTAAAAAAAAAAGCAGAATTGCAGTTAGGGTTTACTTTCAATACTTTGTACACCTCAGATCCATATATATATATATATATATATATATATATATATAATTTCATTTCATCAATCAGTTATGCATTTACCGCAGAGTCATCAGCAATTCTTTCTGCTCATATTTTACACATGACTGTAAATTTTAATGCTTTTTTTTCATCATGAGGTTGGTGACGGAATTCGGTTGCATTTCTTTCTCATATCTTAGTCGTGACTATTCATCCAATGCTTCTCCTCATTAGGTGGCAAAAGCATTGGATTTGATTTCAAAGCTTTTTCTTATTGGGTTTTTTAGTTGTCATAGTCCCTCAACTTAGATTCGATTTACATTTTCATCCTCAAATTCGCAAAATAGTTGTTGTACTCCGCTTTTGTTTGCAATATCAGTCCTGTGGTCAAATTTGTTAAATTTTATGTTAAATTTAGAGGGTAAAATTATCACTTCAAATCCAATCCCACCCACACCAGCCACCACACTTCGTACTCAAATCCACAATTTCCACTAGCACAAGAACAAAGAACAAAACTCAGTTACCTTCTTTTGACTTTTTTTATCTACACTCAACAAAACATCTAAGTTAATTCCATGATTTATTTCAAAACCTTAAAATCCACTGTACTTGTCATAATAAATTAAAAAGTCAAATAAAAAAGTATTCCAACACAACTCTACTTCCAAATTCGACCATCCACCTTTGTTAGGATCCCGAGTCCTTTTTCCTTTTAGTTGTAATAACACCTGTCGCTCCCTTTTGTCTTCCCCTGCCGTATACACCACCCCACCCCCAGCCACTACCCGCCCTCTCCTCACTGGCCAATGGCCATTCCCCCATTCTCACATGCTCGTCACACATCGTTTTCCTCCACCTAGTTTTTTCTCCACCCTTCGAGCCCCAACTCACTTTCCCACATACTCCCCAACTCACCCCTTCCTGCACATCGCCCCACCTCCTTTCCCAGCCCCGAACACCACATTGGTTTCGTGGACGAGTATAATGCGGAATTTGTCAAGCTTTCCTGTCGAGCTCTTGATTGGACCGATGACCAACTCATGAAAAGTTGAACCTTGAAATGAAAGAGGCAGCATCATAATTTTTTTTCGGACAACATATACAATTGGAAATGGATGGGTGTTTATGTTGGCAATCTAGAGCCTGACCTTCGCGACGACGTACTCCTCCAGCGACCAACCACTTTGACAGAGGCCAAACGCCTTACCCGCGCTCTCTATAATCGGCGTGCCACTTGTTGACGCAGAAAAATGGTTCGGCACTTTCCCGCGCAACTTAGAGATATTGGGCCTTCGATATGCTCTGGGCCTCGGTAGGACGTTTGATCTGCAAGATAGCAAACGCTCGGTAAAACCTAGGGCACCAGTGTGGTACCGGCCGAAGGCTCTTCGATGCTTGAGTAAGTACAGATTTAGTAAGTTTGAACTACAAATCAATAGGCAGTATGCCGTAAGTTCTGATTGATTACCTCCAAGCTGGAATAGTTGTCCTCTTTTATAGGCCTTGGGAGGTGTGCAATTTGTTTAGAGTTTCGATGTGGGACTGTGGACATCAATTGTGCGACTGCCACGTGTCTCCGGGGGTGAAGTTGCCCTAATCGTGCGATCGGTAGGCATGGTACTGAAGCTAGGTGCTGAAGGCTCCCATAGCTCTAGTTTGGTCCACGTGTCCGATGCTCATTGGCTGTTCATTTGGTATAAACAGGAGTCCCCCAAGTTCTCTTGCGAGAGTTCTTGGAAGGGGACTTGAAGTTGTCTTCGGAAGGATATGGTATCCTACCATTCGGTAATCCAGTTGGTGGAGGGGCTCAACTTTGGCCCTTCCGTTTTTATTCATTCAGAGGCTGACGTCGGGGAAGTCAGAAGGTCGCGTCGAGTTGACGTGTGAAGAGACCTCTGGGCACTTCGTTTTCCGTGCCTCGCGTGCCGTCAGTCCCCCATAGGATGAGCGACACGTGGCGAGAGTAATCATGGAGCGCGGCGCATTAATGCACCGTTTGGTTTTTCGAGGTGTACCGTTGCGAACCCTCGCCCTATAAATAGGGGTAACCCCGGAGACGAAATCACTTTGCATTTTGTGAGAAGTGAGAGCTCTGTTGAGGCGATTTCCGACGAGAGCTTCCGGCATTCGAAGTGATTTCCGACGAGGCTAACGGTAAACCAAGAGATTTCCGGCGTTGCGAATGGCAGGAAAAGCAATTTCCGTCAAGACGATCTGAAGCACAGTTCGTGGTCCTCTTCCAGAGTTTGATTTAAGGTACCGTTCGGCACCCTCAATTTACTCTCTTGCTTAACTTAGAGTTACGTCCTTCCTTGGTTTGAACTAGACTGACCATAGGGTTCCATTCGGTAGTCTAGTCGCCATAGGTAGCGATGTAGGGATCGGTAGGATAGTATCCGGCATGAGCCTTAGTTTCCTTTTTCCTTGTTTTTTTAGATGTTTGATAGCGAGTCATTTTCCGAGCGTAAGCCCAATGCGTTCGGTGAGGAGTCATCGGACGGTCTCCTTGACTCCGACAGTGAAGCAGCAGGCCCCGATGCCGGGGACGGAAGTGATACCGATGTTGAGATACTCGGTGAAGGGCCCAGCTCCGTTCCTACACACGGCATCGGGAATGGGCTAATGACTGCGCCGGTACCGTTGGCTATTGTCTATAGCGACGGTCGCCACGTTGGTCAAGGCATGCCTGGGGAGGCGAGTGCTAGTTGCCAGTCAGAGGCCTCCACTTCCGGCCGTGGAGAGTCAGCTGCCAAACCATCTCATCGTCCGAGGGTTTCGGTAGTCTATCCCAGTAATCCTAGGGTGCCGATGGGAGTTCCGAAGGAGCTCATTTTCGGCGTAGATTACTTGGAGCCCACAGGATTACCGAGAAGGAGATCGCGAAATTCCGTGCCGAGTATTTCATATCAGATTCGGTAGGGATAAGGATCCCAACGCCTACCGAATCTCTAAGCAAGCCGAAAGATGGCGAAGTCGTCTTTTTCACGGACGTACTTCTGCAAGGAGTGAGGCTTCCACTGCAGCCTGCCGTTCAGAGGATCTTGGCGTAGATAGGCTATGCTCCCGGCCAGTTCAACCCCAACTTCTGGGTAGCATTAATGGGAGTGGTCACGGCCTTCGGCATGGCTGGCGAGGGAGCGCCTTCGTACGAACAGTTCTCCCATTTGTATAGCGTCACGAAGTCGAAGTCTACCGACCACGGGGGTTGGGTTTAGGCTAACTGCCTGAGGGCTTCTGTCCGGTGATTGGGAGTCGCCCTCGGGACATCCCGTCCGTTTCCACATTCCCACTACCTTCCAAATAGTCGGTAGGCCTCCTAGAGTGTATAGGTTCCTCAGAAGTTTTAATTCTGTTTCTTTTTTGTGCAGGCAAAGTGAAATAGCCGAGTGCTACGCAAGCTGAAATCCGGTAGATCGAGAGGGTAAGGCTGAAGGTCCCTGCCGTGGAGAGAATTTACCCGAAGTTCCTCTTCACCCCCAATCTCATCAAGGCTCAACTTGTGAACCCTGCCGAGAGTAAGTGTACTTGTCCATTCTGACACATTTTATTGCCATAATGAGAAATCTGACCTGTCTGGGTTTTGTAGTGACCGAAGATAGGAGGGCTGCCGAGGCGAAGAGGATGAACGAGTCCTCCAAACGACGCCTGATGCTCGGCATCCAGGGCAAGAAGAAAAAGGGCCGGCAGTCGGAAACGGTACCCGTGTCATCGGAGGGAGTCGACCTTGTGGACCTAACCCTCAACGAGCGTCGTCATCAAATGAACGTTGAATCAGCGCATGCCGAGGCAACGGCGGCCAGTCCGTCTCCCAGCCGAGGTGTGCCTACCGAGGGTACCTCCTCCAAAGCTGCTGGTAAAAGGCCATTAACAGTCGATCAAGAGGCCGATCCCGCTCCAAAGCGCGGGCGACAGGCCGAGCTTGCTCAGGCCATCTTCGTTTCTGAGGACGACGAGGTGCCTGCCGAAGCCGTCACTCTGGCCTGTCCTTCGAAAATAGTCCAGTTTGTGAACTATATGATCCTCGGTTCACAAATGGAGCTGTCCGAGATCGAGGACCTGCTAAAGAAGCCCCTTCGGGAGGAGGCTGGCCGTGCCTTCCGTCTTCAAGCTTCGGTAAGCGCTAAGCATTCTCCGCCTTTCGTACCGTTCGTTCCTACCCTTGTCTTGACATTTTCCTTTGCTCTTCAGGCTTCAATGGACATGTGGCTGTGCGTCAAGCGAGCCATCAACGCCGCCGAAAAGGCGAAGAAGGCTTATGAAGACGACAGGGCTAGGGTTGCCGAGGCTGGCAAGGCTATCCAAGCTCATTCAAACTTGGCGAAGGACTTGCAGGCTGCCGAACGGTAGGTTAAAGTTTATCGAGCCAAGCTCGGTGAAATGTCGGCAGCCCTGGAGTCGGCGCAGCTAGTGGCAAAGGAGGCTCTGGAGTCGAAGGAGGCGATCCAGGTGGCCTTTGAGGAGTCGGAGCAGGTCAGGGCTTCGAAGATTGACGCTGTAGTCCATGAGCCAATCTGGGGGTACCGTTAGTCTTCCGAGTTCACTACCTTGCTTGACAAGGAAGTGGGCTCGAAAATGACAGATCTGCTCTACCGTTTCAAGCGTTACAACCCTGGAAAGAAGCTCAACCTCAGCTTCATTGCCGATCCTCCCCCTCTTCCCGAAGGCATGACCGAAGAGATGATCGAGGACTATGAGGGGGAGGATGCCCCAGAAGATGCTCCTGCCGATGCCGAGGAGGCCACTGCCGAGGCCGATGAGGCCGCTGCTGAGACCGAGGAGGCCGCTGTCTGACAGAAAGTTTCGTACGCTCTGCAATGATAATCTTCTCTAAAAGCTTCTTCTCATTTTCAACTAAAGTTGGTTGAGCTCTAAGAGATGATGGAAGAGCCCGTTGCCCCTGATGCCGAGGAGGAGACTGCCGCTTGAGCCTTGTTTGAGTTTTTCTTTTTATTAGATGTAATCTGTCATAAGGCGATATGTTCTGAACACCTTGATGCCAAAGGCATCCTTTAATTCAAGCACTTTTAATTTTCAAAGTTGAGTGTCAAGTATTTCACTTTCAACATGTTTCTGCTTTAACTTGTCCTTGGAACTCTTTAAATGCCGAGGGCTAGATAAAAGTTTACCAGCCGCCGAAAAGCGAGCCATCCGTTCGTTCCTACCCTTGTCTTGACATTTTCCTTTGCTCTTCAGGCTTCAATGGACATGTGGCTGTGCGTCAAGCGAGCCATCAACGCCGCCGAAAAGGCGAAGAAGGCTTATGAAGACGACAGGGCTAGGGTTGCCGAGGCTGGCAAGGCTATCCAAGCTCATTCAAACTTGGCGAAGGACTTGCAGGCTGCCGAACGGTAGGTTAAAGTTTATCGAGCCAAGCTCGGTGAAATGTCGGCAGCCCTGGAGTCGGCGCAGCTAGTGGCAAAGGAGGCTCTGGAGTCGAAGGAGGCGATCCAGGTGGCCTTTGAGGAGTCGGAGCAGGTCAGGGCTTCGAAGATTGACGCTGTAGTCCATGAGCCAATCTGGGGGTACCGTTAGTCTTCCGAGTTCACTACCTTGCTTGACAAGGAAGTGGGCTCGAAAATGACAGATCTGCTCTACCGTTTCAAGCGTTACAACCCTGGAAAGAAGCTCAACCTCAGCTTCATTGCCGATCCTCCCCCTCTTCCCGAAGGCATGACCGAAGAGATGATCGAGGACTATGAGGGGGAGGATGCCCCAGAAGATGCTCCTGCCGATGCCGAGGAGGCCACTGCCGAGGCCGATGAGGCCGCTGCTGAGACCGAGGAGGCCGCTGTCTGACAGAAAGTTTCGTACGCTCTGCAATGATAATCTTCTCTAAAAGCTTCTTCTCATTTTCAACTAAAGTTGGTTGAGCTCTAAGAGATGATGGAAGAGCCCGTTGCCCCTGATGCCGAGGAGGAGACTGCCGCTTGAGCCTTGTTTGAGTTTTTCTTTTTATTAGATGTAATCTGTCATAAGGCGATATGTTCTGAACACCTTGATGCCAAAGGCATCCTTTAATTCAAGCACTTTTAATTTTCAAAGTTGAGTGTCAAGTATTTCACTTTCAACATGTTTCTGCTTTAACTTGTCCTTGGAACTCTTTAAATGCCGAGGGCTAGATAAAAGTTTACCAGCCGTAGGCCAATAACAAGCTAACTTCCGAAGTTCAAAATTAATCATTGTAACTGCCGAAGGCAGAGTGATTGACTTAACTGCCGTAGGCTAGTATAAATTCAAATTTCTAGTGAACCTTGAATCGATAAGCAACTTTGGGCTTAACACTTTACTGCCGAGGGCTAGTAACAGTGACTCTGAAATTAACCTTTAAAGTGCCGATGGCTAAATAAGGTGATCTTTAAAGTCGTTAACAAGCTTAGTAAAAGAATTTTAAAATGTAGTATACTGCGACCGATGGTCTCTACCGCATCTTTTAAAAATGAACACACCGAAGGGTGCGAACATAAGTGCCGAAGGCTTTTTCATTAATAATTGCCGAAGGCAAAGATACATTTGGAGTTCGTTTTACAATTGAAAACCTGTCGTAGGCTAGGGAACTCTACACTGCCGAAGGCTGTGAGTAAGAATAAGCCGAAGGCTTTAACAATGTTTTCAACCTGCCGTAGGTTAGGTGACTTCATTTAAAGTAATATTTTAAATGCTCTATGTTCCAAGGATGACCGAGGGTCTTTCCGTTGGAGTCTCTGAGCCGGTAAGTCCCCGATCGCTGGATGCCGATGACCTCGTAAGGTCCTTCCCAGGAAGGTCCGAGGGTTCCTTCCTTGGGATCCTTAGTTGCCATGGAGACTTTTCGCATGACCCAATCTCCGACTTGGAAAGAGAGGGATCTGACCCTGGAGTCATAGTACCGAGAGACGCGCTGCTTGTAAGCTTCATTCCGAAGGTTGGCTTGCGCTCGGCGTTTTTCGATCAGGTCGAGGCTCAAGGCGAGTGCCTCCTCATTCGCCTTTGGGGCAAAAGTTTTCGTTCGGTAGGAGGGTTCTCCGATTTCCACTGGGACTACCGCTTCCGAGCCAAAGCCCATGGAGAACGGTGTTTCCTCGGTTGCCGTTCAGTAGGATGTCCGGATGGCCCATAATGCCTCTGGAAGCTTCTCCGGCCATGCTCCTTTGGCTTTGTTAAGCTGCCATTTCAATAGCTTCTTGATTATTTTGTTCATCGCTTCGACCTGACCGTTCGATTGGGGGTGAGCTGGTGAAGCGAAGAACATATTGACCTTGAGGCGAGTGCAGAACTGTCTAAAGGCGTCCGAATCGAATTGCCTGCCGTTATCGGTGATAATGGCGTAGGGGATTCCGAATCGGCAGCAAATGTTCGTCTAGATGAAATCTTCCATTTTGGCTGCCGTTATGGTTGCCAATGGTTCGGCCTTTACCCACTTGGTGAAGTAGTCTACGGCGACAACTGCATATTTGACCTGGCCCTTACCTTGCGGCATCGGGCCGATCAAGTCCAATCCCCACTAGGCGAAAGGTCATGGGCTTACAATCGGTGAGAGAGGCTCGGCAGGGATGTGAGGGACACTACCGAACCGTTGGCATTTGTCGCACTTCTTGACCAAGACGTTTGCATCTTGGTGTAGGGTCGGCTAGAAATACCCCTGCCGGAAGATTTTGTGTGCCAGCGATCGAGACCCTGTATGGTCACCGCAGACCCCACTGTGAACTTCCCGAAGGACGTAGTCCCCTTGCTCCTTTGTGAGGCATTTTAGATATGGCATGGTGTAGCCTCGCTTGTACAGAACATCGTCGATGACTGCGTACCTTACCGACCGGTACCGGAGCTTCCGAGCTTGGGACTTATCGGCGGGCAAGGTTCCGTTCGTTAGGAAGGCGTAAATTGGAGACATCCATGTGTCCTCATACCGTACGATATACACCTCAGCCGTTTTCTTGCTTGGCTGGGATAATATCTCCACCGGCACCTTCCTTCCGATCTTATCATTTATTGCCGAAGCTAAACGTGAGAGTGCATCAGCGTGGCTGTTCTCCGACCTGGGTATCTGCCGAATCTCGTAGGCTTGGAACTTTTGTAAGAGTTGGTGGGCTGCCGATAGTTAGGCGGACATGGAGGCATCCTTTGCTGCGAAGTCTGCCTTTATTTGATTCACTCTGAGCTGGGAGTCACTGTGAATGCTGATTTGTTTTGCGCTCATGCTCTTGGCTAGCCGAAGGCCGGCCAAGAGAGCCTCATACTCCGCCTCGTTGTTAAATGTTCTGAAGTTGAATCGGAGGGCATATTCGACTTTGCATCCGTCTAGAGTAGTTAACACCAAGCCAGCTCCACAGCCTTGTTGATTTGCCGAGCTGTCAACATGCAGGATCCATAGAGGTACGGAAGGATGAAAGCGATTGGCATCCATGTTTCCTGGTTCTGTAATAAGAGCGTTCGGAGAGGGTGCTTCCGACAGTGCAGGTGTGAGCTCGGAGATGAAGTCGGCGACGACTTGACCCTTCTTTACAGGCCTTGGCTTGAAATGTATGTCAAATTCTCCGAGCTCGATCGCCCATTTGACCAACCTGCCGGACGTTTCTGGCTTCTGAAGTACCTGCCGAAGGGGCTGATTGGTCAGTACCGTGATCTCGTGTGCTTGGAAGTATGGGCGGAGCCTTCACGCTGAGACAACAAGGGCAAGTGCCAGCTGCTCCAAGGGTGGGTACCGAAGTTCCACGCTTTGAAGAGCCTTGCAGACATAAAAAATTGGTAGCTCTGCCTTCTCCGGCCTTCGTATCAATACCGAGCTAACGACAGTGCTTGATACCGAAAGGTAGAGGAGGAGAACTTCCTCAGGAAGCGGTTTTGACAATAATGGTGCCCTGCTCATGTAGTTCCTTAAGTCTTGAAATGCCTGGTTGCATTCGGGAGTCCATGCGATATGATGTTTTCCCCCTTTCAAGGCTTTGAAGAACGGTACACATTTATCGGTAGCCTTGGAGATGAAGCGCGTCAGGGCAGCGACACGTCCGGTAAGGCTTTGAATGTCCTTCTGCATCTTCGGCGTCTTGATGTCGATTATGGCTTTGATTTTCTCGGGATTGGCCTCGATTCCTCTTTGGCTGATCATGAATCCAAGAAATTTACCCGAAGATACACCCAAGGCGCACTTCGTTGGGTTCAACCTCATTCGGTAGTCCTTTAGTATACCGAACATGAGGGGCTAGGTTTTCCAGATGCCCCCCTGCCATTCGGCTTTTTACCAGCATGTCGTCGACATATACTTCCATAATGCCGCCGATGTGCTTAGCAAAAATCCGGTTGACGAGCCGTTGATACGTTGCCCCCGCGTTCTTCAAGCCGAAAGGCATGAAATTGTAACAGTACAACCCGCGGTTGGTGATGAATGTCGTATGCTCGCTATCGGCAGGGTCCATGAAGATCTGGTTGTACCCTGAATAGGCGTCCATGAAGCTGAGCAGCTCGTGTCCAGCGGTTGTGTCAACGAGCTGGTCTATCCTCGGCAATGGGAAGCTGTCCTTCAGACAGGCCTTATTTAGGTCGGTATAGTCCTGACACATCCGCCATCCTCCCCTGGTCTTCCGAACCATGACTGAGTTGGCAAGCCAGACAGGGTACGTGGCTTCCCTGATAAAGCCGATGGTTTTGAGCTTGTCAACTTCGGTCCGCATAGCTTCGTACCGTTCGGCATCATACGAACGTCACTTTTGTCTGACCGGTTTATGGGCGGGGGAGATGCTGAGCTTGTGGCTGATGACGTCAGGTGATATGCCGGGCATATCGTCGTAAGACCAGGCGAAGACCTCCGCCTGTTGCCGAAAGAAGTCGATGAACTGCCTCTGTAGGTCGGGACCTAGGTTGGTGCCGATTTTTACCCACCGATCGGGAAATTCCTCATTCAGGATCACTGTTTCGAGCTCTTCGGAGGGCTGCGCCACCGGCGTTGGCGTTTCCTCTCTTGGGTTGTCTATAGGTCCGCTACCGTTCGATAGTCCCTGCACAGACATGGCTTCCATTGGCGGCTTGCAAGTTACTGATCTAAGAACAGTGGCATAGCACGTCCGTGCGCTGAGCTGGTCACTCCGGATAACGCCAGTACCGTTGCGGGTAGGGAATTTCATCAACAACATGTGGGGGGACAAGTGGGCTTTGACCCTAGTGAGTGCCGTTCGTCCTACGATGACGTTGTATGCCGTCGGGCAGTCGACGGTGAGGAATTAGTCGTAGGTCATCGTTTTCCTGGGGGCGACGCTGAAGGCGATGGGCAGACTAATACTGCCGACTGGCTGGACCAGATCCCCAGAAAAACTAAGGAGATGCGTTATTTACCGATTGACCATACTGTCGGCAATCCCCAGTCCTTTGAATGCATCAGCAAAAATCACATTCACCGAACTCCCGGTGTCGATCATCACCCGACCTACATCGTAGTCGGCGATGTCGGCCCGAATGATCATTGGGTCATCGTGGGGATAAATGATCCCCTCTTCTTCTTCTTCGCAAAATGTGATTGGCTCCCATCCCACCTTCGGGACCTTACGGTACCGTTCGTCTTCAATGCCGAAGGCTTGGGGGTAGTGAGCGGCACGCACATATTGTTTCATTGACCGGTTGGAGGGTCACTCCAGAGTGGGGCCTCCACTGATGGTGCTGATCATGTTGATTTGCTGATTCGCGTTCGGGGCTGGCGCCTACTGTGGTCTGGCGATGTATTGGTCCAGCTTTCCCTCCCGAACCAACAGTTCAACGATCTTCCTCATACTAATGCAGTCTTCAGTGTCGTGGCTGTTCTGCTGGTGGTACCGGCAGAATTTGCCGGTATCCCGATTGTCCTGCCGATTGGGCTTTCGTTTGTTTGGTTTCGGGATTTTATCATGCTCATTCATGAGGACGGCCTCATATGTCGTGTTCAACAGGGTGAAGACTTCCTGAGCACGGTCATTATTCGGCAGTGGCGCTCGGTGGTCGTTGCGACCGTATTTCCCACACCCATTCTTTGAGCTACCCTGTCGATGATCACAGTCGTCCTTCCGCTTGTGGCCTGCCAAAGAATCATCAGTTCGCCCGGGATAGCTCTTCGTTATCGATTCCTCTTGCCGAGCCGAAGGCTAGGCTTGGAGTTGAAATATTCGGCCTTTGCGTGGACTGCCGCCTGCTTCATCAGTTCGTCATAAGTGCGCCAGTTGCTACTGTGCATTAGGTACCGAAAGTGATAGGACCGAAGGCCACTCTTGAAGGCGCCGTAGGCTGCCCTATCGTCCGTTTTCGGACACCTCGAGTACTCATGACTGAAGCGTGCGGCATATTACTGTAGGGGTTCGTCTTTTCTCTGCCGAACCGTGTACAGATTGTCGGCAGAGTACAAACGGTCCGTCTGGATCATGAAATGATTCAGAAAAATCTGCTTTAGCTCGTCAAACGAGTCTACCGTTCCTGGTTCAAGACGGTAGAACCAGTTCAGAGCAGCTCCGGTAAGGGAGGATGGGAATAGCAGGCACTGCCCCTCATCGCTGAGGCCCTTGCAACCTACTGCCGATTGGAAGGAGTGAAGCTGCGTTAAGGGGTCTTCCACGCCGGTGTAAAACGGTATTCGCAACGGCTATACTTCCCTGTCCGGTCTGGACTTCTTGATGCGCTCGGTAAAGGGTCCCGGCCGAAGTTTCCCCCAGTCAGGCTCCTGGGACTGGGTTCGGTCGTCCTCCATCTTCTGGATTCTCTGGAAGAGCAGGCGGATTGCAGGGTCTCGGCTTGGGATCTCCTCAGAAATATAGTCTTCGGAGGCTCTCCTCGGACTTGGTGCTCTTGCCTTCGAATACTCCGTGGGAGTTTTCGAACCGTAGTGTGACTCGGTGCCCTTAGAGGGGGCATACTCGCCGTCAGATTCTGCCTCCGACCCCAACCCCTGGACCTTTCTGAGGGGCGATTTGTCTCCAAGGACCCTCATCCGTGAGTCCCGCAAGTGTGCGTTGACCCTAACTGGGGACCTTTGCCGTTCGGCATCCATGTCGTTGAGCCGATGGCGACAGTTAGTGTAGACCTTCTTTGGTACATGAGGCTGGTCCCAAGGGGCTGGGACTACCAGCTGTTTGGAAGGCGCAGGCATTGCCTTTGCCCCCTTCTTCCCCTTCTTCTGCCGACCGGGGGTCTGCAGACTCTAGGAAGGTTCTGTAGATTGAATATTCTGTGTTTCCTGCTGATTAAGCAGCCGCTGAGTTTCGTCTACTTTGGACGAGAGGAGGTTGTTATGTTCTTGGAGCTTGGTCATTTCCTTCCGAAGGGAAATCATTTGAGCCAGGAGCTCCGCTTCTATCGTAGTCTGAATTACCGGAGGATTACCGAAGGGAGTGCTAGGATGCAGCGCGGGGCTTGCTCCGCTTGGCATGTCGTACGGTAGTCCGTCCTCGGGTAAGAACGATGGTCCGAAAGTGGTTCCCATGTGTTTTTTAGGAATTGTAGGTTGATTTTTATCGTTTCCCACAAACGGCGCCAAACTGTTGACGCAGAAAAATGGTTCGGCACTTTCCCGCGCAACTTAGAGATATTGGGCCTTCAGTATGCTCTGGGCCTCGGTAGGGCGTTCGATCTGCAAGATAGCAAATGCTCGGTAAGACCTAGGGCACCGGTGTGGTACCGGCCGAAGGCTCTCTGATGCTTGAGTAAGTACGGATTTAGTAAGTTTGAACTACAGATCAATAGGCAGTATGCCATAAGTTCTGATTGATTACCTCCAAGCTGGGATAGTTGTCCTCTTTTATAGGCCTTGGGAGGTGTGCAATTTGTTTAGAGTTTCGATGTGGGACTGCCACGTGTCCCCGGGGCTGAAGTTGCCCTAATCGTGCGATCGGTAGGCATGGTACTGAAGCTAGGTGCCGAAGGCTCCCATAGCTCTAGTTTGGTCCACGTGTCCGATGCTCATTGGCTGTTCATTTTGGTATAAACACCACTAATCGCTCCACCCACCGCAACCGAAATTCTAGACCGGCTTCGAGCACTCCTTCCAGTTCGTTTGATCCTGCCAATCCCTTGGGGTCTTCTAGCACCCCCACTGTTTGTCGTCTCTTGGCTGTTGAAGTGGAGGAACGTCGGGAAAAAAAATTATGTTTCAATTGTGATGAACCGTTTCGTGCTGGACACCGCTGTAAAAAGCCTCAACTTTTTATGATTGAGGCTGATTGGGAACCTCCAGCCACCTCATTTGAGGACATCATTGCCCATAAAATTTGTGCCAGTGAATCTCTGTCGTCAGTTACCACCTCTGACATAGAGCCCTTTATTTCCATTCAGGCACTGACCGGCTCTGCCTGCTCCCGTTCTATGCACATTGTGGGTCATGTGGCTTCATTGGTTGGAATTTCAAAAATAAAATCATGATATTCAGGGCTGCTGGCAGAGTGCGTTGCTTAGTGGGCCAAACCTCTATTGCCACTTTCTTGGGGGACTCCGAGTCTATGACCAAGACATTGGCCCAAGAGAAACAAGGTTTTATCGCTCAGCTTGTGGCACTTGACAACCCTATTCCTCCAACAACATCCTCTACTGATCTTGGCCTTCTTTTAGCCAAGTTCACCGAGCTCTTCTCTGCGCCCACTGGTCTTCCACCTTTCAGACCTACTGACCATCGGATTCCACTTAATCCAGGCACCCCACCAGTGAATGTCAGGCCATATAAGTACCCACATTTTCAGAAATCTGAGATTGAAACTATTGTCCGTGAAATACTTGCTGTTGGTCTTGTCCAGCCCAGTTGCAGTGCCTATTCATCCCCTGTTCTCCTTGTTAAGAAAAAGGATGGGTTTTGGAGTCTTTGTGTGGACTACCGTTGTCACGCCCTGATCCAGAAATAATGAATACTCCATAATCAGTGCTTGAATTGAAATAAATAAATAAAAAGGCTGAAAAATTGGTTAAAATACATTACCATTATATATATATAAATTATAATAATCTTACAAATGTACAAGATATAAATAAAAGTTTATCACTCTAAATTAATCCAACTTCTCTGGTTTCGGCTTTGTCTTGCCCACTAATTGATCTGAAAAACAAAATATGTGAGGGATGAGCAAACCACCGCTCAGTGAATATATTATGTAACATGTCAATCAAGTAATGTCATTTTACACACTCTAGAAAAATATAATAAAAAGATACATAATCCAAATCATATCACATCATTACTTCATATCTTGGTTATCCTTCACAAATTGTATCCAGTACGTGACCCTTATCGGCCTCATTGCCCTATGTCCCCATCAGTTACATTTATCCTTCGGATACCATGTCACTAAAGTTCTCATGTTTCATGAATAATACATACTTCATAAAAACTCCAAATAATATATATTGTGTGAAATATTACACAAATTAGACATACTTGACTTGAAAATAGAGAGAGGTTTGTTCTTATTCATTATGCTTATAAGTTAATATGCTAGTTTGAAGGATTAATCACCATTAAGGCTTGCATGTTAGCTATCTTGGTTTGAATTAAGAGTAGACACCATGCTTTAATCCGAATTGAACTATGAATAGGAAGAGTGTGTATAGAATTCGACAATCGAGATTAGATACATACTTGGTTGTTTAAAATGTTATTCTATGCTTAATGAATTTCTAATGCTTAATTTTAGGTTAAACAACAAATGATCAAATTTGGGAATTAGGAATACAAGGTTAGGGCCATACACCATGGCTTAATCATACTTTAGCTAGAATCAATCCGTTTATCTAAATTAAACTTGGGAACTTATTTGCTTGAGTTAGTTATTTTCTTTCTTTCTTGTTTTCAATCCTTGTACTTTTCACAATCATCTTAAACCTTATTTTTACTATTGTGCATACAGGGAATTGAATTGAATCAATCTATCATTAATCCTCGTGGGATCGACCTCGCACTTACATATGCTATATTACCGAATGTCTTGTGCACTTGCGAGTATCACAAGTTGAGGATGCAGCTGAATCCATTTTAGTGCAGCTGATCCAACGACAACACATATCAATTGAAAAAAAAACCAAGAAGCAAGAGAATAAACATAAAAATATGACTGTGCCCATTAAAGAGAACATAAAAGTACAATTTGACCCCTAAATTTACATACAGAATCAACACTGATAACGAAAGTAGAATTCATGGACAATCAGGGGCGGAGGTACTTTAGGGCCTGAGGTGGCCCTGGCCCCTCGACAATTTGTTCTTAACACAATAAAGCTTGGGTTTTAGTTCATATATTTAACAATGAAAACCATATAATTATATGTAAAATGTTTGTGGGCTCATTACACAATTGACATAAAAAAGGAAGTATTAATCCTCTAAGAGCATGTCCACCCTAAAAAGTTAAGGCTAAGGCTAAGGCAAAGGTAAGGCAAGGGCAGCTACTATTCACGTGAATAGTGGCAGCCTTGCCTTTTTGGTTCCACCCCAAAAGGCTAGGGCAAGGGCAAGAAAAAAAAAAGAATATGCAACAAAATACAAACAATTTAGAAATGCAAGAAAAAAAATGATTATGAAAGAAAAAAATAAATATGGAAGAAAATATAAACAATTTACAAATGCAAGAAAAAAATTATTACAATTTACAAATATTGGAAGGAGAAGAGTTTGTATGAGGTTTTGGTGTGGAAAGTGAATAAAATTGTTATGTATTTATAGGGAAAACATCCATAATTTTTTGGTATTTTTTTTGGCTCGCTAATGTCAGTGCCTTTTGGCTGAAGCCTAGGCAAAATCTGCCCTTGGGCTTGCTCGGGCTAGTGGGACCCAGGGCTTACCCGGGCTGCTTCTCCTACACTGGAGGTCCAAACCCCACTTGGGGGGCCTCTTGCCCTGGCACAATGGGCTACGGTGGAGGTGGTCTAATAATCAAAGCGATGAGCCGAGGGAATAGAAAATAGTTTGACAAAAAGAAAAAGGAATAGAAAATAAATAGTTTAAAGGGAAATGAGATTTTATCAGTAGAGTTTTCTGTTTTGATACATGAAATTGAGTACAAAGTTCTAAAAAATGTCCATTTTTTCTTATATATATATATATTATTGATGTAAGATTGAATTTTTTTTTCTATACTTGTATTACGGTTTGGCCCCCCCCACACATATAATCCTGACTTCGCCACTGTGGATAACATCACCTTTTTTTACTTCGAGAACAAAAATACAAATTAAGTCTAAGTTGAGGGACTATGACAACTAAAAAGCCTAACTTATTGTATTTTAAAATGTTGTTTTTTCATTTATTATTTATTGTGAGCGTGTGCCAATTGTTTTTTCTTTATTTTTTTCTTTTAATATTAAAAAAGATAATGAGTAGTTGTGTTTTATAAAAATAAGATTCATTATCTGATTTGTTTTTATTTTAAAATTTTTTTATATAAAAAGTATGAATTTATCATATTATTCTTATTTAATTAATAATTTCGATTCTTTGCATTAACTAAGGGCAGTTTCTAGTATTTTGAATATTTCATCATTTTTTACTTTTTGCTATATATAAAAATTATGGGAGTTTCACTAAAACATCCAAAATGGGGGCTGAAATTATAAAAAAACCCAACACCCAAAACACTTTATAAATACACCCAAAACCCATCATTACACACACTCAAAACTCATTTATAAACACACCCAAAAAATATACAATTGTTGATTTTGGGTGTGTTTCTATGTTTAAATAGTGCTTGGGTTTTTTTAGAAATACATGTCTAGGATTGAGTTTATTTATAAATTTGTAAAAAATTATTTACCTTGCTTTTGATTAAAAAAACAAAGAAAAAAGAAAAAGAAAAAGAAAAACAGAGGAGCCTCCTCTAACGCAGAAGACCACCATATACGGATTTTTCTCAGTCTTGTTCTTTATCTGCATCTTCTCTGTGTCTATGTGAGCTTCCAAAAAACAAAAAAAAATTTTAAGACCACCATATATCACCATGACCAGTCCCCCTGAAAATCCTGACGTGACCATGACCCCAGTTGAAGAAGAAGTTCCTCAACAAAACCAAAACCTTGATTCTGAATCTCATTCCCAATCTAATACCCTAACCCTAGAACCCACTCAGGACCCAGAAATCCAACAAAACCCTCTTCAATTGGATGCAAACAAACCCAAACCAGAGGAATTTCCCGTCCGATCTCCTCGTAGTACTACCATAACCTTCTATCGCCGAACAGGAACGAAGCGAAAGAAGTTGGGCCAGAAGCGAAGAGCTGCTGTTGCAGGAAAGAAGTCTGAGCAGAAGCTTCAGATTCAGAAAGAATCCCTAAACCCCATTCCGTTCGTACCCGTCAAAAGTCTCGACTTTGAGAAACACGAGAAGCTCCTCAAATGGCTGAACTTGTGGGATTTCGTTCATATCGACTTCGATCGGACTATTCGAGTTGACCTTCTTGCCGAATTGATCTCTCACTTCAACCCTAACATGCGGGGTAGCTATGTCAATGGGGTCAGGATTATGGTCAACCGGGCCGACTTGGCAAGGGCCTTGAAGCTGCCGGTGAAGAAGAGTGCAGTGGCGGATGGTGCTGAGGAGCCTCCCGCTGCTTCCGAGGAATCGATAGCTTTCATTGAAGAGTTTGTATCGAATTGGGTGCTTTTGCACGAGGATACGTGGATGATGCCGAGCGAGGTTTTGAATTGGACTAAAGCAATCAAAGAAGGGCACTTTGGGAAGGTGGATTGGGCTGGTTTGATTTGGTTTATGGTGGAGAAGGAGTTAGCTCAGGCGCCCAAATTGGGGGATTGTTACTATGCATCGCATTTGCAGTGTTTGATAAAATCGCAACGTGAGGAGTTGTTAATGGTGAAAGCACAAGAGCCTACGGTTCATGTTGATCTGGATGTGGATGTGGATGTGGATGCGGATGCGAAGGAGGAAGAGGAGGAAGATGAAGAGGATGGTAATGGGGATGTGAAAATGGGTGGGGAGAATGATGTTAAGGGATTTGGATTGGAAGAGAAAAACATTGAATTGTGTCTTGGGCAAGAGAATGTGGATAGAGCTGATGTTGGGCAAGACAATGTGGAGAGAGCTGATGTTGGGCAAGACAATTTGGAGAGAGCTGATGTTGGGCCAGATAATGTGGAGAGAGATGATGTTGGGCAAGAAAATCTCGAGTTTAGTGTTGAGAAGGTGCATGTAGGGGTTGAGGATGCAATGAATTTTGAAGAATGTAAGGTGGAAGAGCATGGACAATGGCTTTTAGATGGGAAGAGTAATGTAAGCGAACCTTGTTTGCAGCGGTGTAATAATCTTGGTGAAGTTAAGAGTTTGGGTTTTGGGGAAGAGGGACAAAAAGGTATGGAGGTTGGAGGAGTAGAGGAAGAAGGAAATGAAGAGGAGGAAGAAGGTGAAGAGGAGGAGGAAGAGGGAGGTTTTCACCTTTCACTCAAGGGTATGCCATTAGAGGGGTTGCCTTCAGGTAGTCTTATTCAGGCAATGGAAGCTGCACAAATTCCTCTTAGTTCTGGTATGCCAATGCGAGATCATTTCTCTGGGGAGTTTGTTTCTTCAAGGGATGATAGCCGAATGCTTCCTGGTAGTTCCTCACTCTTTGGAAGTGGTCTCAAGAGAGAGCTTATGCACGAGAATGCCAACTCTCATCACCCTCTCAATGGTAATAAGCGGTTGAGGATTGATGGCCCCTGGGATGGTAAGCTTTCTGGTGAATTTGAGACTTGTATGGAGCAAATGCAGCACTGGATGGAAAAAGCTAGAATGGTGTATGTGGAGAAAGAGCAAACTTGCGAGGAATCTACTGTTCACCGGCAGATGTTAATGGATGGATTGCAGCAAAGGGATGAGATGATTGATCACTTGCATAAGGTCAAGGCTGAAGAGCAGCATAAGAGAGAAGTCGAGGTGTATCGTCTTGAGCGTGAGCTCTATGTAATGGGAAGTCTCTTGGATGGCTATAGGAAGGCTTTAAAGGAAACACAAAAGGCATTTGCTGAATATAGAGCACGTTGTCCACAGGCAGATGAGCCACTCTACAGGGATGTTCCTGGGTCTGGGGGCCTTGTTTTGAGCACTATGGAATTGGAAAAGCAACGCCTGAAGAAAGAAGAAGAAGAGAGGATGAACCGTCAGTTGATTGAAAAAAAGATTAGAGACTTTGAAGCTGGGTGGATTAGCAACTTTGAAGCACACCACAAAAATGTTGAATTATTGAGTAACAGGTTGCCGGATGTAGAGAATGAAGTGAAACTTCTTCAAGAACGGCTTGCAAAACAGAGGACTGCAAAAGTAACAGAATCTGCCCCAAATGATACAGAATGATGCATGGTAAGTCACAAGTTGTGTTATCAATGTGTAAAACATATGTAGCTTTAGTTAGTTATTTGATGTGACTTTGTCCTCATGTTGTGATGCAGTATCCCCATACCTTATAATCAGACAAAAGCGTTAATATCTAAAAGTAAATCTGAGATCATTCTATTATTTTTAATTCCCAAACTTGATTCTCGCGGTGTCTGGATTTTGGGAATTTTCATATAAATGATAACATTTTTCGAACTTTTCTTGCATCTATATATCACTGTGTGATGATATGATCTTACTGCAGTTTGACTCTATAGTCTATCTTTGAAATGAAAAGAATAGATTGGACCACGGCGCAAATCTACTTAATCGTTTAGAGTTCTTCTACACCACTACAATCCCAGTTGCCTTGTCTAACTACTTATATTGGATAGGGAAATTGTTTTGAGATTAGGTCCAGGTATGGGGGTGGCACACGATGTTGTGGAGAGGAGAGTTTCTTCCCATGGAGAAAGATGCATGTTCCAAAGCCCCTCTTAGGTTAACCCCCTTTTTATCTGGACATTAACCCCTTGGTGGATCATCTTGGTGCATGGTCCGCTGGCATGGGGATGGTTGTGGCTTTTGCTTTGCTTGGAGTTCTTGGGTGATCCTGAAGAGAACAAAGGGGTCTTCCTTTGAGATTCTTGTCATGGAAAGTTTGAGAGAGAGAGAGAGAGAGAGAGAAGATTCATTGAAGAATGTGTCCTGGTCTTATATATTTCTCCTACTGGTTTGGCAGGTGTTGACAGTCATAAGAAAAGAAAGTTTCAGTTAATATGCATCTATAGTTGTTTAATCAGTGTAGTGGAAATTATGGACCAGTGGTGGTGGTAGGGTGGTAGTGTTGGCCCCTTCACTCATGACGATGTCAATTTCCTAATTGGCATTGGACTTTCTTATACAATCATCTCCATCATATAGGTGGCATCATTTGTAGTGATGGTTTTGCTGCCAATGCTGTGCCCTGAAAATTTAGTGCTATTTGTCTTAGTATCTTCACTAGAGACCCCACTGAGTCATGGAAAAGGCTTTATGCCTATAATAGTTTTTGCTTACATACAAGATTGTGAGCTGCTTTTCTTTACTAGCATTTTGGCATATGAGACATTGTATGAGCTTGTATTATGCACTGCACACCCAAGCACTGGTGCCTGAATCCAAGTGTCCCAGTAATTCATTTATGGGGGCACAAGAGGTGCTGGAATTGTTTTCATGAGGTGTTCATTCTTTTGTTTTCATGAATCTCTTGTTATTTTCAATCACTTTTACATGTGATGCTTTTTTGGCAGGCTGGAGAGTGTTGAGTTCTGCAAACACATGCCACAAGCCTGGTGCAAGTTCGGACAGGATGGGGAGGAGGCGATATACGTGTGGAAGATCTGTGCACTGTTTGTAGTTGACTCTAACGTTTTGCTTTACTGGTAGTCTGCTTTATATTAGAGGTATAACTAGCTTGTATGGTATCCGTAAATATATTAGGATTTTATGCTTATCTTTGTTGGGCATAATTTCAATTTGCGTAACATTTGAAGCATGCATGCCTATAGGTTAGTGAACCAGCGAAGGTCTCTTTTGAAAATATGTTTGGTTTTGATATCAGTCATGTTTGCAGGGCATGGTCTTAGTAATGGCCTTTAAACTCAAGTATGAAGCCATTGAAGCGGATCTATCTGGTCTGCTGGAACTTGTAATTATACCTACTGATCATACTTGTGCCTTAAGTTAGTAAGATTGGCGTATTATGCTATTCATTGTGGTGTTTATAAATCCGAATTTTGCTATTCTCATCTGCTGGCCTGCTGTGCTGCCTTTTGAACCTTGGAGACCTGTTTGAATGAAGTGAGAACAGGATTTGGGGCCAACCAAGGCACTTCTTAAATTTTATTTTTTTCCAAGTGTATTTATTTATTAATTTTTAAATATAAGCAATAGTTTAAATTATTCTAAATTAAATTAATCTACGGAGAGGGGGATTCGAACGTGGGTGCAAGGCGGGATCACTGCCTTAGGCAATTGGCCTAACCCACGTCTTCTGCAACTGGCCTACGAGTGGTGTCAAGTTCAAACCCCTGTGAGAAACCTCCCATCCCCCAATAACGTGTATATAAAAATAGAAAAGAAAGTGAACTGAAAATGACACAATTTAAGCCTCGATGCAATTGAAATTTCAGTGTTGGATAGCGCGAGCAAGAAAGAAAACCAACATAATGAAACATCCCATATCCCAGGGACATTACAATAGAATACTCCTTGGAATGGTTTGCACATAAATGAATTATTTGGATTGAATCTGAAACTGAAACTGAAACTGAATCTGCACAGAAGATGAATTCATTGAATGTTAAGATGCAACAAAAATAATAAAAAAGTGGGGTCACCGAACGCATATCCAATCAGCAAAAACTTCTATTAAATCACGAATATTAAATATCACAAAAACTTCTATTGGAAAAATCACAAAAGCGAAATAGAGTATTTTGGTGGTAAAGCCGCTTATTTCCAATCAGCACCAACGCGAACCGCCTGCTCTGGATATTGTTGTGCGCGTTGACCTCTTTATTCTTCGCGGGGCCTCCGCTCTTCGTCTCCAAGCACAAAATCTATAAATAGAACACCACAAAACTCGGATCCATATTCACAGAAAGGAAATCAAAACCCAGAAACAAAGATGGACGACAAAGAAGATACCAACAGAGTCGGCGAAATCGAGGAATCGGACCCGAAATCCGACGGGTCATCCCGGAACCCGAATCCGAATCCGAAAACCGCGAGGACGAAGGTTCCAGAAGTGGAGGTCTACTTGTATCGGCGAGGCAAAGGCCCGATCGACACGTTCAGGACGAGCCTCGGGGGTTGGGACCAGAACCAGTTGGAGGTGCGAGACATTCTTGACAAGTATGGCTTCAAATCGCTTTACGCTTTCAATACCGGGTCGGGTCGCGGCGTTCCGATCCGGTTTAACCCCAGGAACGGCAGGTCTATGTTGTCTTATAAAGATGGATCTACGGTTCACATTGACGGAGAGCCCAAGGTACTTCATTTCTGTATCCTTTTCTCTTTTTATGAAAACCCAATTTGTGAAATTAATCGAAGTAATTTTCTGTTTGGTTGCCGAGAAAATTTGGTTGCATTGGGTAGAAATAAATGTAACTTTAATGCGATCATAAGAGATACTGAATTTGAGTGTGAGATAGAATAGATAGAGAAGTGTTTGACATTTAATGGAGAGATTTTCATATTGAGAATGCTTTGTTAAGGCACTCTCAATTAGCAATAGGGTAGTTCCTCCATACAATCAAAACCTTTAAAGCAAGATATATTATAGCAATTTACTTCGTTGAACTTGAGCCATCAATTTCCATGCTTGTTTTCTGTTCTTTTGTTTACATGACATTGTGTTTGCAGCCTAAGAATGGATGTGATTTTGACTATTGAGTTCACCTAAAGAACTTGGCGGATTCATCTTATTGGTTTTGATCATTCATATGATAGACACTGAGTTTTACAACCACATATTCCTAAAAAGTAGGATTTCACAGCATTTTTCTTGAAGAATTCTTTTTCATTTGTTGGAAAATTTGGCATCAAAGTAATAATTTGATCTTTCAAAATAAGACCTCCATCCCTTAATCAAGCCATTAGTCATATTAAATTTCTCCAGTATAAAGTATTAAGTAATGACATTCAGTTGGTTAAGAGCATTTATCCATACACGAGAGGTCTTAGGTTCGATTTCCACTCCCTCAATATCATTTGTACCAAAAAAAAAAGGCACAAAATATTGCCCTCCAATTTGGTTAGGTAAATAATAACCTAATAGCTGTATTTAATCTAAAGAGGACGCTTGAAGTTCAAATTCTCTATGCACACATGATGACGTATGATAACAGTCTGAGGTTTAGGTTGAGATGTAAAGGGTTATGTATGCCTATTTTAGCTTAGAAATATAAAAGTAAATTTAATGGAAAGACCCAAAAGAAATAACCAAAATTTGAAGTAATTTTGGATATTTCCATTGGAAATCTAGAGATACTGAAGAGAAGAGATTAGAGGTGAAGTTGAACAAGCATGAGAAACAGCTGAGAGAAAGGGAGATGCATTTGAACTGAAGATTTGCTGAATTGAACTCAAATATTGTATAACAAACATGAAAATCCACATATTTGGGACACAAGAAAACAAAAGCTAAAGGAAGAACCAAAGATAGTAGCTCAAGACCACATAAGTAACTCTTACCCAAAAGTTAATTTAAAGATTCCATGAAGCAGTAACTCATAGTGAGACAATCCAAAATGGGTTCCTAGAGTTCGGGGTTTCTTGGCATTCGTCTGACAAAAACAGGACCCCTTTCCTAAAAGTCAAAATGGCAAAAGTTCCCGTAAAGAACCTGCAGGATTCATCTTATAGGTTTTGATAATTTATATCATAGACACTGAGTTTTACAACCACATATTCCTAAAAAAGACAAGGATTTCACAGCATTGTTAAGGTGGGTCTTTTCCCGTTTTTGGTTTTATGGTCAGAAACTGTTGCTATTAGCACAGCACCACATACTTTCTTATGTGTTTATTGTCTATTTCATGAGCAGTCTGTCAGGATCTCCTGTATCTTTTGTCTTTCCACCCTCCCATTTCCTTCTAAAAGACAAATAATTTGATTTTCTCCCATGTAAAGGAATGCTCTGCAGGTGGACTGTTTACAATTTATTTGCCACAAGATTCTTTGATATGCGTTATGTTGCAGACAGTGGAATGTTGCAGTGACATGTGATATGTCTTTTGGTACTAATTTTCCTACTTAATTCTTCTCTAAATGCAGGATTCCTTGATCCAACCGGTGACAAAAATCTTGCTTGGAGTAGCTGTTATAACCGTCTTGATAACCTTGGTTTTGAGAGATCCTCCACAGTGGGTCCAAAAATTGAACATTTCTGGCTTGAATTTACCTCCTTGGATCATTGCTCTGGTGGTAATAGTTTTTACTCGGATGAGGAAGAGAACCGGAGATTTGCTGAAAAAGTATGGTTGGTGAAAGGCGCCATTGATGCTTTCCCTTGTAAGGCCTTTTTGTTTCTCAAATTTTGTTAAAAAGAATTTGATTCAGTATCAACTGAATTTTGATGATGAAGCAAGTGATGCTCATCTGGACGTCGTCATAACTGTAATTGGCGACAAGCTGCACTGAAAGATAAATTTGGTTATGAAATACCAAACCTCGGAAACAACATTCATAAGATCATCTTGTTGCAACATTAAGATTCAAAACAATAGATAGATAAATGGGTGATTATCAACTGGTTTATAAATAGTTTCATAAGATCATCTTGTTGAATATGTTTCTACTGCTTGACGCCTTAAATGCCTTTAGCTTATAGGACTTAATAAACCAGCATAAAGAGTGCTAGCTTTTTTCTTCTCATGGTAATTTAGCTAAATCTGCCTCAATCTTGAATGTTTGAAGTTTTATGCTCTTCTACATTACAATCCTACTTGGATCTCTATTTTCGTACTTAATTGTATATGTAAGACAATGGCATTAAAATCACTGTCAACTTTTGGATCCATTACTTCTAGTTTGAATTACATTGGATGTTTGTTCGGCCCTCAGTTGTGCTTAATTGGGTTGTGTTTGTTGCATACTGCCTTTTAGCCTCCATCCATATCCCTACGTAAGGTTGTTTTATATCATATCAATAAGGGCGAAAGGTTGCTTTATCAAATAATATAAGGCGCGTTAGCGCCTTAGGAGGACATTCTCTGCTTTCGTGGAAAGGTTTTTTAAGAAAGTATCTGTGGCTTTAATATACACTATAGCATATGTTGTAATGTCAGTCTTGTTATAGCTACAGAATGATTTCCCTAGCGTGAAAATGTCATCCTCTGCTTTCGTAAATACATTTTGACAAGATTGACACCTACTACTCATTCATAAATCATGTGGTACCTCATAAATCCAGTTCTCCAAATATTTTAATAAAAAAGTTATTATAGTTTGTTTATTTCAAGATACAACTAGCACTGCCCAATTCTACTCAACATATTATTGTCGTCTCAGACGACGCTCACCTATGCGACGGTTTAATGAACCTCTCAGAATTCCAGTCTATTACATGAGGTAATTTAAAGCTCAGATATGTTAAATAAGAGAAGACTGCATAATTGAAGGAGATTGCACAAACTATCAAGGAGATGAAGTGAAGCAGACAAGGTAGGAATCCCGACAAAGCAATTGATCAGTTTCAGATACGATCAATTCTCAATGCTAAGCTTCTGATTGAAAATTCTTGTTGGCTTATTCCATAGCTCTTGAAGTGCAAATTTCATGCGAACATGGCCAATAAGAACGCAACTACTTTTGATCAGCTTCAAATCCTGTATCAAGACCCCAAATTTGAGTTGACTACTTTTGATCGGCTAGGTCTAATAAAAAAACAATTCAGTCTATCTGAATATACTTATTGATTGCTAATGTAATTACTTACTGATTTGCGGTATGTTAACAGATACTTCGTTCAAATGCATAAAATATGCAGCTCTTGCAAACATGTATATACTACATGAGTTGATTAATGCCGTGCAGTAGTTTAAACAGATGCATTCATGGCAAAAGCACATGAAGAGAGAGAGAGAGAGAGAGAGAGAGAGAGAGAGGAATTGTCATCTACGAACCAATAAGTGATGAATCTAATGGTAAATGTATGGCTAGAAAAGATATGATGGGAACTTACTAATATCAATTGTGAGAAGACCGTCATTAGCCTTTCAAGTATTTATGCGCAGACATTTGAGGAGGCGGCGTTTTTAACAAAGGTCGTAAAATTTAGCTGCTCTTTTAAGAATAATAGTTTTTATTAAACTTTTCAACAATAGCGAAAAATAAGAGGGTGCAAGGCCTAAGTAGGAAATCAAAGTGGTTACCCTCCAAATAAAAAGTTCTATGCACCCCCATTGTTTGCTATTGTTTAAAGATTTGATAAAAACTGCAGTTGTTAAAAGAGGGAGAAAATCTTTACAAGTTTTGTTAAAAACCATTTGGAAAGAGCATAGCTTTTGCGGCAGAGAGATTTTTAGTGAGAGCTTGCACTTGCATCAGCTGAATTGGGAGGAGAAGTAGCTTTTGTGCTGATGTTGATGGAGTGGTTCATCATCATGATTTGGTTGAGTTCTTCCACGTCTTGCTTGCGTACCAAACGGAACCCACACTTCTTTATACCCGAGCAATATATTGTGTCTGAGTGAACGTCATAAAAAGTACGGAATGAAATCTTCATCTGACTGCATTCTTTGTCGACTAAAGAATGATATACACAAGATACCCAAAGGTGAGGTGACACAAGATGGCCTCTAACAATGGGTGTACTATACACAGGGAAACCTTCTCCTAGGCGACATTCAATTTGAAAAGTGTCAGAAAGGTAACGAGGTATATTTGGGTGATCCACAGGGGCACCTTCTTCAAAGACAGCACAAAAAGCAATCCAAATGGACGTGGTACATGGAGGTAGCTCCACAATTAAGGAATCTCCTACACTTTGATTACTGAACCACTCTGGAATTCTACTTCCAGGTGTTACAATTTGAAAAGCGGGAATATTCCAACGAGCTACCTATACCATGCATAGGTTAGTAGCTTGATTATTTATTTATTATTATAGCAAACAAAGAGAGACAGAGAGATAGAGAGAGAACCTTAAGGAATCTCCAATCCAGACCAATCCAGAGCATTCCAAGTATAGCATCGCAGCCTTCATTCTCAACCAATCCAATGCAATTCACACAACTCAACACGAACCCAACATAACTTCTTCTTCTGTTTTTTATGCTCAACTTTGGCAACATTTTTAAGGAAGTGCAATCCTCTGTGTATATTCTAATACTGTAGAAGTCATTCTCAACCAATCCAAAGCGGAGATGGGGCAATTGTTGAAGCTTTTGGCACCCATTCGCCTTAAGTGACTTAAGCTTAGGAAGACATCCAATGCTTGCAGGAAGGATAACAAAATTGTTTCGACTAAGGTTTAATTATTCTAAAGAGGACAAGCAGCCAATATCAACGGGAATATCCCCTTCACAAAGACCACAATTAGTCAAATCCAAAAGCTTCAAAGACCATAAACCATGTAGCGAACCCAACATAAAAGCCTTTCTTTGGAGGCCCCGCCAAAACCTTGATTTATTAGGCTATGATCTACGTACTTTAATCATTTCAACAGGGCGTCCATCTGCATAGAGCGCTTTAAGAGACTTCAAATTACAAATTGCGCTCGGAAGACCCAAGAGATTTGTACAATTTCTTACATCCAAAGAAGTAAGGCCAACAAGACGTCCAATTGATGAAGGTAATTTCTCAATGGCCGTCCCACTCAAACAAAGCTCTGACAAATTTTTCATTTGTTCTGAAAATTCTGGAATCTTTTTCAGTTTTGAGCAACCACAAAGACTTAAATATATAAGAGAATCCATTTCTACCTCCCTTGGAAGACTCTCAACACTTTTGCATCCATATAGTATTAGATCTGTAAGCCATTTGAGATATGCAACGGACGGGTGAATCTCAACCAAATTCTCACACCCTTTAAGATCCAACATCTGGAGTTTTGGAATGCCAGTGAAATTTGGGGTTGTTGCTAAGTATCAAGACCAACTTAGGTCCATGTATTTCAAATTGGGCAAGTCCTGTACAATATTACATGAAAAATAGTAGAATATATAATTAGCAACCGAAAAACTTAAACTTCTACTCTCTTTTTTTCAAAAAATTCGTAAGATGGCATATGGTCAGTAATCTTACAATTCTTCCATCCCACAGCCTAAGTAGTTCACTGTCCTGCATCTCAAGTGAAACAAGTTTATTCGGTTGAAAATCTGATGGGAGAAATTTCAATGGAAAATAATTCCATATCATAATTCTTAAGGAATTAGGAAGAATTATGGGGCTTGAAGTATTGATCACATTATCAACTTCAAGAAATTTCAGGTTAATCATCTTAGAGAATGCTTCACAATTCCAATCCACCTTCTCAAGTTTCACCAAGTTTAGGGCGATGCCTTGAATTTTGTTAGTTCCCTGTAATAAAGCATAATAAAAGAAAAGTTAATTCCACATTTAAGTCTAATATTGAGTTAAAAAGAAATCAAATTTCTTAAAAATAAAATAAAAAATTGGTATTTTCTACATAACTTCTTACCGTACTGTTTATCAATACAGGAATGATGTCATTACAATGACACAATCAACTTCGTCCACCGGGCTCTTTAGGAGACTCTTGACGAACAATTTCAAATGCCATTTCTCGTATCAAATCATGCATCCCAACAATGTCGTTTAAAATATCACAAGTTAAGAGTGACTTCTCAACTAGAGCATTTATCCCACCACAATGGCCACAACTGTCTAGTATTTCAATTACTTTCTTCTTGTCCTTCCCCTTAAGGAAACATGCAACATCAAGAAATATATTCTTGTTCATCTCATCTAGTCTATCAAAACTAATTTTGAGCAAATTGAAAATTTCTATCTCAGGAATTTTCCGTAGCTTATCCAATTCATTTTTCCATTCATCTCGATCTCTCTTATACATAGAGCATCCCAAAATTTTAAGAGCTAATGGAAGGCCTCCAGCATATCTTACAAAGCACTTGCACAATTCCCGAAAACCTTCCTCAGGCTCAAGTTTTTTAAAGGCGTTCCGACTAAAGAGCATAAGAGCCTTATCATCATCTAATCCCCCAACCTTATATGATATCTCCATATCATGCTTTTTAACCAACCCTTCATCTCGAGTTGTAATGATGATTATACTCCCCTTACCAAACCAATCCTTTTCCTTAGCAAATTTCTCTAGTTGGCTTGATGCATTCACATCATCAAGAATGAGAAGAACCTTTTTATTACATAGGCAATTCTTAATGAAATAGGTCCCCCACTCTTCATCCCAAACTTGAGTAATTTGTTTCTTCAAGATCGGGAAAAGCAGCTGTTTTTGTAGATCAACAAGACGATTACCTTCACAAGCCTCTCTAACATTAGCAAGAAAGCAGGGAACTTCAAAACGAAAAGAAATGCTTTCATAAACAAGCCTAGCAATGGTTGTCTTGCCAATGCCTCCCATCCCCCATATCCCTATAAAACGAACATCATCTGTAGGAGCTAAAAGCAAGTCTATTTGCTCACGTGTAAACTTAAGTCCAACTAACTCTGTGGAATCTAACAATTTCAATGAGCCATGCACTTTCCCCCACACCCATTCAACAATCTTTTCAATGAGCTTTCTTTCACACCTACAAGGAAGAACAATGATTAAGTCAAAAGTATAAGGAAGAACAATGATTAAGAACAATGGTCTACAAAAAACCCAAGTATATATGGAGAAGTTGCTTACTGAATCTTATTTGAATCCAACCCAGATAAATTAGCAACTTCTGTTAAAGCAGCTCTCCAGCGCTTCACCTTTTCTATGTCTTCCCTAAGCCTTTTCTCATGCTCAGCGAACGCGCCTGCAAAATTGCGGCTTTGTTTTCGCACATCGGAGGGATCCACATTATAAAACACAGGCAGAACTGTGCCGTTGGATTTCATGCATTGGAGAATCTTTGTAAGTTCATCCAAGCACCAGGAAGAAGAAGCATAGTTTGGCGAGAGAACAACGACTGCAAGCCTTGATTCTTGGATTGCTTTGAAGAGCTCAGAAGAAATAGTTGTCCCTCTTTCAAGCTTTGGATCATCCTTGAATGTTTTAATGCACCTGTGCTGCAATTCGTGGTATAAATGGGACACAAAGCTATTTCGAGTGTCTACACCCCTGAAACTCAAAAACACATCATAGTTCCATTGAGGAGGAGCCGACTGATCAGCTGAAGGAAGAAAAGCAGATGCCCTTTGGGTGCTCAACGCCATTGGTAATCTGCTGCCGCTGCCGCAAACACTACTAAATGAAAAAAGAACTTCGTTAATTAAATATTCAAAAATCCAAACACTCAACTGAATAAATACGAAGATGATCATAAATGGCTTGAAAAATGAAAAAGATGAGAATTGAAATTTGGTAAATGAAAATTTAATAAACAGAGGAAAATTACAGCAGAACAAGTTTCAAAGCAACTGGGGAAATTTAGATAGTCAAACATGGATTTGAATCATCTAAGCAAACATGTCAATTTGGACCATGTTAACAAAACATATCAAGTTTCTAACAATGGAACATTACTTCCGATTCAGCATATTATTTAGCACAGCTCATAAGGAAAAAAGAAGAAGACCAATTTCAACATTAAAACAAAAAAAAACAAACAAAAGAAAAGACCAATTTCAACATTAAAACAAAAATTTCATCTCAAATAATGACAAAGCAATTACACCACTTAACTAAAAACTGCAAATGCCTCATCACGAACTACACCAGTCAACTAAAAACTGCAAATGCCTTATCTTAATGTTACCTGAACAAAGCAATTATATAAAAATGGAGACGAAGCAAGGCAGCAGCTTTAGCTTAATGTTACAACGCCAGAGAATTGCTAAGACAACCACCACAAGACCAGCAAGCCAACAAGAAACTCACAAAAAATACAAGATCAGCAAGAAGCAAAGCTAACAGCCTCAGAAAAGAGATGCAGAGAGAGAGTGATAAGTAGTGGCGAACAGAGAGAGGTGTAGAGTACATGGTTTTTATGGTCAGCTATCTCCAACGTCTTGTTGCGTCAATGAGTCATTTCTTTTGCTTTTCAATGAAGAGGAAGGAGGGATCATTTCATTACCGACAAGTTCTATTGAGTGTCAGGCCAATTATTTGAATGGTTGCTTTTCTTGGTAAACTGTGTTGATATTTAGGGGGTGTATTGAATTGAGATTTTAATGGATTATTTTGAAGCTTAAAAGTACAGTGGTATTCAATTATGATTTTTAAGTAATTAATAAAAGTCCGGTGGTATTCAATTAGGATTTTTAAATAATCAATGCAAGTCCGGTGATATTCAATTAGGACTTTTAAAAGATAAGAAAAAGTACCATGATATTAAAATACTTGCTGATTTTAATGTATTTCATTAAGTTGTGTATTGTGTGAGATTTTTGAGTGTGTAATACAAACAACAAATCACATAAGAAATCCCACCCTCCTATGCCTGATATCTCTCATATATGCTTTTTTTTTTTTTTTCTTTTTTTTTTTTTTTTTTTTTTTTTTTTTCTATTGTGCAAAAAGATATAAATGTAAAACAAAAAACAAAAAACTCTTCCGCTGGTGTGCTCATGTGTCTTGATTGGTTTACCCTTCTACCTGGGTAGTGGTGGCATTGGTCCCGTGGTCTTGAGGTTGTGGCTGAAGCTGAATGGTGGGTACTTTGGCTAGGACTTGGTTTTTTTTATTCTTTTATTTTGCAGATCTGGGTGTTCCTCATATCAATCCTGGATCCATACGTCTTCGGGGACAGTCAATTGATTTGGTCGACTTGGGTGGTCTTGCTGGAACTTTTGTGGTTCTTGGAGCGGACAAGCTAGCTATGTGGATTTGCTTTTCATTGTAGTTGCAGTTTTATGTTGTATTATTTTGCTTGTGAGAGTTAATGGTAGTTTTGCATTTGTAGTTGAGTGCTCATGTGAGTGGTGTTCTTGCATGTTATGTCTAGGCTCTCAGTATCTTTAATGTATTCATTCTGGTTATGTGTGGCTATGTTGGGAGTTACATTGTTGATGTCAATGTACTTCCTTTGGACTAACATTTGATGGTTATTGTGCCACTATCTTTGTATTAACCCTAAAAATTGAGTATATGTATCCTAAAAATTGGGCAAATTCCTTCAAATTATGTATAGGTGAATGATGATGAGTGATAGAGTTCAAGCTTGTATAGAAATATAAGTAAAATCATATAATTGCAATCTATCAAAATCATAAGTAAAATCCTAAGTGAATTAAAATCATAAGAAAAATCATGTAATTGCAATATATTAAAATCATGAGTAAAATCATATAATTACAAATCCGGCTGAAATCCATTACATTAAAATCATGTAATTACAATCTGTTAAAATCTCAATTGAATACACATTATTATTATTTATTTTTTTCACACGATAGGGAAAAACTGTGGTATGGGAGGAAAAGGCAATTACATTTTTCTGTTCAATAAAAAGGCAATTACATTTTAAAAAAATATCAATTATAAACTTGAATAGTACATTCAAAGACATCAACAAGATAGCGAAAGTACTGTTTCTACCAAAATGAATAGCCAATGAATATCGGACACATGGACTAAACTAGGGCCATGGGTGCCTTTGGCATCCACCTTCGGTACCAAACCCACCGATCGCAACATTAGGGCAACCTCGCCCCCTTCGACATGTGGCAGTCCCACAACTGATGTCCAGAGTCCCACATCGAAACTCTAGACAAATTGCACACCTCCCAAGGCCTATAAAAGAGGACCACCATCCCAGCTTGGAGGTAATCAATCAGAACTTACGGCATACTGCCTATTGATTTGTAGTTCAACTTTACTAAATCCGTACTTACTTAAGCATCGGAGAGCCTTCGGCCGGTACCACACCGGTGCCTTAGGACTTACCGTGTGTTTGCTATCTTATAGATTGGACACACTACCGAGGACATCAGATACCGAAGGAAACATAATCACTAAGTTGCGCGGGAAAGTGCCGAACCATTTTTCTGCGTCAACAGTTTGGCGCCGTCTGTGGGAAACGATAACAATCAACCTACAATTCCTAAAAAAAACATATGGGAACCACTTCAGGACCACAGTTCCTATCAGAGGATGGATTACCGTACGGTATGCCAAGCGGAGCAAGCCCCGCGCTGCACCCTAGCACCCCCTTCGGTAATCCTCCTGTGCTTCAGACAACGGTCGAAGCGGAGCTTCTAGGTCATATGACCTCCCTACGGAGGGAGATGGCTAAACTCCAAGAACATAACAATCTCCTTTCGTCCAAAGTAGACGAAACCCAACGGTTGCTTAACCAGCAGGAAACACAGAACATTCAGACTACCGAATCTTCCCAGAGTCAGCAGACCCCTGGTCGGCAGAGGAAGGGAAAGCAGGGGGCAAAGGCAACGCCTGCGCCTTCCAAACAGTTGGTGGTCCCGGCTCCCCAGGACCAACCTCACGTACCGAAGAAGGTGTACACCGATTGTCGTCATCGGATCAACGACAAGAAGGATGCCGAACGGCATAGGTCCCCAATCGGAGTTAACGCCCGCCTGCGGGACTCCCGGATGAAGGTCCTGGGAGATAAATCGCCCCTTCGGAAGGTCCAGGGTTTGGATTCGGCGCTGGAATCTGATGATGAGTACATCCCCACCAGGGGCACCGAATCAAGCTACCGTTCGGAAGCTCCCCCGGAGTATTCGAAGGCAAGACCACGAAGTCCGAGGAGAACTTCCGAAGACTTCAGTTCCGAGGATGTCCCAAACTGAGACCCCGCTATCCGCCTACTTTTCCAGAGAATCCAGAAGATGGAGGATGACTGAACTCGGTCCCAGGTCCCTGACTGGGGAAAACTTCGGCCGGGACCATTTACCGAGCGCATCAAGAAGTCCAGACCGGACAGGGAGGTGCAGCCGTTGCGCATACCATTTTATACCGGTGTGGAGGACCCCTTGACGCACCTTCACTCCTTCCAATCGGCAGTTGGGTGCAAGGGCCTCAGCGACGAGGGGCAATGTCTGCTGTTTCCATCGTCCCTTACCGAAGCTGCTTTGAACTGGTTCTACCGTCTCGAGCCAGGGACGGTAGACTCCTTTGACGAACTGAAGCAGATTTTCCTCAACCACTTCATGATCCAGACGGACTGCTTGTACTCTGCCGATGATCTGTACATGATTCGGCAGAGAGAGGACGAACCCTTACGGGAATACGCAGCGCGCTTCAGTAATGAGTACTCGAGGTGTCCCGAAACAGACGATAGGGTAGCCTACGGCGCCTTCAAGAGTGGCCTTCGGTCCTCTCACTTCCGGTACCTAGTGCACAGTAGCAACTGGCGCACATACGACGAGTTGATGAAGCAGGCGGCAGTTCATGCGAAAGCCGAATACTTCAACTCCAAACCCGGGCCTTCGGCTCGGAAGGAGGAGTCAGCCACCAAAAGTTATTCGGGGCGAATTGACAATTCTTCGGCAGGACACAAACGGAAGGACGACCATGATAGTCGTCAGGGAAACTTGAAGAAGGGGCGCGGGAAATACAGTCGTAACGACCACCGAGCGCCGTTACCGAATCACGATCGTGCCCCGGAAGTCTTCACCCTGCTGAACACAACGTACGAAACCGTTCTGATGAACGAACATGACCAGATCCCGAAGCCAACCAACCGAAAGCCCAATCTGCAAGATAATCGGGACACAGGCAAATTCTGCCGATACCACCAGCAAAACAGCCACAACACCGAAGACTGCATCAGTCTGAGGAAAATTGTCGAGCGTCTGATTCGGGAGGGAAAGTTGGATCAGTACCTCGCTAGGCCACCACAGGCACCAGCACCGAACGCGAATCGGCAGATCAACATGATCAGCACGATCAGCGGTGGCCCCACTCTGGCGGGACCCTCTAACCGTTCGATGAAGCAGTATGTGCGTGCCGCCCACTGCCCTCAGGTCTTCGGCATAGAAGACGATCGGTGCCGAAAGGTGCCGAAGGTGGGATGGGAGCCCATCACATTTTGTGAAGAAGAGGAGGGGATCATTTACCCCCACGATGACCCAATGATCATTCGGGCCGAGATCGCCGACTACGATGTGGGTCGGGTGCTGATCGACACCGGTGAACGTAATTTTTACCAATGCGTTCAAGGGACTGGGAATTGCCGATAGCATGGTCAATCGGCAAATCACGCATCTCCTCAGTTTTTCTGGAGATCTGGTCCAGCCAGTCGGCAGTATCAGTCTGCCCATCGCCTTCGGCGTCGCCCCTAGTTCCTCATTGTCGATTGCCCAACGGCATACAACGTCATCATAGGGCGAACGGCACTCACCAGGGTCAAAGCCCACTTATCTCCCCACATGTTGCTGATGAAGTTCCCAACGCGCAACAGTACCGGCGTCATCCGGGGCGACCAGCTCAGCGCACGGACGTGCTATGCCACGGCCCTTAAGTCGGTCGCTAGCAAGCCGCCAATGGAAGCCATGACCGTGCATGGACTACCAAACGGTAGTGAACCCATTGATGACCCCAGGGAGGAAAACCCAACGCCGGTGGCGCAGCCCGCCGAGGAGCTCGAGACCGTAGTCCTGAACGAGGATTTCCCCGATCGGTGGGTGAAGATCGGCACCAACCTAGGTCCCGACCTCCGAAGACAGTTCATCAACTTCTTACGGCAGCAGGTGGAAGTCTTCGCCTGGTCTTATGACGATATGCCTGGCATATCACCTGATGTTATCAGCCACAAGCTCAGCATCTCCACCGCCCACAAACCGGTCAGACAAAAGCGCCGATCGTACGATGCCGAACGGTACGAGGCAATGCGTGCCGAGGTTGACAAGCTCAAAGCCATCGGCTTTATCAGGGAAGCTACGTACCCTGTTTGGCTTGCCAACTCAGTCATGGTTCAGAAGGCCAGAGGAGGATGGTGGATGTGTCAGGACTATACCGACCTGAATAAGGCTTGTCCGAAGGACAGTTTCCCCTTGCCGAGAATCGACCAGCTCGTCGATGCCACCGCCGGACACGAGCTGCTCAGCTTCATGGACGCATATTCAGGATACAACCAGATCTTTATGGACCCTGCCAATAGAGAACATACGGCATTCATCACAGATCGCGGTTTGTACTGTTACAACGTCATGCCCTTCGGCCTGAAGAACGCGGGGCCAACTTATCAACGGCTCGTCAACCGGATTTTTGCCAAGCACATCGGCAGCATCATGGAGGTGTATGTCGATGACATGTTGGTGAAAAGCCGAACGGCAGGGGGGCATTTGGAAAACCTGGCCCTCATGTTCGGTATACTAAAAGACTATCGAATGAGGCTGAACCCCGCAAAGTGCGCCTTCGGTGTATCTTCCGGTAAATTTCTCGGATTCATGATCAGCCAAAGGGGAATCGAGGCCAATCCCGAGAAAATCAAAGCCATAATCGACATGGAGATGCCGAAGACACAGATAGACATTCAAAGCCTTACCGGACGTGTCGTTGCCCTGACACGCTTCATCTCCAAGGCTACCGACAAATGCGTTTCGTTCTTCAAAGCTTTGAAAAGGGGCAAACATCATATCGCATGGACTCCCGAATGCGACCAGGCATTTCAAAACTTGAAGAACTACATGAGCCAGACACCGCTATTATCAAAACCGCTTCCAGGAGAGGTACTACTCCTTTACCTTTTGGTATCCAACACTGCCGTTAGCTCAGTGTTGATACGGAAGCCAGAGAAAGCAGAGCTACCGATTTTCTATGTCAGCAAGGCACTCCAGAGCGCGGAGCTTCAGTACCCACCCTTAGAGCAGCTAGCACTGGCCCTGGTCGTCTCGGTGCGAAGGCTTCGCCCATACTTCCAGGCGCACAAAATCACCGTTCTGACAAACCAGCCTCTTCGGCAGGTACTCCAAAAGCCAGAAACGTTGGGCCGATTGGTAAAATGGGCAATCGAGTTGGGAGAGTTTGACATACAATTCAAGCCGAGGCCTGCGGAAAAAGGTCAAGCCGTTGCCGACTTCATCTCCGAGCTCACACCTCCTACGCTATCAGAACCATCATCACCGAACGCCATCCTTACCGCACCGGAGAAAATGGATACCGAACATTTCGACACTTCTGTTCCTCTCTGGATCCTGCATGTGGACGGCTTGACAAACCAGCAAGGCTGTGGCGCCGGCTTGGTGTTAACCACTCCGGACGGTAGCAAAGTCGAGTATGCCCTTCAATAACGAGGCAGAGTATGAGGCCCTCTTGGCCGGCCTTCGGCTAGCCAAGAGCATGAGCGCAAGGCAGATCAGCATTCACAGTGACTCCCAGCTCATAGTGAATCAGATAACGGCAAACTTCGCAGCGAAGGATGCCTCTATGTCAGCCTACCTATCGGCAACTCACCAACTACTACAAAAATTTCAGGCCTACGAGATACGGCAGATCCCAAGGTCAGAAAACAGCCACGCCGATGCGCTCTCACGATTAGCTTCGGCAATAAATGACAAGATCGGAAAGAAGATACCGGTGGAGATATTATCCCAACCAAGCACAACAGCCGCTGAGGTGTGTACCGTTCGGTACGAAGACACATGGATGTCTCCAATCTATGCCTTCCTGACAACCGGAACCCTTCCTACCGATAAGTCCCAAGCTCGAAAACTCCGTTACCGATCGGCAAGATACACAGTCATCAACGCCGTATCTAAAATGCCTTACCAAGGAGCAGGGGGACTACATCCTTCGGGAGGTCCACAGCGGAATCTGCGGTGACCACTCTGGATCCCGATCGCTCGCACACAAAGTCTTCCAACAGGGGTATTTCTGGCCGACTCTGCACCAAGATGCGAACATATTGGTTAGGAAGTGTGACAAATGCCAGCGGTTCGGTAGTGTCCCTCATATTCCTGCCGAGCCGCTGTCACCGATCGTGAGCCCGTGGCCATTCGCCCAATGGGGATTAGATCTAATTGGTCCAATGCCAGAGGGCAAGGGTCAGGTCAAATATGCTGTAGTTGTCGTAGACTACTTCACCAAATGGGTTGAAGCCAAAGCCTTAGCGATAATAACAGCAGCCAGAATCGAAGATTTCGTCTGGACGAACATTTGTTGCCGATTCGGCATCCCCTACGCCATCGTCACGGATAACGGCAGGCAGTTTGATTTGGAAGTCTTCAGAGAGTTCTGCACCCGACTCAAGATCAACATGTTCTTTGCTTCGCCAGCTCACCCCCAATCGAACGGACAGGTCGAAGCAATGAATAAGATCGTCAAGAAGCTATTAAAGCGGCAGCTTGACAAAGCCAAAGGAGCCTGGCCGGAAAAACTTCCAGAGGCGTTATGGGCCATTCGGACATCCTACCGAACGACAACTGGGGAAACACCGTTCTCCATGGCTTTCGGCTCTGAAGCGGTAGTCCCAGTAGAAATCGGAGAGCCTTCCTACCGAACGGAAACTTTCACACCGAAAGCGAATGAGGAAGCGCTCGCCTTGAGCCTCGACCTGCTCGAAGAACGCCGAGCACAAGCCAACCTTCGGAACGAAGCTTACAAGCAATGCGTCTCTCGGTACTATGACTCCAGGGTCAGGTCCCGCTCTTTTCGAATCGGAGATTGGGTCATGCGAAAAGTCTCTTTGGCAACCAAGAATCCTACAGAAGGAACCCTCGGACCTTCCTGGGAGGGACCCTACGAAATCATTGGTATCCAGCGATCGGGGACTTATCGACTTAGAGACTCCAACGGAAAGACGCTCGGTCATCCTTGGAATGTAGAGCATTTGAAATACTATTTTAAATGAAGTCACCTAGCCCACGGCAGGGTTACAACGGAGTCCCAAAAGCCTTCGGCTTCTCTCCTTTCACAGCCTTCGGCAGTGTAGCGTTCCCTAGCCTACGGCGGGTTTTAAATTGTAAAACGCACTCCAAATTGTATCTTTGCCTTCGGCATTTTATCAATGAAAGGGCCTTCGGCTCATATATTCAAAACCCTTGTTGTACCCTTTACGCTCTTTTCAAATAATAAAAAAAAAAAAAAAAAAAAAAAAAAGATACGGTAACCATCGATCGCAGTAAACTACGCATTTTGGCATCGCTATTAGCCTACCGATTAAAGGACAACTTAGTTACCCATTGGACCAAAGGTTTCAGCCTTTATTAGCCTTCGGTACTTAAAGGCCGTTGCTTAGCCTTTGGCAAGTACGTCTGTTAGTCTCATTTCCCTACTGTTTGAACTTTTGCTTGAAAGGTAACTTTATTGGCCAACGGCTAGTGACCCTTTTTGAGAGCCCTCGGCATATAAAAAGAAAAATTTCCTAAGTGTCTTACCGATTCAGAAGTAAGATGCAATCAAGTTAAAATTAAAACACAACTTCGATTAAAATATGCCCACGACATCAAATATCCAATCAAAAGATGCCCACGACATCAAGGTCACATCGGAATTAGAAAAATGCCCTCGGCATCAAGTTACATAAGATAAAAGTAGGGAATGAGAAGAAGCTTTTGGAGAAGATTGACGCTCTGCCGTTCGAAATAGGACTATACCTTTGAGTATCATTGCAGAGCGTACAAAACTTTCTGTCGAGGATGGAGGGCTTTCAAGTAGCCTCCTCGGCATCCGCCTCTTCGGCACCAGTGGCGTCAAGCTCTCCCGGAGCGTCCTCCCCTTCATACTCCTCTATCATTTCTTCTGTGACGCCTTTGGGAAGGGGAGGAGGATCGGCAATGAAGTTCAAATTAAGCTTCGTCCCAGGATTGTACCGCTTGAAACGGTAGATGAGATCCACCATCTCCGAGCCCACCTCCTTGTCAAGCAAGGGAGAGAAATCGGGAGAGTAGCGGTACTTCCGAATAGCCTCCTGGACAGCAGCCTCAATCTCCGAAGCCTTGGCCCGCTCCGACTCCTCCAAAGCCACCTCGACGGCCTCCTTCGCCTCCAGAGCCTCTTTTGCCGATAGCCGTGCCGACTCCAGGGCTGACAACAGATCCGCGAACTTAGACTCATAAACCCTGACCTGCCGTTCGGCAGCCTGCAAATCCTTCGCCAGGTTCGCGTGATCCTAGATAGCCTTGCCAGCCTCGGCAACCCTGGCCCTACCGTCCTCATAGGCCTTCTTTGCCTTCTCGGCAGCATTGATGGCTCGCTTTATGCAAAGCCACACGTCCATCAAAACCTGGGTAACAAAGGGAATGTCAGATAAAATATAAAGAAAGCAGTCGGTAAGTTGAACCGGGAATACTTGGGACTTACCGATGCTTGAAGGCGAAAAGCGCGGCCCGCCTCCTCCCGAAGGAGCTTTTTCGGCAGCTCCTCGATCTCGTTGAGCTCCATTTGCGAACCAAGGATCATGTGGTTCGCAAACAGAACCGTCTTCGGTGGACAGGTCAAGGTGACAGGATTGGCAGGCTCCTCGTCGTTATCAGCGTTAAAGATGGCCCGAGGAGGCTTGGCCTGCCGTCCGCGCTTTGGGGCCGGTTCGGCATCCAGGTCGACGGTAAATGGATGCTTGCCAGCGGCTCGGGAGGAAGTCCCCTCGGTAGGGACGCCTCGGCCAGGAGATGGACAGACCGCTGCCGCCCCCGCCTGTGCCGAGTCAACATTGAGCTGACGGAGGCGGTCAGCCAGAGTTTGGTCCTCGGGGTCGACCGGTGTCGTTCATCCTCTTAGCCTCGGCAGCTCTCCTCTCTTCCGTCACTGCGTAAAGAGGGATCGGTAAGACTCACTACGCGAAAAAACAACTTATAAATTGCAAAGTACACTTACTCTCGGCAGGATCGACCAGCTGGGCCTGGATCAGATTGGCGGTAAAGAGGAATTGCGGATACACCCTCTCCTCGGCAGGGACCTTTCTCCTCACCCTCTCCACTTGTTGGATCTCGGCTTGCGTTGCGATCAGCTGCTTTAATTTACCTACAAGGGGAACAAACAGGAAAAGATCACTTACAGTAAACATGGAACCCAGAGAAGGTACCGAACGGCACATTACCCTACCGGCTATTTGGAATGTTGTGGGAATGTGAAATTGGACAGGCTATCCCGAAGGCGACTCCCAATCGCCCGAAAGGAGCACCCGTCGATTCCTCCATGACTTCTGTGAAGTCGGTACCCAGCTGACAAAGTGGCCACGATCGGCAGCCCTGAGACAGTTCGCCTGCACCCATCCGCCGTGATCGGCACACTTGGACTTGGTGATGTTGTACAGGTGCGAGAACTGTTCATAGGATGGACTCCCTTCACCGGCCATACCGAAGGCCGTAGCCGATCTGGGCCAGGATCCTTTGTACCGCCGGCTGCAACGGCAATCGAACGCCTTGCACAAGGACGTCGGTAAAGAAAACTACCTCGCCGTCCTTCGGCTTGCTGAGGGATTCGGTAGGGCCCGGGATCCTCATCCGTACCGAATCGGGGATGCGGTATTCCGCTCGAAATTTGGCAATCTCCCGCTCGGTAATCTTGTCCGGCCCGAGATAGTCGACGCCGAACAAATTTTCCTTTGGCACCCCCATGGGTACCCTAGGGTTGCTGGGGTACACTACCGACACCCTCGGCCCAGAGGATGGTTCAACCGCCGACTCTCCACGACCGGAAGTGGAGGTCTCTGACTGGCGACTACCGCTCGCCTCCCCAGGCATACCGAGGCCCACGTGGCGGCCGTCACTATAGACTATGGACAACGGCACCGGAGCGGTCATTAGCCCCTTCCCGACGTCGTGTGTTGGAATGGAGCTGGGCCCTTCACCGAGTATCTCAACATCGGTATCACTCCCACCCTCGGCATCAGGCCCTGCCGCTTCGCCGTCGGAGTCAAAGAGACCATCCGATGACTCCTCATCGAACGCATTGGGCTCGCGCTCGGAGAATGACTTGCTATCAAACATCTACAAAAACAGGGAAAAATGATACTAAGGCTCATGCCGGATACTATCCTACCGATCCCTACATCACTACCTATGGCGACTAGACTACCGAATGGAACCCTATGGTCAGTCTAGTTCGAACCAAGGAAGGACGTAACTCTTAAAGCATGCAAGAGAGTAAAGAGGAAAGTGTCGAACGGTACCTTAGTATGCACTCTGGAAAGTAACGTGAACTGCTCTTCAGATCGCTTCCTACCGTTTGAAACACCGGAAATCGCCTGGTTACCGTTAGCACTTGTTGGAAATCGCCTTGAATACCAGAAATCCTCGTCGGAAATCGCCTTAAACAGAGCTCTCGCTTCTCACTGGATGCAAAGTGATTTCGCCTCCGGGGTCATCTCTATTTATAGGGAAGTGGTTTGCAACGGTACTCCTCGAAAAACCAAACGGCGCATTAATGCGTCGTGCGCCATCATTACTTTCGCCACGTGTCGCTCATCCTATGGGGAACTGACGGCACGCGAGGCGCGGAAGTCGAAGCGCTCAGATGTCCCTTCACCCATCCACTCAACGCGACCTTCTAACTTCGCCAACGTCAGCCTCTGAACAAATAATGCCGGAAGGGCCAAAGTTGAGCCCCTTCCCCCAACTGGACTACCGAACGGTAGGGCCACATTTCCTTCCGGAGACAACTCTAAATCCCCTTCCGAGAACTCTCGCAAGAGGACTTGGGGGACTCCTGTTTATACCAAAATGAACAGCCAATGAATATCGGACACGTGGACTAAACCAGGGCCATGGGTGCCTTCGGCATCCACCTTCAGTACCAAACCCACCGATCGCAACATTAGGGCAACCTCCCCCCCTTCGACACGTGGCAGTCCCACAACTGATGTCCAGAGTCCCACATCGAAACTTTAGACAAATTGCACACCTCCCAAGGCCTATAAAAGAGGACCACCATCCCAGCTTGGAGGTAATCAATCAGAACTTACGGCATACTGCCTATTGATCTGTAGTTCAACTTTACTAAATCCGTACTTACTTAAGCATCGGAGAGCCTTCGGCCGGTACCACACCGGTGCCCTAGGACTTACCGTGTGTTTGCTATTTTACAGATTGGACACACTACCGAGAACATCAGATACCGAAGGAAACATAATCATTAAGTTGCGCGGGAAAGTGCCGAACCATTTTTCTGCGTCACCATCAAACCCATAACCAGTCACCACATACCCAATCAAACCATCACCATCATCACCAGCCACCACATACCCAGCTAAACCACCAACACCACCCAATCGGACTACCGCAACCATTAATTAGTGTAACCACAGAGAGCACTACAAGGAAAACCCCTTTTGGCGACCACCACGTTTGGTCGCTAAAAGCTGTTATTTCGTCGCCAAAACCCTTTAGCGACGAAATAATTTTGTCACCTTAGGCTCGTGGCTGAAAGTCCCAAACTACGAAAGGCAACGAAAATAATTTTTCGTCGCTAAAATTCTTTATGAGACCAATTGATTTTGTCGCCTTTAATTAATCAGTTGGTCGCCTTTAAAGATGGGTTCCCACGAAAATACCAAAATTTGCCGTGAACTGAGGATGGATTGGGCGACCAAATGGATTGGTTCGTCGCTGATAGGTTTGGTGACTATCTGATTTGGTCGCTAAAGCTTACTTAGTTGGTCGTTAAAATTTGTATATTTTGGGTGTTTTTAATTATTTGATTTATATTCTGTTTTGTGGTAATATTAACCTTTTGCATTAATATATTGTAATTTTGAATAAATGTAGGTAAATAGATCAATAGAAAATGACATGAATAAAAGTTTCTCTCATTAAAAATTACACGAGCATACTAGTTATTGAAGTACACATAACATATCCAAAAATAGTACATATAAACAAGTGAAGAACTCCACTCAAAGACTGGAGGCCAAGCTCCATATATACTTGCCCTCGGTAAACCCAAGTTCCGTAGTAATTATTTCCCCACTCTAAGACTAGGTTTCGACTGAAAAAAATGCATGTAGTTGCCTTCTTTAATTCCAAGTTATGTAGTCATGATCTTTAACACCTGTGGGATAGGGACTGTAGTCTAATATCATGGAATTCCCAAACACTCTGCTAATTGTTGCTTGATCTTCTCAAACTCATCAATCATATTCCTTTACAAAAGAAACAAAACAAGGAAATGCTAATAGTCAAGAAGATGCCAAAACCAAGAAAAGTTATAAATAAATAAATAAATATATATATAGAGAGAGAGACCAAAAACAAACAATTTTTGACAACACAATTACAAGAAATCTTGCCCAAAAGCTGAAATTCACAATCTTAACTAAATAAGCCATTAAAAAGAGTTTGGATCTACATAAGAAAAATGATCACTAGTCATCAATATTTAAGAATGTTTGAGAATGGTATTTGAACAAACTTAATAAAATTTGAATTCATTTTTCATACCTCTCAATATCAACTGTCTAAAGCATACCTTTGTGATAATAACAAATACCACAAATGAAGGAAAACAATTCTGAGAAACCAATGTAAAGACTAATATCATGCGTAGCACAAACCCATTAGAAAACATAAATCATAAAATCCAAAGTATAATCCACACCTTAACCAACAAGGGTTGCATAACTTCTCAACACAATACAAAACACGTATGTCATTTTAGTACCTTTAAACAAACAACACCACAATGACATTGACAACTACCATAGCTATTAATAAGAAAACAAATAGAACTGAGTGTAATTTGAAGAAGAGGTTCTTACCTCAAATGGTCCTCTGTCCAAAACCACAAACCAAATCCTTCCACCTCCTCAAATAATCTGACATGCAAAAACAGGATATTACCTCAGTAAAATTAGACTCCGAAATGACATTGTTCTAAACACATTATAAGATAAAGAGAACCACAAAGCCAAATAAGGCAATCACTCATTGGTTTTAATGTCTTCAATGCAAATAGAAACACTAAACGACAACTTTTTCAATTTCCACTAGAATACAATGAAGAATTGAAATAAAAAGATATCTAAATGTAGAAAAAGAGGATTGAATTGAGATAAAATAACATGAAAAATTCTTTAAAAGTGAAAACACAAGCTAACAGAGGATGATCCTAGTGAAAAACTAGAAGTCTTGAATATATTTCTTTAACATATTTTCAAGCCCAAGACACATAGTTTGCTTAAGCACATAGCCCAACATTCCCCATTTTCTAGGCACTTCAATTTGGTCTTCAAACATTGATAAGAAAAAGGACAATTCAACAAAAAGGGTATGAAGTAGTTTGCAGTAAATCATAGATGACCAAATACATATTTTGTTAAACAATTTGGGCAGGAACACTTCAATTTGGGAAATTCACTAAAAAATCAGTTTGAGTCGAAATAGTGTGAAACTTTCCAGATCAAAACTAGACACATAAAACTTCATCACATCAAAATTTCATGGCATTCGAAGTTAAGGAAGCATGTCAAAAACAAAATCCAAACCAGACTGGGTTGAAGAGTTTTATGCTTCCTGCAACATAACAACTACTTTAAAAATTTGCCAAAAATCCAATTTAACTCCAATTTGTATGAAACCAGTTTTGAAATGCTCATTGAAATGTCTAATTATAAAAAATATAGATCAAAATATAAATTCGAACTAGGTCTTCTGGTCCAGAACATAACACAAGATCACAGATTTCTGCATAACCTCAAATTTCATCAACCAACCCAAATCTTTCAAAATACACCACTTATCAGCTTTAAACATCAAAACACTAAATCATGCAAATGTTGCTATTTACTATTGAAAAAGTATTAATCTGAATTGACCAACTACAATTAAAAAAAAATAAAAGCAGAGCTTAAATTGAATAACCAACTATGAAATTTTTACAACAAAAACCACAATGGCAGCTTCAACAATTACGCATCTTCTCCTGCACTAAACAACAAAACTCTAAAAGAAATACAAAGTGTATAAAAAAATGGACAATTTGATATATCATTGACAAAACGTACAAGACCACAGTGCAATATTGAATTACAAAGCACAACCAATTAAAAATCAATAATAATAACCACACACACAAAAATAAATGAATAAATAAAAGAAGCTCACAAACAAAGGCAAAGGAACCTTGAAACGAATACACACCCACATGACCAAGTTCCAACTTCTAACTTTTTACTTCAATTATATAAATGAATTGTTATATTCTTTCTTGCAACAGACAGTAAAGAAATTCAGATTTAATCCAGAAGTATCAAGCAAACATTCAGGACTTCGAAAATAATCAATCAGACTCAAAGCATTAAAACATAAAAAAATGAATTAACTATTGGGTACATGTGCAAGTGAAACATCTCAAATTTGACACAGAACCCACATCAAATGCAAAACAGGGCATTCATATCAGACACAAAACCCTACTCAAATTTGACATAGAACCCACAATAACCACCTGAAAAATATTAGTCATTGTATTCAGAAAACTTGGACTGTTGAATGTTCAAGCATTTAAGATATCAAAAAGGAAAAAACAAGCACTGAAATTCAGTTTCGATTTAAATTCCTGGGCATCTATTTCCGATTTTCCTTGATTATTTTCTCAGCAACCAAATGGAATCTAGAACTGAAAATCAGCGCTCAAAAGAAAATGAAGGTAAGCTAGACAAGGTAGACTCACTAGAAGCTTTCTTTGAAACACGCAGTGAGGAGGACTTTGGAGATGGAGTTTTCATATGGCCGTCGATTCCTGACCGTGGTAGGGAAAGGCGTGAGAGATGGAGGATCGCTTGTTGACGTTGGTGGAGGATTGCTTTGCTGACGTCGGTGGAGGATTGCTTTGCCGATGTGAGAGCAGCGGAGAGTGGGTCTGAGAGGAAATAACGAGTTAGGAACTTTTTATTTTTATTTTTGTATTTATACTCTCTAGATTAGCCCCAAAAACTGTTTGGTTGCCCATATGCTAACATACATAAAACAAAGTCATTTTATGGTTCAAGCACAATGATCTGCGACGAAAAATAAAATGGTCGCCGACCCCCGAAATTTTTAAGCGCTAGTTCTAACTTAGCGACAACACATTAAAACTTAGCGACCTAATATTTTCGTCACCAAAAGTTTTAGAGTTTTGCGCCCACCCAATTCAGTAAATCGCGACCAAATATATGTTTGGTCGCCAAGTCCTAGCCTAACCACCAAAAACTTTCGTCGCCCTTAGTTGATAAATTAATCGCTATTTTGTTGACTCAAGTCATGATGGGTGTCTAAAAATCACGAACTTTTTGGCGACTAACTGGAAAAATTTCGTCGCTGATGCCCTTTTTGGCGACTAAAATATAGTGTGTCGCTAACATTTCGTCGCAAAAGAGGTTTTTCCTTGTAGTGGAGAGAGAGAGAGAGAGAGAGGGTGAGTTGATGGTTGGATCTGTAGTGGCTAAGAGAGAGTGAAAAGGAGGGAAGGAAGAAGGAAACGAAGAAAAACAGAAACGGCCTGGGAATGGAAAGAAGAAGAAAGGAGGAAGGAAGAAAAAAAAAGGGGGCCAGGGAAGAAAAGGAAGAGGAAAAGACAAAGGAGAGAAGAGGAAGGAAGAAAGGAAAAAAAAAGAACGGCCAGAGAAGAAAAGACAAAGGAGAGAAAAGTAAGGAAGAAGAAAAATAAAAAGAAATGAGATAGTTTTAGTCTTTCAAAAATATTAGAATTTTATTTATTCTTAGGCTAAAATCCTTAATTAAAATTAAATATTAAAAAAAAATTTAGTCCGACACAATACCAAACACAAGTCTTCACTATTTTTACAATCTAGTTTCTTAGTCCGATACAACATCAAACGTAGGTTAGTACTTAATCCAGCTTAGTCCAATCCGAGCTAATTCAAGACAGTCCTAGGATTTAATCCGGTCCATAACAGTCCGCCATACCAAACGACCCCAAAGAGTAACAAACTAACACGTTAAAAAGAAAACTAAAACAGATAAAAGCTACATTAAAACTACTAATCCACATCACCACAATTAATCATAAGCCCAAACAAAGCTCACATATCAACATAATCGAAACCCTAAATCAACTTATGAGCCTAAACGAACCTTACCACCACCACCTGAAGAAGCGCTGTCGCGGCCACACCCACCACCGCATCCTTAACAAATTTGAAGAAAACATGGAGTACACATGAGTCGTGTCCTTGGCCACGTGGCGGCTCCGTCATGTGCGACATTTAGGAAGATTAGATGGTTTGGTATTTTCACATTAGAAACTTGAAACATATTTGTTTGTACCATGGAAAAGGAAAAGTAGTCTTACGATGGTAAATACTTGATTTAATTTGATAATCCGCTAACAGTTTCAGTCATTTTGTTGAGTGTCTGTCCCTAAATAGAAAGTAAAAATAAATAATAAGACCATTTTCAATAATGAATGCTCTGCAGGTGGACTGTTTTACAATTTATTTGCCACATATGCATATGTTTTATTGACATGTGATGTGCCTTTTGGTGCTAGTTTTGCTACCGAATTATTCTCTAAATGCAGGATTCCTTGATCCAACTGGTGACAAAAATCTTGCTTGGATGTTATAACCGTCCTAGTAACCTCAGTTTTGGGTGGGAATTTAATTCAATTTCTACTCAATTTTGATGAAGAAGCAAGTTATGCTCATACAAACGACGTCATAACTGTAATGGGGGACAAGGTGCCCGTAAAGATAAAATGGTTAGTAAAAAACTTAAATTGGGTCTGAAATACCAAACCTCATAAACAACATTCCTTGGATCATCTTGTTGCAACATTAAGATTTAAAACAAAAGATTGGTAAATAGTGATTATCAACTGATGATGCATTATATAAAGAGATATTTAGTGATATACCCATTCTTAGCACTAATATTATAAATAAACCCTCCATCATTGAATTTCTATAAACAAACCCAAAAAAACCCCCAAAAATAACAGCTGGCCTTATTGAATTTAATATTGATTATTAAATTACTTTAATGCCCTATTGAGTGTTTTGGGTATTTTTATGAGATTTTGGGATTGGGCTTGTTTTAAGAAATTTATGGTAGTTTTGTAATTTATAAGAAGTTAAAGCATCTTTGTTATGTTGTAAATGAGTTTTGGGTGTGTTTATAAAATTCATTTCATATGGGGTATTTTTATAATTTGGGCTCCCATATTGGGTATATTAGTGAATCTCCCAAAAAAGAATGCATTTAATGATACGTTGTAATTCTAAATTATTCATAAGGACAAAATAGTCATGAAAATTGTGCAATGAATATTGACTCATTTTCCCAAATTTTCCCATGAAGAGGGAAAACAAAACCCAAGTTAAGAGGAGGGCTTCACTTTCCCCCTACTTTCCCATGTGCAAAACAACCATTTCTCATGCCTGGACTTACCAAATATGGGAAAGCAATTGAATTCTCATTCCCAAGCCTCCTTTCCCATGAACCAAACGGGACTAAAAAGCATGTGATGTGCTAAAACATTTGACACACACAATGATCTTTTTTTTTTTTTTTTTTTTTTTTTTTTTTTTTTTTTTTTAAAAGGTTTTTTTTGGGTTGTTGGCTATCAACTGATTACGGTGGTTTAGAATTCGCTCCAACTCTTCCATCTCTGCGCTGCTTGTGTAGATGTACTCAAAGAGGGAAATTTCTCTTTTTCTTCTTTATTATAAACTGGGAGGTGAATTCACTTGGGACTTAAATTCGTAACATATCAAGAGATTAAGATTTAGTTCATCAATAAATTTGATTTAATCTATCTTTGCCCATTATATTTGAAATTCCTTGAAATGTGAGGGAAGGCATATTGATTGCATTTTTCTTTATGAAGGGTTGCATTGCATTTGAGATAACTCATATTATCATATATGACGTTTTTTTATTGTAGACACTACAAAAAAAACTGGCAACAGTCACCATTTTATCACCAATTTTGGTGACTGTTGTGGGGGTTACTAAAGGCTTTAGTCACATTTTTTGACCTTTTGGTGACTAAAAAGGCTTTCAGTCAATTTTGGTGACTGTTGTGGATATATGGTTGGTTACACCCTATTATGATGGCCCCTCAAATCTCTTAATTTAGAGATAAATTATTCACAATATGATAGAGTTTTCAAATTCGATCCTCCATTTCTTAAAGGAGATTAAACTAACCTTAACTGACGAATTAGTTTTCTTATCAGTAAATGTCACTGTTGGACATTGACTAGACCGGATTGTCTAATTTTGAAGGGGATGGACTATTTTAACATTTTGCCTTCCTATTTGTCCTTTTTAGTAAAACTCCTTTTCTTATTTGTTATAAAGAATAAGAAAAAAAAAATGTAAGAAAAAAAATATTTCTATTTGGAAAAAGAAATTGAACAAGAAAAGAATATGAGAAAGAATTATAACGACTATGTTGTTTTTTTATGTTAAAAGGCAAACCAATTTGCCATGGAAACTAATTAATTTAAGCAAACATCATGTTTCCTTTTGCACAATTTCGTAGAGCTAGCATTGATGAAATTATTACAAATCCATTTACGTTAGGTTAGCTTTGTAGTTACTATTGCTTTGAATGGCCGATTTCATAGAGCTAGCATTGATGAAATTATTACAAATCCATATACGTTAGCTTAGCTTTGTAGTTACTATTGCTTTCACTGGCAGACCTACATAGAACCTAGAGTGGGCAGCTACCTACAATTATGCGTAAGTAAAATGCATATATTAATTAGTTGACGCCAATTGTAAAACCTTACTTGATCTGTTCATGGCAATTAAGTTGCCAGCATGGCGTCGGCATATAAACCAGATCTCCCATCTCAAATTAATAACACAACAATATTCCTCAAGGGACCTAAAAGAAAACCTCACAACATTATTGTTTGATTGTTTTCTAGTCTCTACTTATATTTTATATTTATAAGAGTTTAAAATGTGTAGTTGTATATTGGCACTGGCAGACCTATATAGAGCCTAGTGTGGGTAGCCGCCTACACTTAATTTCTTCTTCAACCATGTAGGCTACAATAAATAAGACATTTGCCTAACAAATAAATGAAACCTTCAAGATTTTAACCCAAATTTCCCATATGCAAAATATCAAGGCCCCATATATATATATATATATATATATCGATCTGCGGTGTACACAGTATTGAAAGTAAGTCCTAATTGCAACTCTGTTTTTTTTACATAACCCTAATTAAGAAAAGATATGGAGTTGGAGGAAGAAGTACTAGAACCAGTGAGCCCTACTGGTCACTATACTTCACCAGCTCTGTGTTGTCAGTGTCGAATCTTGCTGTTTTGGAAACTGAGATTCCGTTTGATGAGTCTCAAACCATGTCTTTGGTTCAGTCCTCCCAATCAGCCCACGCTTCTCCTCTATCATGGTATTTAGCTCTCTCTCTCTCTCTCTCTCTCTCTCTCTCTCTATTAATATTAAACAATTCTTGCTTAATTATTTTATTATATAGAAGAAAACGAAAGTAGAGTTTCTCTCAGCGATGTACCCGGAACATACACAAATTTCTCGAACAATTGGAATTATTTATGATTTTTCAATTTTATTTTTAACATATATAATAGGGAGCTGATTTCCCCACTCTATTTTGCTTTTTAATACTTTTTAATCAATTTTGTTCATTCTCTTTCCTATTCTACCCTTACTTTATATTAATTTCTTTTTCACTTCACTTTTATATTATTTCTTTTTCTTTATACTTAATTTTCTAATTTACTCCATTTTCAGTATTAAAGGAAAAAAAAAACTTAATTTCTTACTCTATTAAAGGAAAAAAAATACTGAAAATGGAGTGCAAGTTTGAAAATTAAGTATAAAGAAAAAGAACTAATATAAAAGTGAAGTAAAAAGAAATTAATGGAGGGTAAGGGTAGAATAGGAAAGATAAGGAACAAAATTGATTAAAAAGTATAAAAAAGCAAAAGGGAGTGTAAGTGGCGAAAAGGGGAGTGGGGAAATCATATATGAATATGTTGGAAAGATCGCCAAAATTTCTTGCTCAGAGAACATTTCCCAATCACCTGTGAATATTTTTTTTTTCCAAGTATGCACATGAAGTATCATAAAGAAAGGAAAACTTCGAAAACTTGAACAAAAATTAATTATTTGAGTGTTTCACTAAGCTAATATGGTTGCCATAGCTAACTTGGAACATCATCACCATATTTGTGTATTTGGTTTAATAATTTTCTGAATCCTGTGGCTATGAATAATGAAACTCTTGTTTGGTAATTCCTCATATAATCCACCCTATAATTTTCTTTTGTACTTCAGCAAATAAAATTTATTAATTTGGAAAATATAGGTTGAAAATAATGGGAAGAAACGGTGGAAGAAGGTTGAGGTGAAGCTTGAAGACCATGTAAATATCCCTATTTTCCCACCCAGCCTATGTCCAGATGCATATGACAAGTATCTTGACGACTACATGTCAAAGCTAGCAGTAGAAAGATTGTCACCAGAAAAACCACTTTGGGAATTTCATATCTTCAAATACCCAACTAGCAATGCAGCTGGTAATGTAATCATCAAGCTCCACCATGCCCTAGGGGATGGCTTCTCTCTCATGAGTGCTCTTCTTTCTTGCCTACAACGGGCTGACGATCCTCGTCTTCCCCTAACTTTCCCTTCAAGGCAAAGGTCACAGCCAAAGAGTGAAAGTTTGGTGACAAAAGTCTGCTCATCAGTCTTTAACACCCTGTCAGATTTTTGGTGGGGGATTTCAAACAGCACCATGGATGAAGATGATCTCACACCAATCAGGTCTGGGAAGGGAATTGAGTTTCAGCCCATTGCAGTGTCAACTATGACGTTCTCTCTTGATCAAATCAAATTAATCAAGAGTAAGCTTGGAGTGGTAAGTTCAATAAATCAGCATATATATATTATATATATATATATATGCATTTTTCATTCCAAATTTACATATATGTATCTCTCCCTATCATATTTCGTTTCTTTCAATTATATATACCAACTATTGTGAGACTCGTGAGCTTAATTTGTTTAACATTTGCAAGTTCAAAAAAATGACATTTTGAATTGGATTGTTCTATCAATCAACACGTGAAAAGGAATAATCACCCCAAGTTTTTCTCTTGTAATATGACCAATCCATATTTGTAGTTGTTAATAACTTACTAATATTCATTATATAATGTCATTTGCATATTTAATTATTTACCAACAACGTAATTAACAGACGATAAACGACGTTCTTACGGGGATGATTTTCCTTGGCACTCGACTATACATGCAACGAATTGACAAAAGTTCAAGAAAAGCACGAGGCACAGCAGTGGTGTTGCACAACACAAGGATGATGGGGGATTATACTTCAATCCAGGAGATAATCAAACCCAACAGCAAGATGCCATGGGGCAATCATATTACATTCTTGCATGTACCAATACCCAACTTATTTTTACCTGAAGATGATCATCATCATGAATATTCAAATATTGCCCTTGAATTTGTGTCCAAGGCACAGAAAATAATCAGCATGAAAAGAAACTCTTTAGCTATTTATCTCACCAGCAGGTTCTTGGAGATTCTCAACAGATTTGGAGGCCATGAGGTATGTAAAAAGAGTTCGAGCCCCTCTCTTTAATTTTTTCCTAACTACTAGAAATTTGGTCTTAAACAACACTGCATAGGCATCGGCAAAGAAAAATATTACATCAGGCATCACCTTATAATTACATATAAAACGCAACGAATAAAAACTGATGCCTATGACCAAATTTCTGGTAGTGCCTCCTTTTGCATATACTGAAAATAAAGGGTTACTGTTTATTTTAGGAATTCTAGATGAATTTGTAATGTTCACCAAACAAAGGATTTTGTTTTGTTTCAAAGCATGTTGCTTGTCATGTGGTGCAGGCAGCAGCCAAATACATTCGTAGCACATTGCAGAACTCGAGCATGGTAATCTCGAACATGATTGGGCCTGTGGAACAAATGGCTTTGGGTAATCATCCAATTAAAGGCTTATACTTTTTGGTGTTAGGTTCACCTGAGGTAAGTCTTTAAATATATATATATATATATATATATATATATATATATATATTCAAAAAAAAAAAAAAAAAAAAAAATTTTAGGTTCAATGGTCCCTAACTTTGACCTGATTCGCATTTTGGTCCCTCAATTTCTAAAATTGTTCCCGTGGTCCTTTAACTTTGTTTTCATCAAGATAAATGATCCTGCCATCAATTTTGTTATTTTTTCTGTTAAATGCAGGGGCAAAATGGTATTTTTGTATTTTATTTTTAATTTTCACCATCTGAACTTTTACCCGATTCATATTTTGGTCCCTCAATTTCCAAAATCGTTCCCGTTGTCTTTCAACTTTAGTTTTATTAGGACAAATGGTCCTGCCATCAATTTTGTTAATTTTTTCTATTAAAATGGGAATTGGCTAATATTCATTTATAGCATTTACCCCATATGTAACATAATCTCAATGGACTTGCATGCAGGGCCTTGACGTGACAATAGTAAGTTATATGGGGAAGGTGAAGATTGCTTTCAAAATGGAAAAGGGGCTTATCGATCCACAAAAGTTCAAGTCATGCATGGAAAATGCATTTGAGATGATACTCAAAGCATCGGACACGAAGAACAATTAAGGAGGCATAGGTTGAAATGCCAAGACGCGGCCATCACTAGTTTATAAAACTTTAAAGCTTTTATTATTATTATTACTAGAATAGAAGTGTGACTTATGATGCTGGATATTGCTATTAATTGCTAAAATATGAATATGGTTTGAATACTTTGGGTTATGTTTTATTCTTCTTCATAAAGAGGTATATATAGGAGTTTACATGAGTGCTTTACAAGGAAATAGATACAGTAATCAATTAGGATAGTATCTCCTAATTATACAATGATTTGTCAACTATATAGAATAGGAAAGTAAATCACTTAATTAGTCAAGGAATAAATCTCCTTGATTAATTAGAAGACTTACGTTAACACTCCTCCTCAAGTTGGTGCATATATGTCACTAATTCCCAATTTGGTAAGTGAGTCATGAAATACTTTGCCATAAACAGCTTTTGTTAAGATATCTGCCAGTTGATCTTCTGATTTTATAAATGGTAGTCGGATGATTTTCTTCTCAATTTTTTCTTTGATAAAATGTATATCCACCTCAACATGTTTGGTTCGATCATGTTGAACTGGATTAGAGGCAATATCGATAGCTGATTTGTTGTCACAATGCAACTTCATAGGCTTTTCTGGCTTAAAGCCCAATTATGTCAAGAGTCTTTTGATCCACAATAATTCACAAACTCCGTGAGCCATTCCTTGATAATCTACTTTTGCACTAGACCGAGAAACCACATTTTTCTTTTTACTCTACCAGGTGACTAGGTTACCTCCCACGAATGTAAAGTAACCAGAAGTAGAGCGTCTATCTGTAATGGAACCAGCCCAATCAGCATCTGTATATCCAACAACTTCAAGATCTTCATTTTTTGAGAACATTAATCCTTTCCCAGGGGCTGACTTTAAATATCTTAAGATCCGATCAACTGCATTCCTATGAGAAACACTGGGTGAATGGATAAACTGACTAACCACACTCACAACATATGCAATATCTGGTCTTGTGTGTGTTAGGTATATCAACCTTCTAACAAGGCATTGGTACTGTTCCTTATTGGTTGGTTCTTGGTCCATGTCTTCACACAACTTGAGATTCATCTTAATGAGTGTGTCAGCATGCTTACATCCAAGCATTCATGTTTCAGTGAGTAGATCCATTACATACTTCCTTTGAGACAGAAATATACCAGTTTTTGACCTTGCTAGTTCAATTCCGAGAAAGTACTTCAGATCACCTAAATCCTTCACCTCAAATTCCTAAGACAAATACTTTTGCAACTTCAGTTGCTCTTCTGCGTTGTTTCTAGTTACGATTATGTCATCTACATAAACAAGCAATGCAGCAAGTTTTCTTTCATCACGCTTCAAGAACAGGGTGTGATCTGAATTACTCTATGTATATCCAAAATTCTTCATAGATTTAGTAAATTTGCCAAACTATGCCCTGGAAGAAGTATATAATGACTTTTTGAGCTTGCAAACTTGATTTTTCTTGTCATGAGCTGAATTACATCTTGAGGGTAAGTCCATATATACTTCTTCTTCCAAGTCTCTATGTAAGAATGCATTTTTGACATCAAACTGATGTAGTGGCCAATCGAGATTTGCTGTTAGAGACAATAGGACTCTAATAGTGTTAATCTTGGCTACTGGGGCAAAGGTCTCCTCGTAATCTATCACATATCTCTGTGTGTACTGCTTCACCACCAATCTAGCTTTATATCTTTCAACGGATACATATGCTTTGAGTTTCACAGTATAAATCCACCTGCATCATACTATCTTCTTTCCATGAGGTAAGGGCACGAGTTCTCATGTGACATTCTTTTGGAGAGCTCGCATTTCTTCTTTTATGGCTTGTTTCCATTTTGGGTCTTCTAGTGCTTCAGTTACACTATTGGGGACAAATATGTCAGCCAATTGCTTCACATAGAGCACATGTGACTCTGATAATCTGCTGAGAGATATATAATTATTAATGGGGTATTTCCCTTTGGCTTTAAGATCTATTTCATATTGTACTAAAGGTTCGCCACGGTTCTTCCTTTATGGAAGCTGATATGTAGGCTTTGTGCCTTTTGAAATCAAATCATCAAGAGATATTTCATTAGTGTTATCAGTTTCAGGAAAATATGTTACCTGAATGACTTCCTCAGCAGGTGATTGGTGTGATACTGGAGCTGAAGCGGGCAAAATCTCATAAAACAGTTTAGTTTCCTCCTCCTGATTTTGACAGCGTGGAGATAACCTATCGTTTTCCTTTGGCGACCGGTCGTTGTGAAGAAGGTTCTCTGTATTTGAAGAACGAAGGGGGGCGACCGGTTGCTTTTCACTGGCGACCAGTCGTTTTGATGCAGAGTGATGTCCTGGGGAAAAGAATTGAGAGTTTGAGCAGTGGTGGATTCTCGATTCTCCTCCTTTGGTTGTTGAAAAATATAAGGCATGTTCTCGAAACACAACATCTATGGAGGTAAAGACCTTCTGACTAGGAGGATGATAACAACAATATCCTTTTTGATGAGGTGCATAGCCAATGAAAACACACTTTTCGGCTTGGGGATCCAATATGCTTCATTGGTGATTATGTAAGTGGACAAATACAACACAACCGAAAATCCAGGGTTCCAGGTTTGAGGTGGGAGGTGTTTGGATATGGTGGTGAAATGTTTGAAGTGGTGTTTGGAAATTTAGGGTACTAGAGGGAATTCGATTGATAAGGTATGCTGCAGAGACGACAGCTTCGCCCCAAAAGGATCGTGGCATATTGGCACCAAAGAGAGAGGCACGAACGACTTCCAATAAGTGTATGTTCTTTCTTTCAACCACCCCATTCTGTTGGGGAGTGTAAGCACATGAGCGCTGATGTATGATGTCATGATCTTGTAAGAACTAGTTAAGATCATGGTTGAGAAATTCTCCGCCATTGTCAGAACGAAGAACCTGAATTCTGGCATGAAACTGAGTCTCCACCATTTGATAAAACTGTTGAAACCTGGAACAGACTTCCCCTTTAGTTTTGAGAAGGGAAACCCAAGTCATGAGTGTGCAATCATCTATAAATGTGACAAACCAACGAGCCCCTGCCGGAGTGGCAATTTTAGCAAGTCCCCAAACATCAGACTGAACAAGAGAAAACAGAACCATACTCTTATTTGAACTTAATGAGAATAGGACACGATGACTCTTAGCCAATTCACACGTATTACACTGGAAGCTGGAAACATCAAGACTGTAAAATAATGATGGAAATAACTTCTTAAGATAACCGAACGAGGCATGCCCAAGACGTTTATGCCATAACCAAATTTTTTCTCTCTCCCCCTCAGAACGAGTTCCACTGGTTGTGAAAGCTTGACCAACCTTTACCTCACTATCCGGTGGCCAGTCCAAGTAGTAGAGTTTGCCCCACCAAGTACTACAACCAATCGTCTTTCCTGTGAGGACGTCCTGAAAAACACAATGTTTCGGCCAAGATGTTACAGCACACCCTAAAGTAGTAGTAAGTTGTGCAACATATAACAAGTTATCGTTAAACGATGGAACAAGTACATAATCCAAATGTAGGGAAGTAGAGTGAGATATAGAGCCCTCCCCACCACCGGGGGGGGGGGGGGGGGGGGGGGGGGAGGGGGGGGAGGGGCATTAGCATTAGACACTACTGACGGAGTAGCAGGGTCAATAGGATTGACCGCATGCTTTTGTGAGTCTGCAATAAGGGGGAGAATCGTAGAGGTTCCTGATATCGCAGCGGGAGTAAGAAGCACAATTCCCCAAAATGGAGGTAATCAGAACTTACGGCATACGACCTATTGATATGTAGTTCAACTTTACTAAATCCGTACTTACTCAAGCATCAGAGAGCCTTCCGCCGGTACCACACCGGTGCCCTAGGTCTTACCAAGCATTTGTTATCTTGCAGATCACGCGCTCTACCGAGGCCCATAGCATACCGAAGACCCAACATCACTAAGTTGTGCGGGAAAATGCCGAACCATTTTTCTGCGTCAACAGTTTGGCGTCGTCTGTGGGAAACGATAGAAAATCGACCCATATTTCTGCAGAATACATGGGACCACTTCAGTGCCAACGTTCTTATCGGAAGATGGGTTGCCGTTCGGCAGGCAAAGCAGAGCAAGCCCAGCGTTGCCCCCATGCACGCCCTTCGGTAATCCGCTAGTAATTCAAACTACGGCCGATGCCGAGCTTCTGGCCCAAATCACTTCCCTTCGGAAGGATATGGCAAAGTTGCAAGAACATAACAACTTTCTTTCGTCCAAAGTGGACGAAACACAGCAACTGCTCAATCAGCAGCAAACACAAACCATTCAAACAACCCAATCGTCCCAGAGCCTGTAGACCCCTAATCGATACAAGAAAGGTAAGAAGGGGGCAAAGGCAGTGCTTGGGCCCTCCAAACAGTTGGTAGTTCCGGCACCCCGGGACTAGCCGCATATACTGAAGAAAGTTTATGTCGATTGCCGACATCGGATCAGTGACAAGGAGGCCGAATGGCAAAGATCTCCGATCAGGATCAACGCAAAACTCCGAGACTCACGGTTGAAAGCCCTGGGAAATAAGTCACCGATTTGGAAGGCTCGAGGTTTACAATCCACCGAAGAGTCAGAGTCTGAGTATGTCCCTTCCAAGACTAGCTCCACCTACCGTTCGGCAACGCCAACGAGGTACACGGAGGCCAGGCCCGTAAGCCCCCAAAAACGTTTGGAAGACTACAGTTTTGAGGAAATCTCGAGCCAATATCCCGTCGTCCGATTTCTCTTCCAAAAAGTCCAGAAGATGGAAAATGACCGAGTTCGCTCTCAGGAACCAGACTGCGGAAAGCTTCGGTCAGGACCATTTACCGAGCGTATCAAGCGCTCACGGCAGGTTAGAGACATACAACCTCTACGTATACCGTTCTACATAGGGGTGGAAGACCCCTTAACACATCTTCACTCATTCCGAGGGGCTCAGTGACGAAGGGCAATGCCTGCTATTTCCGTCTGTGCTTACAGGGGTGGCTTTGAATTGGTTCTACCGATTGGAACCGAAAACAATGGACTCTTTCGACGAACTGAAACAGATTTTCCTCAATCACTTTATGATCCAGACGGATCGTCTATACTCTGCCGATGATCTTTACACGATTCGGCAGAGAGAAGACGAGCCCCTAAGGGAGTACGCAGCGCGCTTCAGTCATGAATACTCGAGGTGTCCGGAAACGGATGACAGAGCAGCCTACGGTGCCTTCAAGAGTGGCCTTCGGTCCTCTCACTTTTGGTACCTCGTGTATAGCAGCAACTGGCGCACATATGACGAATTGATGAAGCAAGTGGCAATTCACACCAAGGCTGAATATTTCAACTCAAAGTCTGGGCCTTCGGCCTGGCAGGAGGAACCAGCCTCGAAAAGCTACCTAGGGCAAGGATCACCGTACGCCCCTAGGAGAAATGATGAACCCTCGGCGGGACACAAACGGAAAGACGACCGTAACAATCGACAGGGTGGCTCTAAGAAAGGACGAGAAAAATACGGTCGCAATGACTACCGTGCGCCCTATCGAATCACGACCGCACGCCGAAAGTCTTCACTCAGTTGAATACAACTTACGAGGCGGTCTTGATGAATGAGCACGAGATAATACCCAAGCCAAATCACCAAAAACCCAATCGGCAGGACAATCGGGATACATGCAAATTCTGCCGATACACCAGCATAACAGCCACAACACCAAAGACTGCATAAGTCTGAGGAAGATCGTCGAACGACTGATTCGGGAGGGGTAATTGGATCAGTACATCGGCAAATAAACATGATCAGCACTATCAGCGGAAGCCCCACTCTGGCCAGACCATCTAACCGATCGGTAAAGCAGTACGTACGGGCTGCGCACTACCCTCAAGTCTTCGGCATAGACGCCGACCGGCATCGCAAGGTTCCAAGGGTAGGGTGGGAGCCCATCACGTTTTGCGAAGAGGAGGAAGAAGGGATCCTTTACCCTCATGACGACCCGATGATCATTCGAGTTGAAATCACTGATTACGATGTCGGAAGGGTACTGATCGACATTGGAAGCTCGGTAAATGTGATTTTTTCTGATGCCTTCAGAGGATTGGGAATTGCCGACAGCATGGTCAATCAGCAAATAACATCTTTACTTAGTTTCTTCCGGGACCTGGTCCAGCCAGTCGGCAGTGTCAGGCTGCCCATCGCCTTCGGTGTTGCCCCTCAGAAAACAGTGATATATGACCAGTTCCTCATCGTGGACTACCCAACGACACAACGTCATCATCGGACGAACGACACTTACCAGAATCAAAGCTCACCTGTCCCCCCACATATTGTTGATGAAGTTCCCAACCTGCAACGGTACTGGCATTATCCGAAGAGACCAACTCAGCGCGCGGACGTGCTATGGGGCTATCGATCGGTAGCGGGCCAATAGACGACCCTAGATAGGAAACCTCAACGCCGGTAGCTCAACTTGCCGAAGAATTGGAAACAGTAGTGCTGAACGAAGAGCGTCCCGACCAATGTGTAAAGATCAGCACCACACTCAACCCCCACCTCCGGACGCAGTTCATAGACTTCTTACGACACCATGCTGAGGTCTTTGGTTGGTCTTATGATGATATGCCTGACATATCCCCAGAGGTCATCAGCCACAAGCTCAACATCTCCCCTGCCTATAAACCTGTCAGACAGAAGTGCCATTCGTATGATGCCGAACGATATGAAGCCATGCGTACAGAAGTTGACAAGCTTAAAGCCATCGGCTTTATCAGGGAGGCTACGTACCTTGTCTGGCTTGCAAATTCGGTCATGGTTCGGAAGGCCAAAGGCGAATGGCGAATGGCGAATGTGTCAGGACTATACCGACCTGAACAAGGCCTGTCCGAAGGATAGCTTTGCATTGCCCAGGATTGACCAACTTGTTGACGCAACTGCCAGTCACGAGCTGCTCAGTTTTATGGACGCTTATTCGGGATACAACCAGATTTTCATGCACCCCGGCGATTGCAAACATACGACATTCATCATGGACAGAGGGTTGTACTACTATAATGTCATGCCGTTCAGCTTAAAAAACGCAGGGGCAACATACCAAAGACTGGTGAACCGAATTTTCGCTATGCACATCGGCAGCATTATGGAGGTGCATGTCGATGATATAGTGGTGAAGAGCCAAACGGCAGAGGGGCATCTAGAGAACTTGGCCCTTATGCTCGGTATATTGAAGGACTACCGGATGAGACTAAACCCAACGAAGTACGCCTTTGGTGTGTCTTCGGGGTAAGTTTCTCGGCTTTATGATTAGTCAAAGGGGGATCGAAGCAAATCCTGAGAAGATCAAGGTCATAATCGACATGGAGAGGCCAAAAACACAGAAGGACATTCAAAGCCTGACCGGACGAGTACACGTTTCATTTCTAAGGCTTCCGATAAATGCATACCGTTCTTTAAAGTCTTGAAAGGGGGCATGCATCATATTGCATGGACTGTTGAACGCAATAAGGCATTTCAAGACCTAAAGAACTACATGAGCAAAGCACCACTGTTATCAAAAACCACTTCCCGGAGAAGTTCTCCTTCTCTACCTTTCGGTATCAAGCACTGTCGTCAGCTCACTGTTGATACGGAAGCCAGAGAAGGCAGAACTATCGATATTCTATGTCAGCAAAGCGCTGTAGAGCGCAGAGCTTTGGTATCCCCCCTTGGAGCAGCTAGCACTAGCCCTCGTCATCTCAACTCGAAGGCTCCGCCCATACTTCCAACCACACGAGATCACGGTTTTGACCAATCAACCACTTCGGCAAGTGCTACAAAAGCCAGAAACGTCCAGCCGATTGATCAAATGGGCAATTGAGCTCGGAGAATTTGACATACAGTTCAAACCGAGGCCTGCCGAGAAGGGCCAGGCTATCGCCGACTTCATTTCCGAGCTCACACCTTCGGCACTATCGGAACCAGCCAGTCCAAATGCTGAAGTCGTGGAACCAGAAAGGCAGAATGCGGAACGACTTGATCCTTCCGTCCCTGTGTGGATTCTGCATGTCGATGGCTCGACAAACCAACAAGGTTGTGGGGCTGGTCTGGTGTTGACTACTCCAGATGGAGCCAAGGTCGAGTATGCCCTCCGATTCAACTTCAGAACCTCCAATAACGAGGCAAAGTATGAGGCTCTCTTGGCCGGCCTTCGGCTAGCCAAGAGCATGAGCGCAAAACAAATTAGTATTCATAGTGACTCCCAACTCATAGTGAATCAAATAACGGCAGACTTCACGGTAAAGGATGCCTCCATGTCCGCCTACCTATCGGCAGCCCACCAACTCCTTCAAAAATTCCAAGCGTACTTGATTCGGCAGATACCCAAGACGGAAAACAGCCATGCCGATAAGCTATCTCGATTAGCCTCAGCAATAAACAACAAAATTGGGAGGAAGGTGCCAGTAGAAATCTTGTCTCAGCCAAGCACGATAACCACTGAAGTATGTACCGTACGGAACGAGAGCACGTGGATGTCCCTAATCTACGCATACCTAATGAATGATACCCTACCCCAAGACAAGTCTGAAGCATGCAAGCTACGCTACCGATCGGCAAGATACACAGTCATCAACGATGTCCTGTACAAACGAGGCTACACCACGCCGTATCTGAAATGCCTCACCGCAGAGCAGGGGGACTACATCCTTCGGGAGATACATAGTGGCGTATGTGGTGACCACTCGGGGTCCCGATCGCTGGCACACAAGGTTTTCCGGCAAGGGTATTACTGGCCGACCATGCACCAAGATGCGAGTGCCCTAGTGAAGAAATGCGACAAATGTCAGCGGTTCGGCAACGTGCCTCACATCCCTGCCGAACCCTTAACATCGATCGTAAGCCCGTGGCCTTTCGCACAGTGGGGACTAGACTTGATAGGTCCAATGCCGCAGGGCAAAGGTTAGGTCAAGTATGCCGTAGTCGCCGTGGATTATTTTACCAAGTGGGTAGAGGCCGAGGCCCTGGCAATTATTACAGCATCTAGGACGGAAGACTTCATTTGGACGAACATTTGCTGCAGATTCGGCATCCCCTATGCGATAATCACCGATAACGGCAGGCAGTTTGATTCGGAAGTCTTTAGGCAGTTCAGCATTCGCGTCAAGATCAATCTGTTCTTTGCTTCGCCAGCCCACCCCAAGTCAAACGGTCAAGTCAAAGCAATAAACAAAATCATCAAGAAACTACTGAAACGGCAGCTTGAGAAAGCCAAAGGAGCTTCGCTGGAGAAGCTTCCAGAAGCATTATGGGCCATTCGGACATCTTACCGAACAGCAACCGAGGAGACCCCATTCTCTCTCGCCTTCGATTCGGAAGATGTAGTCCCTGTAGAGATCGGCGAGCCTACCTACCGAACGGAAACCTTTGCTCCAAAGGCGAACGAGAAAGCACTTGCGTTAAGCCTTGACCTAATCGAAGAGCGCCGAGCACAAGCCAATCTTCGGAACAAAGCTTACAAGCAGCGGGTCTCTCGGTACTACGACTCAAGAGTCAGATCCCGCTCTTTCTGAATCGAGGACTGGGTTATGTGAAAGGTTTCTCTGGCAACTAAGAACCCCACATAAGGAACCTTCGGACGTTCTTGGGAAGGACCTTACAAGATCATCGGCATTCTTCAGTCGGGAACCTATCGGCTCAGGGACTCCAACGGCAAGACCCTCGGTCATCCTTGGAACGTAGACCATTTAAAATACTATTTTAAGTGAAGTCACCTAGCCTACGGCAGGATGAAAATATAAGTCAATAAAACTGTAACCTTGCCTTTGGCACCAGATAATGAAAAATCCTTCGGCATGTATATTCGCAACCCTCGATGTGTTTATTTATTTTGTTAAAAATAAAGATACGGTAGGGACCATCAGTCACAGCATACTACTCTTATAAACACTTTCTAACCTTCGTCAATTATTTAGTCCTCGGCAAATAATTTGATTAATTTCCAATGTCCTATCGATTAAAGGTTCACTAAGGAGTTGCTCTTTTACTAGCCTTCGGCAGTTAGTCAATTATTTAGCCCTCAGCAAGTAATTTGATTAATTTCCAATGTCCTACCTATTAAAAGTTCACTTGGGAATTTTTCTTCGGCTAATAAGTTCTCATTTTGCCCTCGACAATTTAAAACATTTAGTTTATTTAGCCCTCGGCATTTAAAATGGTTGAGTCTTAAGTGACTTACTGATTTCGGGCTCACTTGAGCTTTCAGTTTCAACTAGCCTTTCGGCAGTTAACCTTTATTGAGCCCTCGAAAACTAAGACAGTTAAACTAACAACCACCGATTGTGAAACCACATGGACAAATGTATAGAAGTTAAAACATTAAATAAGAAGATGCCCTCGGCATCAAGGTGTTCGGCGATACTGCCTCATGGCAGGTACAAAAATACTTTAAATAAATTCTTAAAGAGCTTCTTCAGCATTGGCAGAGCTTCCGGCAGCAGGGACCTCTTCTGGGGCATCCTCCCCTTCATAATCTTCAATCATCTCCTCAGTAAGACCTTCCGGAAGAGGAGGAGGATCGGCGATGAAGTTAAGGTTCAGTTTTCGCCCAGGATTGTACCGCTTGAAACGGTAAAGCAGATCTGCCATCTCCGAGCCCACCTCCTTGTCCAGTAGGATGGAGAACTCGGTCGACAATCGGTAGCTTCTAATTGCCTCCTAGACGGTAGCGTCGATCTCCGACGCCTTGGCACGCTCTGACTCCTCCAAGGCCACCTGCATCGCCTCCTTAGCCTCCCTAGCCACCAGCTGCGCACCCTCCAGAGCCGTCATCATCTCGGCAAGCTTGGCTTTGTAAGCTTTGACTTGCCATTCGGCAGCCTGCATGTCCTTGACGAGATGAGCGTGGTCTTGGAGAGCTTTGCCAGCCTCAACAACCTTGGTCTGGCCATCCTCGTAGGCCTTCTTGGCTCACTCGGCAGCATTGATGGCCCGCCGCATGCACAACCACATGTCCATCGAAGCCTGAAAGATGAAAAGAAATCAGTATGGTGCCGAGCGTTTAAAAAAAAGAAAAAAAAGCGGAAGAAGACTTACCAAGGCCTGGAGACGGAAGGCACGCCATGCTTCCTCCCGTAGGATCATGTGGTTCGCAAATTGGACTGCCTTCGATGGACATGCGATCGTGATTGGCTATGCCGGGTCCCATCATCCTCGGCGGCAAGGATAACCCTCGACACTTCTCTTTGCCGACTCCGCTTGGGCGCCGGCTCCGCCTCTAGATCCATCGTCATCGGCCTTTTTCCTTCGGCCTTGGAGGAGAAGGCGTCAGTAGTCTGCCCTCGTCTTGGCGTAGCGCTAACCACTGCCACGCCAGCAGATGCCGTCCCGGCGTTGATCTGTCTAAGGCGATCGGCAAGGGTTTGATCTTCCAGATCAACCCCCGCTTACGGAACCGGCACTGCCTCTGCCTGTCGTTTCGCCTTTTTCCCTTGCAGGCCCATCATCAGGCGCCGCTTGGAGGATTCATTCATTCTTCTCGCCTCGGCAACTTTCCTCTCTTCCGTCACTGCACGAGAAAAAGATCGGTAAGGCATGGGCAATATATGAATGACGACGCAAATACGATGTCCACTTACTTTCGGCAGGATTGGCAAGTCTGGCTTTAACCAAGTTCGTGGAGAAGAGAAACTGGGGGTACACCCTCTCGACGGCAGGGACTTTCAGCCTCACCCTGTCGATCTGCTGAATCTTAGACTGCGTAGGACTCGGCTGCTTCAATTTGCCTACAAAAGAAACACAACAGTTGAGATCTCACAAGAAAGAAACGGTAATCTACTTGCCGAACGGTGCATCAACCTACCGGCTATTTGGAAGGTGGTGGGGATGTGGAAGCGGACAGGTTGTCCTTACGGCGACTCCCAGTCGCCAGAAAGGAGCACCCGCCGATAACTCCACGACTTCTGAGAGGTCAGCATGGAGCTGACAAAATGGCCATGTTCGGAAGCCTTCAAGCAATTGGCCTGAACCCAGCCGCCGTGATCGGCACTCTTAGACCTAGTAATGCTGTAGAGGTAGGAGAACTGTTCATAGGAAGGTTCTCCTTCCTCGGCAATGTCGAACACAGCGATTACCCCTATCAGCGTTACCCAGAAGTTAGGGTTGTATTGACCTGGCGCATAGCGGATATGTGCCAATATTCTCTGCACTGCCGGCTGCAGCGGCAACCGAACTCCTTGGAGAAGGACATCGGTAAAGAAAACGACCTCGCCGTCCTTCGGCTTGCTAAGGGATTCGGTAGGCGTCGGGATCCTCATCCTTATTGAATCCGAGATTAGGTACTCAGCACGGTATTTGGCTATCTCCCGTTCGGTGATCTTATTTGGCTCTAAGTAGTCTACACCGAACAGGTGCTCCTTCGGCACCCCTACCAGTACCCTAGGGTTGCTGGGGAAGACTACCGATACCCTCGGACAGGGAGACGGTCCATTAGCTGCTTCCCCACGACCAGATGTGGAGGCCTTCGGCTGCTGACCAGCGCTGGACTCACAGTGCTGATCTAAGACAAAATGCCTACCGTCACGGTAGACCACAGCCAACGGAGTTCAGAACCCTATGGTCAGTCTAGTTCATGTCAAGGAAGGACGTACGATGAACAAAAATATTAAATAAGGGAGTGAAATGAGAGTGCCGAACGGTACCTGTGATTGTCGTTTGCTACACCAGAAATCGCCTTGATTGCCGTTAGCTCTCGCCAGAAATCGCCTCGATTGCCATTAGCTCTCGCCAGAAATTGCCTTGATTGCCGTTAGCACTCGCCAGAAAGTGATCCTCTCTTCCGGAGTCACCCCTATTTATAGGGCGAGGGTTTGCAACGGTACGCCTCGAAAAACCAAACGGCGCATTAATGCACCGCACCTAATGAGTTCGCACGCCACGTGGCATGCATCCTGTGGATGACTTGACAACACGTGGGGCACGGAAGACGAAGCGCCCTCCAGTCCCATCGCACGACAACTCAACGCGACCTTCTGACTCCCCCGACGTTAGCTTCCGAACGGGAATGCACGGAAGTGCCAAGATTGAGCCTCTCCATCCACCGAGTTACCGAACGATAGGGTAGCATTTCCCTACCGAAGAGAATATCAAGTCCCCTTCCGAGAACTCTCGAAAGAGAACTTGGGGGACTCATGTTTATACCAAAATGAGCGGCCAATGAGAATCGGACGCGTGGACAAGATTGGGTCTATAGTAGCCTTCGGCACCCAGCCTACCGATCCAACGATTAGGGCAACCTCCTCCTCTAAGACACGTGGTAAGCCCATAATCAATGTCTACAGTCCCACATCGAAATTCTACACAACTTGCACACCTCCCAAGGTCTATAAAAGAAGCACAATTCCCCAAAATGGAGGTAATCAAAACTTACGGCATACGGCCTATTGATCTGTAGTTCAACTTTACAAAATCCGTACTTACTCAAGCATCGGAGAGCCTTCGGCCGGTACCACACCGGTGCTCTAGGTCTTACCGAGCGTTTGTTATCTTGCAGATCACGCGCTCTATCGAGGCCTATAGCATACCGAAGGCCCAACATCACTAAGTTGCGCAGGAAAGTGCCAAACCATTTTTCTGCGTCAACAGATACCGTAATCAATTAGGATAGTATCTCCTAATTATACAATGATTTGTGAACTATATAGCATAGGAAAGTAAATCCCTTAATTGATCAAGGAAATAAATCTCCTTGATTAATTAGGAGACTCATGTCAACATTAACAAGCAGAATTTGTTAATATTGAGAGCCAAGAGGGTCTCTAAATCTGGTAGCTATAATTTAAATGAAATATGAATACAATTTATCAGAGATTCTCTGGCTACATTTGAATAAATTCCTCACGAAAGATAGATTCATTCTGCGTATCACACAAGAAATTAGAAATCTAATTCCAGCTTCCGGCTATTCATAATGTAAAGAATAGTGTTGAGGATAGGAAAGCTCGTGAGAATTGGAGTTTCTCAGCTTGTAATTGACTTGTTATTGAGTTTCTGCTGTGTTTCTTGTGCATGAAAACCTGCTATGTTTTTGTGCATTTTGGTCTGCTTATTTTGCAATTAGTTTGAAAAAGTACTTCTCATTCATCTAAAAAGAAGAAAATCTATCAGTTGTCGATTGATACGAGGCAGAAAGGAAGAAAGGAGCTAATAAGATGCTCAAGGAAAATGTAACCAAAAGTTTACAATGTGTGTCGTATTGCACTTATGAATATGCATGTTTGCATATATGTGTTTGTGCTTATGCACTCCCATCGCATTTACGATCAGGCAAATTGGAATACAAGTTAACAAGTTAGTCAGTGCCATTCTCTGCAATGTGTCCTGATTTGCTGAAACTAAATGAGGAATCCAACCACCCTGGATTCTTTGCTCGTTCAATGTAACGGGTAAATTGTTTCTGGACATCAGGGACATCCAAAGCCAAGTCTTCTAGAGACTCTGCAACTCTCCCAAACCGCTTTGTCATTGAGCCAAAACATTCCCCAAGCAAAATCCAAAGTCTTCCATTCTTCTTTTCCATAATTGCCACCAAAGCTTTTTGACAACCTCATGATTGAAAAATGGCATGCCTAATTCCTTCATGCACCAGCATGCCTCTCTGACGTCCCCTCCAGACTCAAACTCTCCTAGCAACTTTCCAATCTTGTCCTTTTGAGGCCTTAATTCAGTGAACGAAAAGAAGACATTTTTAATTTTGGGAAGAAAAAAAAAGGAGAAATTATTTTTTCTTTGTAATTTATTTCCCGAAAATTTTAACCTAAAAATTATTATTATTTTTAAAAAAACAAATTTATTGCATAAAAACGAGTCGAGTCATAAAACGAGTACAACAACAAAATATGAAGTTGGAAGTCATGAATGAATAGAAAAAGGAACTAGTGGCTCAAGTGATTCAGAGTAGTTTAAAATCTTCCCTTTCTCAATATCACTAGGGACGGTAATGTGGTGAATTGGGGTTGGGTTTGCCTTTCCATCATCCCCGTCTCCATCCTTGCACACAATATTCAAATCCTGGATTCCCAATTCTCACATTTGTTGGGGATCAGTTTCTCAACCCACCCTATTACAAAAGTATCATTAAAAAAAAACTTTGTTAAACAACAAAGAAGTGTTATGAATCTAGTGCAAATCAATTCTATTTTCATTAATATCAAATAAGAATTACTTAGCCAAATTAATGCCTACAAAAACTATAATATTAATAGGGGTTATTAGGTTTATCCATCCCCAAATTTTGACTCGATTTGCATTTTAGTCCCTTAATTTTCAAAATCGTTCATGTGGTCCTTCAACTTTAGTTTTGTTAGGACAAATGGTCATGTCTTGTTGTCTTTTTTGTTAAATCTATTGAGGGTCAAAATTGGAAATTATTAGGTTAAATTATATATAAATTTATAAATAAACCCAATCTTAGACATATATTTATAAAAAAAAACCAAAGCACTATTTAAACATAGAAACACACCCAAAATCAATAATTGTATATTTTTTTGGTGTGTTTATAAATGGGTTTTGAGTGTGTGTAATGATGGGTTTTTGGTGTGTTTATAAAGTGTTTTGGGTGTTGAGTTTTTTTATAATTTCAGCCCCCCCATTTTGGGTGTTTTAGTGAAGCTCCCTAAATTATATTTATGTGTAATAAAATATTCATATAATTTTTAACATGAGCAAAGACAACAAATTAAAGATGCCTGAATTAAATCTTGGTAACCATCAATTAACATGAGCAATGGGTGCTGGGAGAGAGAAGAAAGGTGAAGAGCTTGACTGGCAATTGAATGGGTAGGGGGCAATCAAAGACAAGGCCTCCCAAAGCAAAGCAGCAATCCTCTGCAAACTCAACACAAACACTCTATCCTCCTCCTCCTCCTCCTCCTCTCTCCACCTCACCCTCCTCCGTGCCACAACCCACGACCCTTTCATACTCCCAAACCCCAAAAAGCCTCTCCTTTGGTCTCAGCTCATGCGCCACCGCCTCCTCCGTCGTGGAGTCCCTCATGGACCACCTCCAAATCACCCACGACTCCGCCGTCGCCTTCAAGTGCCTCCTCGCCGTTCACCACGTCATCAAGTACGGCTCCTTTATCCTCCAAGACTAGCTCTCCATGTACCCCTGCCGGCGGAGGCAGAAACTACCTCAATCTCTCCAATTTCAAAGACGATTCTACCCCTGTGGCCTGGGAGCTCTGCGCCTGGGTCCGATGGTACACTCAATACATCGAAAACCTCTTCTTAACATCTCGGCTTTTGGGTTTCTTCGTCGGCTCGAATTCCTGCATTGTGGAGAAAGACAAAGAAGAGGAGCGAGTCTCAGCGCTTTTGAACGCTAATTTGGTCTGAGAGACCGAGTCGCTAGTGAGTCTGGTTGAGGGGATTTGCAAACGGCCTGAGTCTTTGGGTTTTGGCAGGAACAGGTTGGTTATTGAGGTTCTGGGTTTGGTAGGCGAGGAATAGATTCCTGCAATGAAAGTTTCGGTCCGAGTTAACGAGTTTGACGAGCGGCTCAGTTCTGTGAGTTTCGGCGACTCGGTCAAGTTGCTGGGCATGTTGAAGCGATCGAAGAATTGCGAAGGGAGGCTTTTGGTGGTGCTGAATGTAAAGAATGATTTGGTTGAGGAGTTTTAGGGTTTGATTAGAGAGATGAAGACAAAGGTTGAGAAGGAGAATGTGAGCAATAATAAGTTCATGGCGACAATGAGAGTGGGGGAAAGTAAGACCAATCTGAAATGACCCATCTACCCTTATATTTAATGAAAAAATTGACTAATGTAACGGTGAGATTATTTGTCCTAACGAAACTAAAGTTAAAGGACTATGAGAATGATTTTGGAAATTGAGGGACTCAAATGTGAATCGAGTCAAATTTGACGACAATGAGGGGGTTTAGTCTAATAAATCCGAGGACTATTAAGGAATTCATCAATATAATCCCTCACTTTTACCCTTCATTATACCCTCCCTGCTATATTTATTGAGTAATGCTACACTTACCACATTTTTATCTCACATTTCTATACCACATGATATGACATGTTCATATCATATGCCACATCAATTAAATCATATCACCTGATGTGGTAGATGAGATGGATAGCTACATCAATTAAAATTATTTAATATATTTTTTTTTTTATGATTTATTAACACTTTAAAAAAAACTGTTAATTAAACTTTCTTTATTAAAATAAGGTGGTATGAGAATGTGCTATACAAATATAGTAAGAGTAGCATTATTCATATCTATTTGGGTTTAAGACTTCGGGTTAGAGAGAATTGGTCTAATAGCACTACCACCGATGGGTTTTGCCCTGGCAAAAGGCCCTCTAGGCTGGCAAAACCCATCCCACCAAGCATTTCTTGCTTGGGTAGATGGTGGGGTCCTTGCTCTAAGGTAGGTGACAGGGATCGACGCATTTGATTTTGGGCAGGCCTTGGTCATCGCTCTCTTTGTGGCCATTCGAGTCTACCAATTTTCCTGTCCATATTGAATCTGATATGCTATGAATTAAAGTACGTAGAGCAAGATTTGAAGTAATTTTTTGCAATGTATAAAAGGTTATATAAAGATTGTCAATCACACAATTAAGGAACTACTACGAATAAAAATTTAAAATAAAATAGTAAAGGTCAACAATCCCTATCTCAGCGGCACATAAGAGCATCTCCAACCGATATGTCAAAAGTGCCACATAAACAGTTAACGGTTAGAAATAATATCTCACATTATTCCAACCGAATTGTCAAAGTTGATGTGGAATGAAGGCTAGAGGTTCAGTTGTTATTTTTGACATCCCAAAAGCAAGATGTCAAATGAATATTTTATTATTTTTTAAAGACAACTGGTTGTAACTTTCATTTATTATTTTCTTTTTTTATTATTTTTCTTCTTTATCTTAAATGATTTGACTGTTACAATAATTATTTATTTGACATATCGGGTGGAGTAAAAAACTGTGTAAATGTCAAATTGTCACATCAGCCATCAAATTTAAATTTGATGTTTGGTATTTGACATCTCCCTTGGAGATGCTCTAAGAGCATTTACCTAAAAATGTAAGAAAGATCACACAATTAAGGTACTGCCACAAAAACAAATTAATTAGAGTAGTGCAACAATATAGATGGTACTAGAATATAGACACGTGATATAAGTTGTTCATGTATTATAATACAAGTAGATATTTATTTATATTAAAAAGAGGAAATATGAACTATATCATCTACCCATATTATAATAATTTTTAGGTGACACAGAACAACCAAACAAGATTTAAAGTAAAAAAGTGAGAAAGATCACACAATAGTCTAATTTTTTGTTTTTGTAACGGTCCCAAAAGCTTATTTTCCACTCCTCACTTCTAACAGTTTTTTCTTTTTTAATAGAGCAGAAAGAAAAAAAGAAATTACAGGAAAATAGCATCAGCCATACCAACCTCAACAAAATCTAGTTTAGTTATTAGCACTTGTAAATGCCAGGTACGTGGGAATAGCAGAAATGCAGAAGCCATTGAAGTTGGTTCCCGCAGCAGTTGTGTAGGCGCCCATGTTGTGGAACACAAGATAATCATTCAGCTTTAATTCAGGCAGTTTGCAGTCAGCAACAACTGTGTCCAACGAATCACAAGTCGGCCCAAAAACTGTTGATGAATATGTCACTTGATTTTGGTGAGGACTTAGAATTTGGAGCGGTGAGATTTGCATAGAGGATTTGTCGTATGCTGGAAGATTAAATGACCCATAAATTCCATCACTAATCCAGTACTCTCTTTTCTCTCCCCTCACTCTCTTCCCCATCACATTTGCAACCATTGTGAATGCAGTTTCAGCAAAGAACCTTCCTGGCTCAGCCATCACCGTCAGATCAGAATCTGACTGATGATCAGAAAAGTAGTCTTTGATGGCAACATTTATGGTCTCGGCTATTTCATCAAACAGTTGATTTGCTTTGAACCCACCACCAATATCAAGCACATGCATTTTGGGCATTTTGAGCTCATCAGCCACATCAAATGCAGCTCTAGCTGCAGCTATTGCTCTGCGGTACACTTGAGATTCAGACGCTTTCGATCCCACATGGAACGAAATTCCCACCACTCTTAACCCTAGTTTGTGTGCGTGTTTGAGGAGCGGTGCAACCTCCTCACGCAACGCACCAAATTTGGTCCCGAATGAACGCCACGAGCTCTTGTCATTCGGTACAGCAATCCGAAGCAACAAGGAACATTTGGGGTGGCACCTTTTGATCTTGTCAACTTCGTCCATGGAGTCGAAGGTCGCAAGATCAACCCCGACTCCAGCTGCATACCTTAAATGGTACTCACCCTTGCATGGATTGGCATAAACAATTCTCATGGGGCTTACGCCATGAGCAAAGACGGCCTCAATCTCGGCCTTGCTGGCGCAATCAAAGCTTGCACCAAGTGTTGCCAATGCAGCAATGAATGCAGGCTCATGGTTACACTTGACAGCAAAGAAGGGCTGTACATTGGGAAGGCAATGGTTCCATTTTTCCATGAGGCTGACAAGAACCCCCAAATCTACAATGTAAAATGGTCCGTGTTCGTCTTGTTTGTTGATGATGGATCTGATGAGGGTGGTAAGTTGGTGCCTAGGTATGTCAGCTGGAACATGCTGATCACCTTTCACTTGGCTTGCAGCCAACTTGACTTGTAGGCTGCTAAAGGTGGAAAGGCTGGGAATGCTTGGCAGGATCAATGCCATGGAATAATGTTTCTAATCTGTGATTGTGGAAGCTAGATATTGATCTCTAAACTTAATATTTGTTTAGTTTGAGAGAGCTGTGCAATATGGGTAATCTTTTTATATAGATAATTTCATCAGAATGGGCATGACCAACCATGTCTTATCTTTCGCAGTAAAATAAAAACCAGATCCAATGCCAACCGGGTTTAGCTCAGTGAAAAAGGCCCTTAATTTATATACCAATGGTCTCATGTTCGAACCCTCATGGCACTTTAATGTTGATGGTGTGTGAAACTCCCTCCCCCTTATAGTTTAAATTATCGCTTGAATTAAATTCCTTGCAATTTGTCTGGAAAAGGATATTGATTGCATTTTTCTTTATGAAGGGTTGCATTGCATTTGAGATAACTTATATTATCAGATATGAAGTTTTTTCATTGTAGAATTATTGGATATATGGTTGGTTAGGCCCTATTATGATGGCCCCTCAAATATCTTAATTTAGAGATAAATTACTCCCAATATGATAGAGTTTTCAAATTCGATCCTCCATTTCTTAAAGGAGATTAATCTAACTTTACTTGCTGAATTAGTTTTCTTATCAAATGTCAGTGTTGGACAGTGACTAGACCGGATTGTTCAATTTTAGAGGAGCTCGACTATTTTAACATTTTGCCTTCCTATTTGTCATTCTTTTGATAAAACACCTTTTCTTATTTGTTATAAAGAATAACAAAAAAAATATTTCTATTTGGAAAAAGGAATTGAACAAGAAAAGAACATGAGAAAGATTTATAACAACTATTTGACAATGTTGTTTGTAAAAAAAATTAAAAATAAAAAACCAATTTGCCATGGAAACTAATTAATTTAAGCAAACTTCACGTTTCCTTTTGCACAATTTCATAAAGCTAGCATTGATGAAATTATTAAAAATCTATTTGCGTTAGCTTAGCTTTGTAGTTACTATTGCTTTTGGTTTCTTTTGAATGTAGGTTGGTAAAAAGATACCAGATAGTTGAAAATGGCAAATTGGTCATGCAAGATGAATGGTGGAGGAGGGACGTTCTTGCTTTCCCAATACATCGGCATTTACCATTCTGCGCACCAAAAGAACTGTGTTCTTTCTACCCACGGGAAATTGGTTTGCTTGCCCATCTTTTTGGGTTAATTAACAAAATTCAAAATAGATAATGTTTTGGTTCGGTAGACATTAGTTGTTTGAAATACCCTCAAATTGACTTTAAAACATTCTCAAAAAAGTGGGTCTCGTAGTTATCACATAGGCAACCAATGGGAATTTAGGCGGATTCCCTAATCGCGACTACATTTAAAAAATATTGACAAAATCGAGCTAATTTTTTTTTCTTTTTGGAATAACTGTGTTTTTTAGTATAAGTGGGGGTTTGCACAAATATTCATTGGGTGCTTGGGGGTTTTGAACCTCTACCAACATGAATAGAGGTGGAATAGCTCAATCAACTAAATTATACCATACTAACTTTGAGCTACTTAATTTTTTTTAAAGTACTAAATTGTTAAAATTGAGATCTTCATCCAATCACCACTAAAGAAAACAGTAGCCTTGGGCACAGTTTGTGTCGGGTCAAATTTTGGCTGACCCATGAGCTAAATTGATGAAGGCTACAGTTCTTGGGTAAGGTCTAGTCAAAGTTGAAATCCTAAATTGGGCTGAACTACAATTGGGCCACGGTTCTTGAGTCAATTTTGCAGTTTGATCAGTTTGGACTTGAGTCCAATGCTACCATTTTTCAAAAGCCCAAATCATATTTATTTTTTGCCAAAACCTTCTCTTTTTTTTTTGGTCAGATTGCCAAAACAAAATCTAATGGGTCTTTTGGTACGGCAGACTATCATGGACTGGACTAAATTCTGAGACTATCTCGGATGAGCTCGGATTGGCCTAAGCTAGAATAAGTACTGACCTACGTTTGGTGCAGCGTTGGACTACGAAGTTGGATTGTAAAAATAGTGAAGACCTATGTTTGGTGCTATGCTGGACTAAAAAATAATTATTTTAATATTTATAATTAATAATTTTTAAATAATTAAATGTAAGTTTTTTTGTTATTATAATTACCAAATTGACATGTACATTTCTTTTCCTCCAAAACAAATTGACTTGTACATTTCATAAATTCTTCATATATGCCAAAGTCATCTACATGACTCAAAAATTAGAGGTTCAGTTCACTACACACAATTCTACCATTAATACATACAAATAAACATCCACAATTTCAAAATGAAACTAATAAGCCTCACAACCACGAACCATATGAATTTAATGCTAGCAATATGTTATACCATTTGTGGTGTTTCCAAAATTAAGCCAATCTTATCAACGCATCATTTGTGGCATTTCCAAAAAGATAGATACATCAAATTTAGCTAGGCCATGTTCTCAAGCATGGTCACTAAGCAATTGTTCAACAAACACTTTCTTGATATCATCTTCCAAAGACATGAACATAGATATATGATGTGGCTTCTCCAAAATGAGTTTTAGTGCTACAATTTGATCTAAGGGAGAAAATCCCATTTTCTTGAGTTCTTTGGCCTCAAGATTGGTACATGCAAGAACCTGAATTTTGGCTTGAGTGCTACAAGCTTGGCTACAAGCTTGGAATGATATCAAATTGATCTTCATTACTTTTATTATAGCCTCAGTCACGATTTGCATCTTTTTTCCAAGATGCTTCAAACAATTTCTCCAATACAATCACAATCTTCTCTTCATCACTTGAGCTTGCATCTCTTTTCCTCTTATTTTGACCTTTCATGGATTGGCTTCCTTCTTTATTTAATGACATAGGAGATGCATCTTCCTGGACACAATTACCACTAGCATTAACTTCATTATTACTTTCCTCTTCCATCATGTCAGCGGGGAGTTCAGCACCTTGTCCGTTAGCACGATCATTTCCAAAGATGTTAGAAAATCTATCCAACAAAGGAAATGGTTTGCTCCTCCATTCAGCTGCTTCCTTGTGGTGCTATGATAAAACAAGACACACTTATCTTATTTTCAATATGTAAAAAAAGTAACAAAAGCAAGTTTACACTACTACAAAAAGCGAAAAAGACGACCAAAAAAAGACGGCGGTAGAAGAAAAAAACCGTCGTTGTATTTAAAAAGACGACGGTAACAAAAAACCGTCGTGGAAAAGTGACTTAAACAATAAAAAAACGGAGGTATTGTTGAATATTTTTTTATAACAACGCACACAAATAAAAAAGCGTCGTCTTATTAAAAAGGTTTTCTTCAAAGTTAAAATATGACCAAAAAACAACCACAGTAGGTATAACAAGCGTCGTCTTTTAAAAATCAAGTGTCCTTTTTTTGGTAAAGACATGGTTGTTTTGAAAGAACTGTCGTCTATTATATGTAAAGATGACGCTTTTTATACAAACCGTCGTCTATTATATGTAAAGATGACGCTTTTATAAAACCGTCGTCTATTATATGTAAAGATGACGTTTTTTATAAAAACTGTCGTCCATTATATATAATAGATGATGCTTTTTATAAAAACCGTCGTCTATTATATGTAAAGATGACGCTTTTCATAAAAACCTGTCGTCTATTATATCTAAAGATGACGCTTTTTATAAAAAAAACCTTCGTCTATTATATGTAAAGATGACGTTTTTTTATAAAAAACCGTGGTCTATTATATGTAAAGATGACGCTTTTCATAAAAATCTGTCGTCTATTATATCTAATAGATGACGCTTTTTATAAAAAAAACCTTCGTCTATTATATGTAAAGATGACGCTTTCTATAAAAACCGTTGTCTATTATATGTAAAGATGACGCTTTTTTAAAAACCGTTGTCTATTATATATAAAGATTACGCTTTTTATAAAAAAACCGTCGTCTATTATATGTAAAGATGACGCTTTTATATAAAAAAACTGTCGTCTATTATATGTAAAGATGATGGTTTTTTTTAAAAATGGTCGTCTATTATATATAAAGATGACGCTTTTTATAAAAAATGGTCGCTTATTATATGTAAAAATGACGCTTTTTATATAAAAAAAAGGGTCTCTATTATATGTAAAGATGATGGTTTGTTAAAGTAACTGTTAAATCATGATTTTTCATTTATAACTGTCGAAATTTTTTGTCTCATTACTTAGTGTCAGTTTGGCATTGCTTATTTGGGGTGATAAGTGATTTTTAAAAAATTTTGAGAAGCCCAACCCGTTTGGTAAACTGCGAAAAAATCACTTATTATTAAAAATTGCTGTGAGAGAAAGCTATAAGGGAAAACAGCTAATGAGGTGCTTTCATTTTCTGATTATGCAGGAATCAGTTTCGAAGAGGTGTTGGGTTTAATGATTATGCAGCAATCATTTTCTGATTTTGCGTAAAATCAATACCAACAACACTTTTAACAAAAATTTTACCAAACGCCAAACTGCTTTCTTTCACAGCCGATTTCTCTCACAGCAAATCTGACAGCGATTATTTTCACAGCACAGCAATGCCAAACTGGCCCTTAATCTCTGAATGTTTATTTTTTCTGATTTTTTGTCCCGTTACTTGATCTCTGAGTTGTTAGGGTTAATAATGGATGAAGAAGGTGGAGTGGGGTCAATGATGGATGAAGAACCCAAAAGGATGCTTTTACCCCCTCACTTTGACAAATAAATTGACAGAGTTGGACGATATGACCCAATTGGAACTATTTATCTAATTAATAGTCCGGGACCCAATTTCAACTCGAGGCAAAGTTATGTCTACAGTTAAAAACCCTAAAGAATATAGAGTCATCCTCACCCCAATATTATCAATAATAACAACACAGCAGCTTACTAAAAGAACAAGAAGAAAACCTTGACCTGCGTAAACCTACCCAACCAAATGAATCTGAGATGGAGATGGAGATGGCGACGGCGATGGGTGCGACGGCGATTGCTGGTGGGTTCTCTCTTCCTTCTTCCTCCTTCTTCTTCTTTTTGGGTTGTCGTCTGAATCGCCCAAAAGACCTAGCCTCTCGATTAGTTACTTTTTGTTTTCCTATTCTTACTAGGATTTGGATTAATTTCCTATGTCATTTAGGTTTTCTGTATTCTAGTATAAATTTGTTGATAAATATAATTTCAGACGTTAGTCTATGGAGTTTCGGTTGGGATTTTGCCCTAGAACTCAATTATCTTCGTTCCAACTTCGATTCTACTACTTTATCCTTCTATTCTCTGTATTTTGGGTATGTTTGGGTCGCTGGACAGCAGCTTATAGCCGCTGTCCTGCATCAAGAGAGCTCGAAAATTCAAAGTTGGAGATCAATTATGGGAAGAGTAGTTTTAGCCAGGCAGGAAGATGATACTATCATGAAGATCATTAGTTGGGACATGAGAAGAAGGTTTACAAAATCATAGGAAGAGAAGGCTAATAAGGAGGTGTTACCGTGTTAGTGAGGAATGGCCCTAATATCGTAATATTACAATAAACACAAAAGGAGAGAGTCTAGTGTCATTACAAGAGAAAGTAATTTGGTGTAGAATTTTAATGATATTGCAATTTTAGCCTTTAATCATTGTTATGAGATCAGTTTTTTCCCTTTAGAAATAATTTGCATCTCCCTTTTTTTTATTTCAAGGGTAACATTTTGATCAAAGATTGACATAGAAAAAAGGGGGCCCAACTGAGCGAGTTATGGTTTAAATAAAACCATCCTAAACTGTAATTGTTTTCTATTCAAAGAAGTAGTTTTGGGCGGCATCTTGGTCTTTTACCTTCTATCTTCTGGTTGTAGGTGCTGATAAGGGTGTGATAGTTTCTGTATTACTAATAGGTGCCACTTCCAATGTTTTTCTAATACATTAATTTTAGTTGTCTTTTCTGGTAATTCTTATACTCCCAGAATTAGCCAAAGTAACATTTGTTAACAAATGCATAGTTATACTTACTTGTTTGCAATTCAAAATCCAGGAACTAGAGGCTGAGAATGCCAAGTTTTCATCTCAACTTGCAAACTGTCGCTGTCATGAGGTGGGTTATTCTATTTGTTGATATACCTTTTTCAAAGGGATGACATTTCAGTTTTTATGTTTAGTAATTTGACTATTACAAGGATATTACTGGTAATTTTTCAAAAAGGTAGAGTGACCCTTTGAAGTAGGGACACTGTTGATTAAATGAGGGATTAAACTTAACAAACTCTGTTAGACAAGAAGCATAACTCAAAAGAAAAAAGGCATTGTACTTTTAGCCGGAAAAAAGGTTTGTCTCAGGACCTTAGACTGATTTACTAAAGGGAAAAAGAAATGAAAATCTCCTTCTTGGTGTTTCCATTTTGGCTTTTTGTTTGATCTTTTTGGTTTTGTGAAAATGAACATGTTATGATGCAGAAAGAGGACGAGCGTTCTGCTGTAAGTTGTGATAGTTCACTGGAGACAAGCAGGAAATCAAACTCTGGAAGTAAGAAGATCACCAAGGAGATAGTAAAAGGGAAAGTGCCAGGTTTTCCCTTAGATTTTTCCTTTTCAAATTAAAATTAAGAATTTTTATTTTCTACCAGATGCCAAGATATATATATATATATATATATGCTTAAGTCCTTCAATCTCTCTCCCTGTCTGTGGCACCGTCCCTCTCTTTGTCTAGTGGTTCATGTTGTTTCTTAATGGCTGTTTATTGTAGTTATTCAAATTTTAAATATCTCTGTTTGTACACAGGTTATGACACAAGGATCATGAATCACCACTGCAAGAGATATGTTGCTCTGAAAGTCATGTATTTTGGGCAGAGGTACAATCTGCCACTAAGATGAAATTTATTTTTATTTTTAAATTCCAGCACTGCATCTTCAACCCCAGCCCCACCTCCCGGCGCCATTACGTCTTGAAAGTTAAAGAACAATAAACAGAAAGGTAGTTGAATGTTGAATTTGAGAGACCATACGGTGAAGAGAAATATAGGCTGTTTCATTTTCTTCTTAAGAGCGTATTATCATTTTCATCCCAATAGTTTCTTTCTCCCAGATACATTTTTGATAAATTTATCGAAGAAGCTTTCTAGAACAGCATTGCATGATCGACAGGCTAGAAAGAACCTAATACCCTTCATAATGATAATGGAATGTTTAAGGGCTTTCGTACTCTGCATTACAGGTTTTATGGTTTTGCTGCAGAGGCACAAATGGATCCAACTATTGAGGTATTCTCTCATATTATTATTTTTTTCCTAGTTTGTGCCTGAAATATGCATGGAAATGTGAACTAGATAAGCAACGTATGTTACATTGAATGTCAGAATCTTCATTGAGGTAAATTGATCTGCTCTTTTTGAGCACAACTCAAAGCATTTACTTTTTGCATTTTTGCCCTCAAAGATGCTTGCAGTTGTCCATTTTAGACTTGGTTATGGTACTACTTGTTATAGTACTCTAAAAATGTAGTTAAACTCTACAAATCTTTGAAACTTTAAAGTATACAAATTTGTTATAAAAAAAAATTTCGCTCAGTATTGATATTTTATGGTATTTCATAAGTGATATCATTCTATATATTGTACTGTTGTACATATTTTGCATTTGTATGAATATGAAATATAGCATTTTCATCCATAAGACTTCCTTCAATATTTAAAGTTGAATGCACAGTAGCTATTGGTTTATATAATTAATCGTAATTTGCAGAAGTTAATGCTGCATATTGTCTTCATCTTATACCCTGGATAATATACAGTCTGAAAATTTTAAAGCTCTTGAAAAGACAAGGCTTTTAGTTGGTGACAAGAAGGAATCACATTACTCCAGATGTGGTAGGACAGACAAGGGAGTATCTGCTGTTGGGCAAGTAAGTTGATACCAAACCTTTCTATTTGAATTTTGTAGGTTGATAATTGTAAAATTGGTACAACTGTATACAATTTGAGGTTTTCTTATGCTTGTCATTTGTGTATTCCTCAATAATGGGTCACACTGAATTATTCTAGCATCATTTTCTGAATCTCAAGTCAGCATCACTGCTCAAGATGCTAGAAGTAGATTCCCAACTGCTATCCTAGATAAAGCCAAGATTGAAAATGTGGATTACGGTGGAAATATATTAGTGAAAGATAGACACGCATATAAAATTCTAATACCAAAAGGAGTTCCTATGGGGTTCAAATACAGTAGATGGGATACCATTTTGGTCCAGACAATATCCAGAACAACTCATGGAAGTAGAGAAGTTTTGGATGTAGTTATGCACCAGCCATTAATGTGTCTTTCTATCCCTTCCTATCATCCATCCAAGAATGAGATAATTAGGGTTCGCCCAGTGTAAGTTGCATAGTCTTGATGTGTGTTTGGAAATTCATTACATTACACTATCAAGGTTTACTTTTTTTATTTTTATTTTTATTTTTAATATCTAGTAATAAACTTCAGCTCATACCGTCAAGGTTTGTTATAAAAAATGGTTATCCAAGGAATACAGACTACTGATATCAGATATTTGCAACCTTGCTTGGTAGTTTTGTTTCCTCGTAAAAAAAAGAAGAAAAGAACCTTGCTTGATGCTAGCTCTCATGCTGCTGCTTTTCTGTATTTTATTTTCAAACTTAACTATGTATTTGATTTATTGAGTATATTGCAATTATTTGATGCAGGTGATCGCTCTCTATTTACGATCAAACCTCAAGGAAACATGTGAGAACAATGAAGGTTCGAGAAAAATGGTTTTCAAAGAGCAATATGGTTAGCAGCTTTTTCGTTTTTGATAGGATATAAGAACTTTAGTGAAAAGACAAAAGAAGTACAAAAGGAGATGGACAGGCTTTGAATAGTTGACATGTTTTTTAAAATGGTATGCACTGTTCAGCTGAGTCCAGATGGCGACACGATCCCCGTGTCTTGTCACTTTGACCCCCTGTTCTCTTCTTTCATTCTTCACACAAGCAGTCCACCTAAGACTACATACAAAGCACCTAGGGCAAACCATATACAAACACCAGACTAGCAAACGAGGTCAATATACAATTCCTTTCCCCCAAAGCGGGGTCTAGAATCTAGTTTTATCTCAAATAAACGACACCGCCTTTGTAGGATGATGTCCAGAATAGGATGGGGGCATTGTTCACCACATTAATTTAATGTACTTTTTTGTTAGCTGAGGCTTTAATCAAAGTTTGGCACTATTGCTTAGCCAAGTGTCATGGCACACACCATTAAAGAAGTTGATCGGCATGGCAAAGAACAAGCTATCTTTTAAGTTTCAGATCAATTTCGACTAACCACATTCCATTTGAATAACACATGCTCCTTTTTTTTTTTCGTGCTTTTCTCAGAAGGCGAAATCGATTATGTGAGGGTGTTGAATCGAGCCCTTCCGGATGATATTCGAGTTTTTGGCTGGTGTCCTGTTCCATTGGGTTTCAATGCGAGGTTTGTCTACCTTGTATTCAATTCGCTACTATTTTGAGATGTTAATGTTGTTTGATACTTCTTTTGTTAGAACTTATCATACCGTGTGTCCTGCTTTTATTTTCTTTAGAAATGAAAAATACTAATCTTAAAAACCTATTGAGAGGACAGTTCCTCTGAGTAGTTTTTTTTTTTTTTTTTTTTTTTTTTTTTTTTTGATATTTCTTTAGTGAAACTAGTACATTTTAAGATACAGAATGAATAAACTCCCAGCTGCCAGCTGTCCACCTAGTTATGCTCTCATGAATTTCCCATGGACCATGTGAATTAGTAACCCCAAAATGGAAGTATATGTATTAATGTTTTAGATTATAGCATCTAGTCTAAATTGACCTAAGAAATCATTGAGCACTCAAAACGGCATCATGATTCTTAAGCTTAATAACTGTCACCCACTGTCAAATCATGGCTAAATTTTCTTGGAGCTTCTTTTCGCATAACGCTTGCACCGAAGTGTTTAATTAGGTGCCAATGCCTGGCTATCAAATCGTCACAGCCAGAAATTCTGGAGGCACATTGCTTGTAGCAATAAAACGGCATTTCTTAATGGAAAAAGTGAAGTTCAGCTTATCAAATGTGCTCACAAGATGGGCTGCTTTTAAAGCTCCCTTTAATGTGCAAAAGGTATCGGTATTTTAGGCCTTCTAATGGTTGGTGTATTACATGGGGTAAATGAAATCTTGTAGCCTATCACCCTGCCCTTTATGAAGAGGGTGAATAAGTCTTGATTTGTTCCTTGCGTAAGCTGTCTTGTATTTTTCTGACTGATAACAATGATTGTCTTGATCAAAGTTGGGGGAAAGATTTTAGTTCATTTGAGGATAACTGAGTTCTGCACTCCATCATCTGTATAACTGCAAGACAATATTTTCATTTTTAATATGTGATGTTTACATGGTTGAGGCTAGTTCTGCTGTAATGTACTGTAACCCTTTTTTTTTTTTTTTTTTTTTTTTTTTTTTCTTTTTTTTTTTTTTTTTTTTTTTTTTTTTTTTTGTTCACTGTAATGATCTTATGCATTACTATTTGTTGCTTTCCTTTGTCAAATACAGGTTTAGCTGTTTGGGCAGGGAGTATTATTATTTATTTTGGGGAGAAAATCTGAATCTCCTGGTGCGCAGTTCTTCTCTTTCAATTATCACATTTTGTGCTCCTTTTATTGGAATTAAGAGAATGAGAAACTTGGTTTCTTTGCTTCATGTTTAGCCAGGCTATGGAGAGTGCTGGTAGGAAATTTATTGGCGAGCATGACTTCAGAAACTTCTGTAAAATGGATGCACTAAATGTACACAACTATAGGCGGAAAGTCACTTCATTTTCAATCTCTCCTTGTGATGTGAGGTTGACATGGGTAGATAATTTTTCTGACCCTGTTTTCTCTCTCTCTTTTTAAATGACTTAATTCACATTTCCCTAATTGCTTAATTATACAAGTGAGGCACAAGTATTTGTTCAAGTTCTATGAATATTTCATCTCTCCCTCTCTCTCTCTCTCTCTCTCTCTCTCTCCCCCTCCATCCATGTGTGTGTTGGGTGTGTAGCCTATGGGTTTTGTCCGGCAACATTCATACATATGCAAGCAGCATGTGCAAACACAGCCTTTTGCCTTGAGCAGAAGATGTGATTGTCCATCTCCCCACCATGGTACAAACACAGCATCGAAATCCTTTTGTACTGTTCTCTAGATTAGACAGTTTAAATTAATGTGTGAAAGTTGTTTCTGGACTTCAATTCAGTGCTACATGATCTTTGCTTTCTTTTACAAGACTTGAATTCCTATCTCTCAGTTAGGAGTTGACCTATTTCAAACCTGTGTTCCAGTAAAACCTGATTTGATTCTTGCTGTTTCTGAATCTCACTTTCCGATTTATGCCTTTGGTGTCATCTGTTCAACTCATAGTTCAGTTTCTAATCTTATCAACATGCCCAAAAGAAGAATTTTCTGTATTGAGACTTTCTTGAATGGATTTTCATGAGTATTTCTTTATAATTTTGCAATTGTTTTCAGGTGTGATGAGAACCAGCTTTGGGCTATCAAAATTAAAGGTAGTGCTTTCCTCTGGCACCAAGTCCGATGCATGGTTGCTGTACTATTCTTGATCGGCCAAGGTCATGAATCTCCTGATGTGCGTACCAAATGTCTTCTTGATTGGGTTCTCAAGTTTTTATATCAAACTTGTTTAAGCTGTTAAGATATACTACAAAATTATTTGTTTCTTGAATCTCTTAAAACAATCAGCCTGGCATGTGCACAAAACTGAGGTGCAGCCAGAAACACTGTGAAGGTGAAAGTTGTACTGGTACAGAATAGTTATCTGGATATCACACATCAATAACATGCTTCCACACATGCAAACGAATTGCATCCAGTCAGATGCCTCTCTTGCATTATCACATACGCTTTCTGAATTGCCTTATGAAACCTTGCATATTTCTCAAAATGCTTTCCAGTTTCCAAAATGCAGTCTCTACGTTAAGTTTTCATTTTTGTTCAACTCATGAGTGTAACTGAGGCAAACTGCTTTAATTTGTAGGTGATAGATGCGTTATTGGACACTGACAGAATCCCCAGAAAACCTCAATACAGCATGGCCCCGGAAATCCCATTGGTTCTTCAGTCTTGTGAATTTGAGGGTCTCAACTTCACTTGTTCGTCAGGTACTTTTTTGATACATCATATGCTTTGTTTGCGAGTTATTGAAATTGGAGTGTTGACGTTCTGTCACATCCATTTTCTTCTCTCAAATATTGCTTGCTGAATTAAGAACTGCCCGTGCAAATTGCAATGACTCTCCAACTTCTAAATGTTTAATTTACTTGTGTTCCTAGATTCTATGCAAGCTTTGCGTGTACACTTGGCAAATGAATGTCAAAATTATCATCTCAAAGCAGCAATCTTCCACGAGGCTCTGCAGAGCTGTTTGCCAATAGAAAAAGGTGCTGAAAGCAATATTCCTCATATTATTTCCAATAAACCATATAATATTTGTTGTATATTTATCTCTTACTGAGATGACCTTTGTTTTCTCAGATCAGAGATCCTTGGATAATGGAACAGTCAAGAAAAAATCTTCCCATGTCCCTCTCATGTCACGGCCAACTGAGCGTAAGTGTTACTGTATCTTTGAAAATTACATAGAACTGTTCACTACAATAAATGAAATGTTTTTGCAAGTTTGCATCCTCATTAAAAAGCGGGAATGTATTACATTATACTTTATGGTGGCTTGTTTTATATTATGTACTTAATATAATGTGGGTTCAAGAGTGTCTGGATAACATCATGTTGTGTGTATTGTATCATGATCATAATGTTCAATGTGATTATCATGATTTCTCATGGGCTTTGGTATTTCTGGAGTTCGAGGAATATTCTCTGTTATCTTATCCAATCCGAAAGCTGTGTAGTCTTGTTCTTGCTGTCTTTTCATTTTCAATGCAATTTTTGTATGGCTGTTTGACTTTTTAGAGATCGCTAGTCAGATCCCATATGCCAGCAGACACCTTGTCTTCTGTTTTGTACTCTTTCATCTATACTAATTTGAAGAAAAGATGCTTTGTCATGCACTATAGCTGAAATGCCAAGTCTACCCTTAATAATTTAAGCAAGTGAGATAATAAATCTTAAAATTAAGGATAATATACTAATTTCATATGAAATGATTTTGCATCCAGACGATGTTATTTCTTCTCTACTTGCTAGCATAATTCCTTTCCAATATTTCTAATGCTGCCTCATAACTCTGCTTGAATTGATCCCAGCATCGTATGAAGAGAGACGTGCCAAATTAAACACACGACATAAAGACTGAAGATTTCATTAATATTATATCTGGAGATTACAAAAGTATAGCAGATTCTACCATTGAACTGCAGTATGTTGTATTGATAAATTATTTGTTTCATTTGCATAAATGTTGCTCCATGATTTTGTTATCAATGTAATTTTCTTACTAGCGATTTTTTTCGTTACTTTTTCTGTTAGTGGGAATGAATTTAACACATTGAGCTTTTGATTATTCTACCTACCTGGGAGTATAACAATCCCTTGTAGTCTTTTTTTTTATTAAACCGCCACAAGCCTTTGCTACTAGGAATTTCCATTGTCAGATCCAAATCACTCTTCGTGGCAAGGAAAACTAGCAATCAGTATGCTGTTGTGTCGGTATTCTAATTCAATTACTTACTGTGATTTGGGAAAAGTTATGCATCACAATGCATGATTGACTTGTGATACTGCTAGTTAGATCCAAATCACTATCTTTTCAGTATGCTATTGTGTCGGTATTCTAAGTCAATTACGGACTGTCATGTGGGAAATTTAGAATGCATCACAATGCATGATTGACTTGTAATACTGCTAGTCAGATCCAAATCACTTTCCGTGAACAGATTTATAAACTAGGTCCCTCATTTGTTGGCGGGATTACTCTACACCAAACGGCTAGCATGCTAGCATAACATAGATAAAAAGGAGCATGGACAAAGAATGTAGGCCTCACAAAGCCCAATCATTTTACCAACTTCTTGTAGATGCTTTGGGCCCCCATTCAGAAAGCAATGTCCAATCAACTCAACTTTTTTCGTTGTTGTGAAAAAGTTTTGCCACCTTTTTCTTTGTCTATAAAGCTAAAGGATGACAAATGGAATGGGTTGAAAGGCTGAAGAAGGTGGAAGACATCAGTTATAGCAATAGCACGCATCATTGTTGGAGAAATGATTAGTAACACTGTAGTCGGTTTTCACTTGAAGTTTTTTACTAAACGAAGTTTAAAAAGTCATGAATAGGGAAAAGTATGAATATTGAATAGAGGAATGGAAAAAGGATAAACTATTCCTCCCCTAATCAATTTATATCTAGTTTTTTAAGTTTTGCATTACGGATTTTAACGTGGAATTCACATAATTTGTTTAGAGTGCTATTATTTCCACCCCTTATCCTATTTCCTCACCCACCATGTAAATTTGAAAAAATACAATCATATCTTTCCATCCACCATTATTCCTAAAATACCCTTTAATTATTAATTCAAGCAAATTCTCTTTACTAATCATTAGTAGTTTTCAATTATGAAAATTATTCAAAATACGAAAGATAGATGTGACATTTTTTTCGATGATGATGATTGAAAATGGGCTTGTTTTTAATAATGATTTCACATATTCTTTCATAATTACAAGCCCTTTGAGATACTGAAAACGCCTCTCTTTTAATTTTTCAAATTATCGTGAGGGTTGTTCATTGTAAATCTTGTGAAGTAAAAAACTTGACCATAAATTTGAATTTCAAACTCCTTAGCGGCTGTCACAACCCTATGAGAAATGTTGGGGATAGTTCTTCATACACAAATATGTAGTTCTTAGTTGTTGTATTTGTGAATTGTATATGCATCAACGGTTGAAAGTCGTTCATGCATGCATGGACAGTTGTCCTAATCACTACTTATATTATTTCAACATTGAAGACTTTAAAGAGATATTTAGCATTGGTGCACTTAATATTTTGACTAAATTATATCAATTTGGCAAATTGATAAATAAAAAAAAACAAAAATAAATACAAATATTAGGCCAGGAGGGTATGTGATGGAGTAGTTCCCGCGAGGGAAACTCGGGTCAAACAAAACAAGGCGCCTCTTTTCTCTTCTCTGAGTTTTTATCATCCAAACAAACAAACAAACAACCCAAAATCAAAAAAGGAAACGCAAAAGCAAAAATAAAAAATAAAAATAAAAATATCAGAGGGAGTTTTAGAGCCAGCCAGCCCTCACCTGAGAAACGGAAACGAAGAAAACCAAGGAACAAAAAATGGAAGCAGCGATGGGATTGATGCGGAGAATGCCTCCCAAGCACACCGAGACGGCTCTCTCCGCCCTCCTCTCCCTTATGCCCCAACACTCCTCCGATCTCCTCTCTCAAGTCGATCAGCCCCTCCAGGTCCGTCTGTTTGTTTCCCGAGAAAATCCACCTTTCTAACGCCAAAACCCAATTTTCAGTTTTCAGTTTTTCTTTCTCTTTGGCTTACCAGCTTCTTAGGGTTCCATTTTAGTCAAGAAAGGAAAAATGGGTTGTTGAAATTCGAGAAAGAAAAGTAATGACAACTACAATAGCAGCATTTGAACTCACTGTGTTGCACTGATTTCCCAAAAGCAGGTTTTGTGCGATATGGAGTATGGGAAGGAGTTCATTTTGTGTGAATATAATAGAGATGCAGACTCTTACAGGTAAAAACACTCCAATCTTTGTTCTGTGAACAGTCAAAATTGATGACTTCTTGTTAGATTTGTGATCTAATAGGCCTTAACAGTGGCATTTTTGTGGGAGATTTTAGATATAGCAGATCTGGCCTTGATTTTTGAATCTGGATGTTTTGTATAATTTGATTTTCTTTTTGTTACGCATGCAGATATAATTGATATGGCAAATGAAATGCATGTATAACTATCTATTTCACACACACAGAGACTCTCAAACCGCTGCTTTCATTTTTGCTCTATCTTTGATTCTGCTTCTGTAAAGTATTCAAAATCAATTTACAAAATCTCTTGATTTTGCATTCGGCTACCGGGGCTACATCTTCAGTTTAATTTTTTGGCTTTCTTTTTTGTTTTATCTTTTATGTTCTATTCTATGAATATCAGTTGTCTTACTCATCTTTGTATTTCCTTTTTTGTGTTGCTATATTTCTATATAGATCACCTTGGTCAAATAAATATCATCCACCATTAGAAGACGGCAGCCTCCCGTCTGAAGAGTTGAGGAAACTTGAAATTGAAGCAAACGACATCTTTGCCATTTATCGTGACCAGTGAGGTCCTTTACTTACCTCGTTCTTGTGTTATTGTTGTTAGTCGTTGAATTGTATAATCTAACCACCTTCACAATGCTTTTTTCTTCTTATTATCTAATTTTCAAAACCAACCAAATTTTCTAGACAATATCCTCATGCAATTTATTTAGCATAATGGTTCATTTATTTGTTTCATTTTGAAGATTTACCACAGTTTAATTGACCGGTAATTTGGTAGGTATTATGAAGGTGGAATTTCATCAGTTTACATGTGGGAGGATGATAACGAATGTTTTGTAGGCTGCTTTTTAATAAAAAAAGGTCTACTGCCTGAACCATCTCCAAGCAGATATAAATATCAACTTCTTTTCTGTTATATTCCTTATTTCTGATTTTTATTATTCGTGGGAATGAAGACGGCTCCAAGACAGGTCAAGGTCGCAGAGGTTATCTGCAGGAGGGTGCATGGGATGCTATACATGTAATTGAGGTAAACTCCATTTGTCACGGTTGGACCAATATAGACCTGTGGTGAGGGTCTCCATGTAGTTCTGCCGCTCTCTTCCCTTTCACACTTCAACTAAATTTTCATTATGTTTGTTTGTCATTTATTCTCCCAATCATTCTGGGAACTTCGTTTTTTACATTAGGTGGGTCCGGAGGAGGAAGGAACATCCCATTACCGTTTAACCAGCACTGTCATGCTGTCTCTGACTACAGACAATGAGTCATCAGGCACATTCAATTTGTCTGGATCAATTAGACGACAGGTAATCATACTTGATTTTGTTTCCGTTTGGGAGGGATTGGTATGTCTCCCATCTAAATGCTTCTTGGGCTTTGACATTTAAGTGATAAACGTGTTTCAAATAGATGGAGTTGTTATCAGCAAACTATTGCTCTTGTTTGTTGTTACAAACACACATTTTAGCTATTGAATGTTGTAATGGAAAATCTTCTGTCTCTTTTGATATTTATGAGAGGAAGAACTTAATGTGCACCAATGAGTGTTGTGAAATCTTTGTGGCCCTAAGGTCTCCCCGCCACCCTGCCAACCTCGGGTGAAAAAGATCAATAACAAAAATGGAAGAGAAACTTTCCTCCCCACCAAAAGAGAAATACTGCCTGGTTGGATGGTTCCTGTGCTAATGTAGCCTATAAGATTCTTTTGGTCATATGCACTGAAGATGAAGACCTAAAGATGCACTAACATGGGGAAAAGAGGATAAATGGAAATAATATAACGGGGGTAGAACAGTGTGAAAGTAAAGGGATTATTTATTGGAGTTATGTTGTAGAGAATTACCTCGTCTTATTGGAAGAGAATAGTCCATGATGTGGCCCCCAAGTTTTTGAAAAAGGACTCATGTTACTTGTACATGCATTTAATAGGGATTTCAGTTTTTCCACATGCATTTACTCTTTGTTTGGTTCTTGGAAAGCAAGTGGAATCAAAATGCTAAAAACGTCTAAAAATGCTTTAAAACAAAGCTACTTCGAAATTCTTCTTTTTCTTTGCTCCATATGCGCGTAGAATTGAACAGAGCCTCAATATGTTTTGTTGATTGTGTTAAGGGTGCGATGGTTTAGATTAAGCACAAGATTTGTTCTTTAAATGATGACCCAAAATTTGTTTTCTATGCTGCCATTCATGTACTGTTTGTATGATATCCTGGGGTGGATAAACTTTTCTTTCTTGTTGGCTTTGTAGATGAATATGCACCTCTCAGTTCAAGAAGGTCATCTTTGTAACATGGGAAGAATGATCGAAGAAATGGAGAGCAAGCTGAGAAATTCACTGGATCAGGTACTGTGGTCTGTTATGTGTGGATTTACCTTTCTACATCCTGCTCTACAGTTTGAGCTATACAATATTTCAATAAAGTATTGAGCCCAGGCTTGAACTTAAGCCATGCCTTCTGAAAGCAGTGGATTTACCACTTAGCCGTCCGACAGGGACTTGAACCATTGTGCAGTTGTGGCTAGACAGTAACGCTTATAAAGGCTTTGAATTTTATCTTTGGAATTTAAAGTTATGTCATTGATCTACCTATTGCAGGTTTATTTTGGAAAGACGAAAGAGATGGTTTGCACTTTACGACCACCATCTGAAGTAGTGATGAGACTGCCTGACAGCTGATGTGGCATTCTATGTCCTATCAAGAGGGAGAACAGTCACCAGGCGTTGGTTGTCATATTTGCTTAACAGGGTGATTGGTGTTTTGGTGTAGTTCGTATGTCATTATCCCAGTTTTTGAAATGTTCTTGCAATTTGATTTGCTTCAGTTGGTGGCCTTGTGCCATTGCACAGTGGAGAAGATGGCTGGTTTGTCAATTGAAAACGCATCATGGATTTTGTATTTTCATACGCCTTATCAAGTGTTTTCTTGAGTTAGTTTGTTATGCCTTTTCTTTTTGGTTTTTTTTGGGTGAGTAATAGAATTATCCTACTGCCAGGTCAATTTATGTTACAATTTTCAGATTATTCCATAAGCTGGATCATTTTATTAGGTTTGGCTTAACTGGTATAATCTTCTTGAAAAAAATTATGTGACGAAAGAAATTTATGGATGAAATATATACCCATATTTTCCATGATCTTTCCGTAGTTTGTGCCCTTTGTTGGTGCATTAGAGCACTTCCACCAGTTAGCCCCTTGCCATGGCAAGGGGAGCCCTAGGGCGGGTACTATTCACGTGAATAGTGGCTGCCCTAGGGCAAAAAAAAATTTGTGTTTCCAGCAATGCAAGGCTTGCCATGGCAAATACTATTCATTTTTTTTGTTTTTTTCACAACTTTGTTTACTTCAACAATTAATTTGTATAATATTTTCGGATAAGATTTTTGGGTTCCTACGTATGAAAAATCATTTTCTCAAGATTTTTAGCGGAGGTGCAATATTGACTAAGTATGAAAAATGGTTTTTCAAAATAATCATTTTCTCAAGAAAATTTTTGGCGGCTTTTATTCCTTACACATCAAATAAGAAAACTTGATTTTATGGGATTTTAATATGAAGTATATATTGACTTAATTAGCCATCATTTTTAGCCTAAATCGTATTTTGCACTAAAAACGATTTTTCATATTTTGATTTGGTGGGAATTTGATTTTCTAGTATTTTTATTTGAATCCAAATGGGGGGGTACTTCCTTATTTACATTGTAAACTTAAGTAAATGGAGTAATATAAAAATAAATAAAAGTAAAAGGACAAAGACATTTACTTAAATGTTGAAAATGGAAATAAGGTATAGAGAAAAAATAAATAAATAAATAAAGAAGAAGTAATTTTTTGGTATTTTTTTCAATTTTTTATTACAAAAATATTGGCTGCTGGTGTTAAAAGTGAAGAGTAAAAAATTTCAGTATTTTTTGGGTATTTTTTTCGATTTTTTTCATTTTTTTATTGGACAAAAAAAACACTGTAGCGGGCACTGTAGCAGCACTGTAGCGTGCTGACGTCAGATTGCCCGGGCTGGCGCTCGGGCCAGCCTCCCCTTCGGGCCAGCCCAGGTAGCTGGGCCCCACTCCTTGCCCTGGCAGCTTTGTGTTGCTGGAAACAGCATTTTCCCCCAGCCCCCCCCCAGCCCTCCCCCCAGCCTGCTTGCTGGAAATGCTCTTAGGGATGCTCTCTGTTTTCGCTAATCATAGTTTTCATTTTATTTTTTTAACTCAATACATAAAATTTATTTTTTATTCGAATTTTCAAACTCTATTGTACTTGAAAAAAGTTGTTTTTCTACTGCCTTAGCCCCCTTTTGGGATTGCATTTTTTTGGCCAAAAACCTGCTTAACTTTAAAGTCAAGCAGTTTAAGGTGTTTAGTAAAATTAACATATCCCGATTATTTTAAAAGCATTGGCTTTTTGACAACAGTTTTTAAAAGCTGACTCTGGGTTGCTTTTCAAAGCTGCTTTCAAAAGAAGCAGAGATGAACATTTAATGAATTTTTTTAATTCTCAAAATATCATCATTCATTTTTAAAAAATGACACCACCTCCACTTTTACATCCAACTCCACCACCACATTTACTACCTCCACAACCACCGCCACCACCACCACCACAACCACCACATCCTCCTCCTTCTCATCCTCCGCCAACACCACCACCACCACCACCATCACCATCACCACCTCCTCCAAAACCTCCACATCCACCACTATCACCATGTTGCCACTACCACCACCACCACCACCACCACCTCCACAACTACCATCCCCACCACCACAACCATCAACTTTGCCTTCATCTCCAGTACCAACTCCACTCCATCACTATCATTACCACTATCACCACATGATTAGTGCATAACACTTTTAACATCATATCTATTTTAGTCATTATTCAGAGTTACAACAATTTTATATTAAAATTTACCAAACGGTTTTAACACTGTTTTTTGTACTAACATCACTTTTAAAATAGTGTTTACCAAACATGGAGCTGCTTTACTTTACAGCTAATTATTTTTAAAGCACAGCAGAAGCAACTTTTTTAAAAGTGACAGCAATCCCAAACTAAGCCTTAGAATTGTAATGATCTGTTAAATTCGAATCATTATAATTTCACAAATAAAAAACAGGCTCTTTGCATTTTATCTAGGGGTGGCATTTTAGACCAAAAAATCGAAAAATCGCAAAAACCAACCGACAATTTACCGCAATGGAATCGCAATCGCAGGAAACCGAATAGCATTTGCGGTATGAAGAACCGAACTTCATTTGCGGTTGTGGTTACGGTATTTGATTTTCAAAACTTGCAGTTACAACAAATCGCAACTATATATATATATATATTTTTAAATTGCATTTTGTAGATAGCATTGGTGCTCAAACAACACAACGGGGTCCTTCAAATCCACTCACCACCACCAACACTTGAGTTTGTAACATTGGTGCATTGCATTTTCCTTTTAGTTTGTAACTTTAATTAACTTTGAATTGGATTTTTCCTTTGGGTTGTAACTTTAATTCATTTTGCATTGCATTTTCCTTTTTGTTTGTAACTTTAAAGGATTTGGAATTTGAATACTTGAGAAGTTGAGGTTGTGAATGCTTGAGAAGTTTAACTTTAATTGGAATGCTTGGAATTGTAACTTTAATTTTATTTAGGTTGTGAATGCTTGAGAAGTTGAGGAGGTTGTGAATTTATATATGCCTGAGAAGTTGAGGTTGTGAATTTATATTTTTTGGTTAAAGTATGATTGAACTCAAAAGGTTTCAAAAGAAGCATCAAAATTAGGCTTAAAATGTGGAAGATTGGATTTTTATGACACAAAAAGAACTTGCGGTTTTAAACCGCTAATTCATAGTAACTGACCGTCTTTTGCGGTTTACCGCAATGCGATAAACCGCAAAAAGCGGTCAGTTTGAGGTTTGGGCAAAAATTTGCGGTTACAGAACCGCAATCACCCCTAATTTTATCTTCTCAACGGAAAACAATAGTCTATATGTGAGTGATCAATATTCTACATATGAGTGCTCAAATGGAAATCAATACGCTAACTTCTCGGTTAGACTTATTCAACATCATCTTATGATTTGAACTATTCATTTTTTAGGTCATCATTCAAAAATCACCATTGGAACAACCAAAAAAGCCAAATCAGACACCATCTAACTACGATCAAATAAATAGACGAACACAAATAGTTAAACGATATTTGATTTGGCTAATTTTCTGAAAGGATGATCTTTAAATGAGAACCTAAAATATGAATGATTTATATCATGAGATCATATTGTGGAGTGAGTCCAAACGAGTTGTTAGAGTCGTATTAAGTTGCTCTCATCCTTTTTCCCTGCCCTCTCCCTTTTTTCACTTATTTTCAAATTTAAAATTAACAACAGAAAAACACAATTTGTAACATATTTATTTTCAAAAATATATATTTATAACAATTAAAAAAAAACAGTTGGCACATGAGTGCGCGCCAAGAAGCAAGTAATAAATAGATTTTTTTTTATTAAAAAAAAAACTTGTTACCCCATCCTTTTTCTCAACGTTTTCTTATTTGTTTTACAAATTAAACTTCAAAAGCACACCTTTATTTCCATTCATTTTCAAAATTAAAAACACAAATTCGTAACATATATTTATGACCCGTGACAACATAGCAAGAGGCAAACAATAATAAATTAAAAAAACACAATGTCCATCTCGACAGTGAACCAGACCATCCGAAAGTTTAATCTAAAATCTGCATGATGAACGAAAGTATTATTCCAACCTAAACTCTAGACGAAGGACTTGGTTAACACGTACGCTAACCAAATTACCAACATTTCCTTCTGTTCAATAAAATAAATAAAAACCTACCCAACATTTTGGGTTTAAAGACGGCTTGATTAAGTTAAACCACGACGCCAACAGATCATAATTCAATGGTAAGAACATTTGCCTGCAGATAATGATCTCAGATTTGAACTCAAAAAGCACCTTCCCCTCCCCCTTCCACATGACATAATCCTGTCTTTCGTTGTCCTCTGAAATATCTGTAGCACTAAATTGTACTCTATAGCCATGCACACAGTTGGCAAAAGAACTAGAAAGAGAAAAACCAGGCCACCCAGAAAACCATTTTTCGAGTTACTCAAATGACGATCTGATTACCTAATCATCCTGCGATCAAACTCATTGCAGACTGAACAATCAGACTTGATGCCACGATTAACAAGCTCAACATAATATTCAACAAATCAACAATATCCCGGGTTTAGAATCACAGTGAGATGCATACTATAATGAATAAAAACCATACATCATCATCACCAGTAATGAACAAGCTGATATCTAATACCTAGTAAATGCCAGAATCCGATTCACAAAAAGTGGAAATTTAGTAGAGCTTGCCTTGCCAACAGCAATCCTCTCACTAGACTACCCCTCAGGAAAAATAAAAAACAAAATAAAAAGGGAATCTCTTGGTGAATGTGAAGGAAGCAAAGCATTCACAAAGTTTGTGTGTCAGAAAATAAAACACATATTCAAGTGCATGTCAAAACAGAGAGTAGCATTGGCTTTGAAAACATTGTAAGAACGGCGTTCACCCCTCAAGCTTTGCAGTACACCCTGCCACTTTTCGAACATTTTGCATCATCAGGCAGAAGCCTTTGCGTCATGCTCACCACTCGCAGGAGGTTTGGCATCAGATTGTGCAGCAGCCGATGGTGGTTGGTCAACAATTTCATCCTCGGTGTCACTATCACCAATCTCTTCTGGTAGTTTTAGACAATTAAATCAAAAGTCAAATACAGTAATATTATAGCTTATCTGCACTTAATAGTCCACTTCCTAAAATAAAAATAAAATCACATAACCGTAATGAAAATGATGTGGATAATAGATTGTGAAACTCACCATCAAAGTTGCCAAGAGCATCTGGATTGAAGCCACCGGGGCCACCCATGTTGCCAAGAGCATCAGGATTGAAGCCACTGGCACCACCCATGTTCATGCCAAGAGCATTAGGATTGAAGCCACCGGCGCCACCCATGTTCATGCCAAGAGCCTCAGGATTGAAGCCACCGCCGCCACCCATGTTCAGTTTCTGAAATAACAGGACAAAGGCAATTGTTTATGTTCATGAAAAATTTAATACAAGCTTCAATAGTTAGTTGATGGTATAGCTAACTATAATTTAACATATATAATGTGATAGTTAGGTGATGGTATGACTACTTACAGAGAAATCAAAGTCTCCAAAGTCCATATTGTTTCCAGCTGAAAACCAAAATTACATATAATGAAAACCGGTCAGAATTTTTCCAGGAAACTATGCCAATAGGGGCAGAGATTTAGGAAGGATACGAGAAACACTTACCACCTTCATCAGGTTTCACTTCCGGCTCTTCATCTTCATCAACCCATTTATCCCAATCCACTTTGAGAAACACAGGAGCTTTTCCCTGTTGTTTAATCAACCTGCTCCACCATTTATCCTCAGCTTTTTTCACTAGGTAACAGATATTTCTCAAGCCAACACTAGCCTTGCTCTCCTGCAAAGGAAAAGATAAGTTTGTGTCATAATTGATAACAATCCGATACAGTAGTAAAGATAGATTAAGATGTAATGGCTGCAATTGGAAACCTACATTTACATCAATCTTGTCATAGAGATCAAGGTCAATTTCATAAGGTGTCTTCTCTGGTCCAGTAGTAGCAGAGAATAAAAACTTTCCTTCAGGCTCCAGGTTAAGCTTTACATCCTGGGCATCCGGCAAGTCAATAGTTATGTAGACCGTATCAGACCTCTGGGCCCATTTCACATTAGGATGTCGGCTGAAAATTACATGTTTAAATGAAAATTAGTACAAATGAATATAAACACCAATGGAGTAAACTGTTACAATATACATATATACCAGAAAATGATGAAGAAAATGGAAACCCATGCATATAGCAGTTTCAATAACTACAAAATTAGCATTATAGTTCACTTCTTGAAGCAAGTACTGTAAGACAAATCAGACTAGCATTCATCAAGCCAAAGCTTGTAGCTACTAGATCCTACACTAACCAAGCGTTCCTGCACAACTATTCACCAATATGGCAGTTTAAGCACGAAAAACAAAAATAATACAGAAACAAGAGTTAAAGGAGTAAACAAAATAAAAATGGAAAAGCAAGAATTGTACAAGTGCAATATTAAACATAGTTGCATTCATTGAATAAGTTTTCTGTATATGCATCATCGTATCGTACAAAAGAGACGGACAGAAAAATAAGAAATCTAAATTTACAAATTCCCTTTCCCATTTGGGTCTAGTATAATTTCACCAAAATCTCACTACATTCAGTTTTGTAAAAATAAAAGCATAGCTTTTTGTTTGGTTGCAGAGAAAAAGAAAGATGGAAAATAAGAAAAAACATATTTCGACCAATACAGTCAGTTAAATCGCAGCATATGTAATGATCATTTCCAGGGAAGAAATAATAATTAAAACCCTAGACCTCTCCTGTTTGGTTGCGGAGAAATACATAAAGGTGAAGAAAAGGAAATCAAGGAAAATACTCAGCGACTGAACCCAACAATCAAAACAAGCCATCCCCCATAGGCAGAGTCAAGTTCTCATACTTACAGATGACTGATTTTTCTTCACTTTCTAAGCAACCAAACAGGAAAAAAAAAGAAAATAAACAATAAAAAACCTAGCTCAAATCCTATGCTTCACATGAAACTCAATGATGAAAAATGAACAAAATCAGCACTAAAATGTAAATTAAAAGAAACTAGGAGCCAAGAACAACACCTCATCTTGGCGTATTGATCTTCACCCAGAAACAGCGTTTACTTGCGAGAGAGACGAGAGAGAGAGAGAGAGAGAGTGTTTTATAAACGAAAGGAAAGGGGTTTTAGTGTGATTTATAGATGGAGTTTATGGACCGTAAACAGTGAAAATGCACGGTAAAAAGTGAAAATCGGGTCTTAGATGCTTCCGTGTGGTTCCACACTTCCATTTTATTCTAGATACTTGTGCAAGTTTTAGATCTTTTGCGGTCACAATCGTCTGGGGGCAACCTTATTTGGAGGGCTGCTTGAGTTCCCTCGGGCCCGCTACAATTAGGGCTCTCATTAGATAAAAGTTTAATTACTTGGGAAAACAAAAAACAAAAAAATGAAGATAAAAGTTTAATTGTTGTGAAATGTACGGTGTATGATGCGTGAATATTGACGGTGCACGTAAAGTAAATGAGACTAAATATTTAATGAGGTTCAGCTATGCCTATATACCTGGAAAGCAGTAATAATAACCTTTTCACTATGTAAAATATTAAGGCTACAAGAGAATACAACTTTAGGACATGTTTACGTATCAGTAATAGGAATGAGAGGAAAGAGAATAATTTCCATTCCTGACTTCTCCTGCATTTACTTGCAATCAGGAATGAAAAAATAAGTGGGCCCCACCTCAAAATCCATAATCACATTCCCTCAAAACTAAGAATCATATCAACTAGGGGGAGTAGTCGATATGATTCTCATTCCTCTTTTCTCTTAATAACTTCCAAAAATACCCTTATCACTTTACCATAATTCTAAAATTAATTTGGATTCTGATTCATGCAAATTAGTAAACAATAACAATGGGAATCAATCCCATTTCATTGCTAATTCCATATGTTTAGTAAACAGCTTAATGGGAATGATTCTTCCCATACCGATTCAGTAGTTCTCCGATTCCTAAATTCTCTGATTCCTTAGTTTCTCCATTACTGATACGTAAACATGCTTGTTTACACTCTCATAGACTCACTAATTTTTCTCTCAGCTCTCATTTTCTCTCATCTCCTCTTTCTTCTTCCTCTATGCCTGGCTCTCTTTTTCTTCTCTGATGGTGAGGTTAGAGAGAAGGTTGCTAGCATTCCCCTTAGATAAATATTTAATTGTTGTGAAATGTACATTGTATGTTTGACAGAGGCAGAACTACCACAAGGGCTACAATAGGCTGTAGCCTAGGGAGGTTTTTGAGATTAAAAAAATATATTAAACCCATACATTTGTATTCTTTTAAATATAGCCTAGTATGTATTAACCTATTAAATCCCCAATTCAATTCTTTATTAATTTAGTTGCAGGGTAACAATAAAAATACATATTAAAATAGGTATACTTTTCAAGTCTGTTGTTGAACATATTTTCATTTGGATAATATATGGTTTTTGGTTGCATTTAAAATTTATTTGTTTTAAGTTAAAGCATAGGTTGAAGAGTTTTTTTTTCTTTTTTTTCTTTTTTATTTTACACGTTAGCCTATTGGGATCTATTGTTTTGCCAATTTGCCAAAACATGAACACAATAGCATCCAAAATGTCTTTAGTGGGGTTCCCTTTCAAAATACAAGGACCAAGGTTTTTCCTTTTCTTCTTGACTGCCCAACTTACAAAATTGTTCAAGCCTTTGCAGGCACTCAAGAATCATTTTTGCATTTGATCATTTTGGACGGAAAAAATGTTACGAGTTCAGCTGTAAGGATTTCCTATGAAAATGGCAGGAACAAAGATTTTTATTCTAAGAATATTGTTTATCTTCTCAATCGATTTGAAACATGTTGAACTAGTAAGGTGCAGCTGTATTAGAAGACAATAACTATAAAGATCTCATGAATCTGTTCATTTCATAATCAAATGGAACATTCATTTCAAATAAAAAACACGTGCATCAAACCAAATATCCATCTTTGAATCAGTAATATATAATGATTAAGAAACCTAATCGAACTCACTTAGAATAGCAGTACAACTTTCATAAACTTGGTGCTAATTTCCTTTGTCATAAGTAGCTATGTTTGGGGCTCACACTCTGGACTAAATAAGCGAACCAGCAAAGCAATGGTTGAGCTCATAGATATAGCGCCACAAGCTGCCCAATGAAGACTCCTAGGAACTGAAAGAGCAAAAAAGCAACAACATAAGCTATGGCTTTGTGTTCATCAACTAGAATGGATGAGTACATTTGTTTTCGGCTTAAACTTTGCATTAGATCATAATGATCATGAATCAAACATGGCAGGCACATAACATGGCATTAAATAGAGATACTGTATGTACAAGAACAGCATAAGCAACAATAACAAAACCATAACTATTAGAAGTAGGACAGAACATAATGCAATCTACGGATCCAGAATCCCAATGCTCCGCCAACACTGAAAAATACCAGCAGTCTGTCTCATCAATCTGGAATAAGGTTTTGCATTCGGCCTCATCAGCTCGCCATATGAAAACCCTAAAAATCGCCTCAACTCCATCTGTATAAAATTTGTGCTACAATTTAAAGCTTCTTTCCCACCTAGGATGTTCCAATGAAAATGGTAAAGGCTTGATTGAGTGGGAACGACACTGACTTGATTGAATGACACAAACCAAAATACTAGTAAGTCAGTATATCAAATTGAATGCTGCCAAAACCAAATACCATACTTGTTTAAACCACTATTATATTGCAAAAAGCCTTGAACTTTATGCATATTCATTAATCACACACAAGCACAAGAGCACAAGTTTATATACAACGGTAAAATGTCAACGAATTCCAATGTGGGAATAGAAATTTGTATAACAAATGCTAGTTATAATTGAAAAGCTATCTCAGTGCGTCAATTTATCGAACACAAAAGGGGCAGTTTGAGATGAAGTTTCGCATACAACACAACACAACACAAATCCGAGCCATTAAAAGGAGTTAGAAATGAGACTATAGACGAAGAAAACCTCGTGTAGGAATTACCTCTTGGCTTTTCTGGGAGCAAAACAAGGCTGAAGATTGATTGATAAAGTGTGGGACTTTCGGAGTGGGTGATAGGCTAATTGATAATGATAGTGAGAGACGAAGAAAGAAGTGAAGAAGAAGGCTGTGTGGGTTGGCTGGGTATTGGGCTCAGCTACAGGGTCTTGGGCTAGCTAAGGCTTGGCCGGGGAGAATAGTATAATTTTCTTTTTCTTTTCTTTGTATTATTATTGGGAACTCTTATTAAGTTATTATCGCCAAGTTTGATCGGAATTGGAAAATGTGTTCGTCAAAATTGAAAAGTAAAGGAGAATTTTTTAGTGCTGAATGATTGTGAACTTTTGATTTTTATAGCTTCCCCCCAACAACTTTTGTAAATTTTTATTTTTATACAAATGGTACAACAGCAGTAGGAGTTCTATATGCTTGCTGGCAACCACAAAGGGTTGAAAACTAGATCAATTTTAAGTATAATGTCTTAAAACTATTAAGAAATGACTTACGTTTGACTTGTGTTCATTAAAGAAGCGTCTCGTCTCGATAAGTATCTGCCAGCCAGAGAAGCACTTCTTGATCCCTCTTTCAATGATTAGTTCACTACAACAAAAAAGCACTTTTGAGAGGAAATATTTCCTCGCCACAGGTCACGATTTCCTCACTAAATTTGTACAGCAAGGAAATTGAGTTTCCCGCCCGGTCGACGTTGATGCCCTGTCGTAGAAGCCTATACCGAGGCATGCTCACGTTTCCTTGCTGAATCATTTCTGCGACGGTTTAACTTTTCCTCGTTAAAACGCTATAACGAGACATTTTATCATTGCTAAAGGTCATGTAATTTCTCGCGATAGGTTATAAACGAGGAACATATTTTTCATGTAAATTCTACAACGAGGAAACTATTTTGCCGCTAAAGCAACAAAAGCCTATAGCGAGGAATTCAAGTTTTCCATGCTACTTCATTTTTGCGGTGTCTTGAAAGTTTCCTCACTGTAGGGATTGTATAGTGAGGAAATTTGTGTTTTCCTATCAGATACTCTTGTTTATTTCATCCAATGATTCTCATGAATTCCAATATGTAAAATCATGATTTAGATCTCCATAGTCGAACGCTATGTTGTAAGAAGTCTGTAGCAAATTTTGGTGTATTTTCTAATTTTTATTTCATTTCTTATGAATTGTTTAATGTTAAAATACAATAAATACAAAGAAAACGACATGTGTCGTCATCCTACACTGCCACGTGTCATAAATGGTGAAAATAATATGGGTGACATGCTGCGAGAAAATTAATTCCTCATTAAAAGATTTCTATTACGAGGATTATATATTGTTTGTCGCTATAGGTTCGGAGGGAATTGTAACAAATTCCCACTACGCTTTTAGCGAGGAAAACATTATTGCCATGCTAATAAAAAAATGTAAAAATATGTATGACACATATTGCAAGGAAATTAGTTATTCGTTAAAAGGCGTCTGTTGTGGCGATTATATATTGTTTGTCGCTATAGGTTTGGAGGGAATGAAAAAAAATTCTTGCTACGCTTTTAGTGAGGAAAACATTATTGCGACAATAAAAAAATGTAAAACTGTGTGGGACACATATTGCGAGGAAGTTAGTTCCTCGTTAAAAGACTTATATTGGGGGGATTATATATTATTTGTCGCTCTATGCTTTTTGCGAGGAAAACATTATTGCCACGCTAATAAAAAACGTAAAAATATGTGGGAAACATATTGCGAGGAAGTTAGGGCCTCGTTAAAAGACTTCTATTGCAGGGATTATATATTGTTTGTCGCTTTACGCTTTTAGCAAGGAAAATATTATAAATTGGTGGGGAAGGAAAGAACAAAAAATAAATTGGTGAGGTTGAAGGCCAAGGAAAGAACAAAAATCAAATTGTAATTAAATGAAAATTGCAATGCAGTTTCTAGTTTCCGAAAGACCAATTTTGAGTTCCCTTGCTCTTTGGTAGTTCTACTCTTCTCTTGCCCACCCAATTACTCATCTGGGTAGCCTTTGCTCTTCAAATTGGTGAGGTTGAAGGCCAAGGAAAGAACAAAAATCAAATTGTAATTAAATGAAAACTGCAATGCAGTTTCCAGTTTCCAAAAGTCCAATTTTGAGTTCCCTTACTCTTGGGTAGTTCTACTCTTTTCTTGCCCACCCATTCCTTATCTGGGTAACCTCTACTCTTCAAATTGGTGAGGTTGAAGGCCAAGGAAAGAACAAAAATCAAATTGTAATTAAATGAAAACTGCAATGCAGTTTCCAGTTTCCAAAAGTCCAATTTTGAGTTCCCTTGCTCTTGGGTAGTTCTACTCTTTTCTTGCCCACCCCATTCCTCATCTGGGTAGCCTCTACTCTTCAAATTGTGAGGTTGAAGGTCAAGGACTAGCAAAAATCCAATTGTAATTACATTAAAACTGCAATGCAGTTTCCGAAAGTCCAATTTTGAGTTTCCTTGCTCTTGGGTAGTTATACTCTTCTCTTGGGTAGTTATACTCTTCAAATTGTGAGGTTGAAGGTCAAGGACTAGCAAAAATCCAATTGTAATTACATTAAAACTGCAATGCAGTTTCCGAACAATTTTGAGTTTCCTTGCTCTTGGGTAGTTATACTCTTCTCTTACCCACTCAATTCCTCATCTAGGTAGCCTATACTCTTCAAATTGGTGAGGTTGAAGGTCAAGGAAAGAGCAAAAATCAAATTGTAATTAAATGAAAACTGCAATGTAGTTTCCAAAACTACAATGTAGTTTGTGCAAAACTACAATGCAATTGGTCATGTCAACTCAGTATATAAAGCTCAAATAGATCCTCCACTAGGCATTAAAGTAAATATAAAACCTAAGAGATTGGTTTTCAATTCCACAGTTAAGACAATCTCCTTCACGGTAGCAGTTTCCACCTGCCAAGTGTGCACAGTATACTTTTTCGGAAGCCTGACTTAGAGCGATGGAATACATGCTGTGACAAGTCCCATATCAATGAGAACACAGATCATACTACTTCTCAGAGTAGCAATTTCAATAAGAAACATAGACAACTACTTCTCATGATGCTCTGTTTAGATGCTCAGGAAAATAAAAAAGAAACAACGAAAGAAAAGAATGAAAAAAATCAAACATACGAATACACAGTTAACTTTTTCCTAAATCCCCAGTTCTATGAAGAAAAAAAATCCATTTAACTGAGCTTAACTAGGCAAACCTTTTCACCATTTCTGGAACACTACATAACAGAAATCATATGAATCATTTTTTTTCTTGCATTACTTTTCTGGCTTTCTTGGCAACCAAATATACGACAAGTTCCCAACTTATTAAAGAAATTCACATCATATGACCAAAAAAATTCTCTATAAAAAAAAATATATGACCACAAATAAACTAAAATTAAAAAAATACCATTGGTAACCCCTCAAAATTCAAAACCCAGAACCCAATATCCAAATTGCAAATCCTAGAGTTATTGGAATCTAATAAAGCAAGAAATAAAGAGAGAGAAAAAAACAGAAAAGCACATGAAGAATTTCATTGAACCTGAAAGTATGTTTAACGAATTTGATGGCAGCCCAAAATTGGTCTTTGGTCCAATCACCATCTTCTCCAAGCAATTGCAGAGGGCAAGAGCCATTGATGAGCTTTTGAAGTAAGAAAAAGAACCTTTCATCACTTGATTAATCGAACCTAACTTTGTGTGCTGAAGAGAAAAACTTTGCTGCAGCAACCATGGTTGCCTCTGTCCCAGAACTTATTGTAACAAATTTTCCCCTCCTTACATTTTCATCTTTACCAGCTGATGATGAAACAAAGAAGCATGAACTGATCAATGAACTCAATCTTGTTGAGCCACTGCTCTCTTTCTTCTTGTCCTTGACCATCTTGCTTGTCAAATATTCGACTTGCAATATGTATCAGATGAACAGAAGTAGAATTCGATGACTATTAGGGGCTACATCTGGTTGTAATGGTGATGGAAGGCGTTGGGCAGAGTGAAGAGAGGAAGCGAAAGGTCCGGCTTTGCAGGAGGGTTTTTGGTTAGGGTTTTGGGGAGAAAGAAGAAGGTGCTGGTACCGTGATTGATTTTCCATGTCAGCTATTTTGCAAGGGTAGCTCGAGCGTAGTTTAAAGAGTCATTTAAGTTTTAAAGATGGCCAGGCTTTTTAAGAAGAAGTGTAGCATTGTCTTTTAAACTTTTATTTTTAAGCTGGCCCAATGAATCTGGGCTCTTCTTCTGAATTGAATGAATCATATAAATAATCATTTCATAAAAAAAAAAAAAAAAAAAAAAAAAAAAAAACAAAAAAAAAACTAATTCTTTGATGTAATTGATGTGGCATATACCACATTTCTATACCATATTGTGTACTATCTCTCTAATATAGGTGGAGCCCACCAATATAATGGGGTCCACCTCTATTAAAGATGTGATACATAATGTTGTATAAAATGTGGTAAGCTTAGCATTTTCTATCTTAATAATGAGACAACCATTTAATTTGAGTGAACGATACCTACCATATATTTGCACAAAACGACAATGGCAAAGTCAGTATTTCATATGTGAGGGGGCCTCTTACAAATATTTATAAAAAAAATTCGCACTCACAATACATTCCAAAGTAACCGAAAAGAACAAAACATCATACATAATACATAATAATGAAATCTTTATACTTTTTTTTTTGCTTTGGTAATCTACAAATTAATTGAAAGATTCATTGAACTCAATAGAGAATAATTCAAATTTTCACAAACCCTAACAAATCATAGGCAAAGAGAAAACAATAAAAAAAATTAGAGAAAGATTAACAATCTTAATTAAGTAAGTCAACCCAATTGAATCTTGATAATTTGGCAAGAAAAACTTGAAACTTAATGATATATTATATAGTGAATAAGAGTTAAAGAGAATAAATAGTCACAAATCTAGAAAAATGGGTGAAAATGACTCTTAGATTTGAAGGACTTGTGTACAAAGAATAATATGTATACTAAACTTTTAGAAAATTGATAAAAAAACATGAAAAATAAATGTAAACTTGAAGAGACCCTAGCAATATTAGAAGTATCATAAAAGATATTAATAAAAGATATTTTTTAATATAAAAATAAGGGGGGCTTGGGACCACACTAGTCCCTTGGTGGCTCTGTCCATGCTGAACGATACATACATATGGTAGATATACCCACCCCTAACCACCATATATGACTGTACTTAGCGGAACGAAACGCAGTCTTACAAACCCTAGACTTATCTTAAACCCTGGACCGTGTAATATTACACAGTAAAATGACAATACTTTTTATCATTCATCTTTTCGCCTAGCAATTGTCCACAATGGTGATAGAGAGAGTCATAGATATCGATGTTATTTATCACACTTTGTATATGTTAACTAAGAACGACTTTGAAATGCAAGAATTTTTAATTATCCTCTACAATTAATGCACATTGAAAAAACGCAAAGAAGATTCTGCTAACTAATATCTATGACTCATAATCATAAATCACATGCAAATAATCATAAACACCATTTCAATTAAATAAAAAAAAACTCATAAATCATCATCAGTTGGAAAATTGAGTTTGAGACTTACTTGAAGATTGGAAATTTTGAAAAATAATGATAGGGTTCGCTACGGCAGGTGGTTGGGTCGGGATTGGGGGTTAGGCCCATCTCCAGCCATGGGTTATATTCCAAATATAGCCTTAAAATAATGCAAAACCCATCTTCAACCACGGGTTTAAACAAAATTTTGGTCAAATTTGGAGAGCCACATTTGGTCATTTAGCCCTCCAACCAGGCCACATTTAGCCTAGCTTTGGCCTAGGCCAAATTTTTTTTGGGTCCCATGCATGTGCTTTTGAAGAAGATAAATTATCAAGTGTGGGCAAGAGCACGAATCATCTCGTGCAAATGCATATCCGACAACCAACAATAAAAGCGTTGACGTCATCAATATATTTTCAAAAGTCTTTTTAAATGTTTCAATTCGTGTTGTTTATGAAAAATTTATAAAAAATTATTGGTCATGACCATTGGAGGTCATACTATTGAGACCCAACCATTTTTTTTTATTTTTACATATGGTCACCTTTTAAAATGTTTTCAATTCATAAAAAAATTATAAAAAATTACTGGTCATGACCGTTGGAGGTCAGACCATTGAAACCCATACTTAAAATAAAATAAATAAATGTGGTCACCTTTTTAAATGTTTTCAAGTGTTGTTCAAAAAATATTGGTCATGGAATATTGTCTCTAAATAGTAGTTTAATTAAATTAAACAATACATAGTTGTAGAATGCATGAGTGTTGTACCATAGTTTTTCTCAAAATAATAAAATATGATGGACCCTAAAATATAGCCCTACATGGCTGGAGATGGAAAAATTTAGCCACGCACTATTCTTTAAAAAATTAATATGTTGGAGGGCTAAATATTTTGCCCTGGACTATATTTAGCCCTATGACTAGAGATGACCTTAGTGTTTGAGGATTTGGGGATTTTGGGAAGTTTAGAATCGCGTTGGGGAAATGTCCATTTTTTTTCTTTTTCTTTTCTTTTTCAGTATGACCTAGCTCGAAACGATGTCGTTTGGTTCAGGTTATTAAAAAAACATGTTTTTATCACAAATGGTCCCTGCATTTTGTCAAATTATCATCTTTGTTCAGTTATTTTTTTTGCTTGTTTATGGGCATTATTGGTCATTTATGTTACACCTCACATATCCATCAATTTGGTAAATTTAGCTTAACCTTCAAAGTCATTTTTCCTCAACTACAACCTATATCTTTATTTTGTTTGAATAAAATCCTATTTTTCTAAATAAAACCCGATGACTATGATCCAACTTGGCAAGTTATTTTTGATTCCTAAAATACCCCCCAACTAAGCCATTATTGCATTTTGTATATTAATGTAGGAACCAATATAGAAGTAATTTTTAATTGGATTGTAACTAATAACACAAGTTGAATTTGAAAAGATCCCAAATGAATGTAGAAATTAATTTGGCAACTTTTTAAAATTTAACAATAAGATTTAACATACCTAATCGGTTTATTGAATAAAAATTGTTTTTATTTATTTATTTATAAAGTATACGCGATTAATTATCTATTTTATTATTCTTTTATAATATAATAGTGTACATACAATTTTATGTTGAAAAAATAACATACCTATTACTTCTTTTACAAAAAATAATGTACCTAATATGAATTTACTTATTATTCAAATAATATACCCAACTTTAATAAACGCATTTTGGATATAATTTACCTAACAATTTCCTATTATGCAATAATATAGCTTGTAATTTACCTATTATGTGGATATTGTAGGTATATCAAAGCCAACTCATTTATAGGTATATTGTGAAAATAATTACCTACTCATATTGGATATATACAAGACATATAGGTAAATTTGTAGGTATATTATATTGTATTGATAATAATTTACCTATTATATTTTGTTGATAATATTTTATTGGGACGAAATTTGAGGGAATTTTTTTATTTTTTAAAAATTTAAGGATTTTTTTTATTGGTTGAAATTTTAGGTATTAGAGGGAATGCTAAAAAAAAATAAAATAAAAATTACCAGAGTCATTGATATGCTATAAATGAGGAAGTATTAATTAGAAATAAGGGACTTAATGACATGCTTGAAATAGTCAGGTTGATTTATCTAAAGTCTAGTGGCAAACAATATACATATGTAGGAGTACTATGACCTTTTATATTTTACGGGGCATTTTAATTTTAATTTGGGTTTTATACATAGATTTCAAAATTAATGGGTTGATGTCTAGGAAATAGAAATTATAGGGGCCTATATTAGACCAGCCCTAAAAAATATTAAAAACTGAAGAAAAGAACTAGGTAGGAGCTGGGGATGGGTCTTGGGTCCCTGGATTTCGGGTCTATGCCTGCAGCTTAGGGATGGCATAAATCCGCGTTGGACCGGGTCCCCAACCCTAATATGGGAGATTTTGGGAAAAAATCAGGGATAGGTACGGGGATCCTTGAATGCGAAAATCCCCGGTCGAGGATGGGCCAGGAATGGTATTATTATCTTCATTCCTATACCCGGCCCGATAAGTAATGCATTTATTTTCAATCAAAATATAATATAATATACTATAATCAATCACTATATTCGGAATCACACACATAACAAGTATCTTCCGTCCTTAGAATTACTCACAATCAAGTAAGGCAACCTTTTAGGAATTGGAAACAAGAATTGCTTGCTTTATATATATTATATATATATATATATATATTATATATATATATATATGTATAGAGAGCTTCCATTGAGGGATCCCTCAAATAAATTATTTGAGGGACACCGCTTGTAGGGCCCACTCCGGATTGTATTTCACTAATCCAAACCGTCTATTTTGTAGATACTCATTCAAAGATTATCTCTACAAAAAATCACTTGAATCTGATATCATTTGACCATTCAATTGAGTTATTGAAATTTTAGTACTTTTTTGAAGCACCGTGTTCATTGATTTTGTATCACACAATTGGATATCGAAACGGTTTCCGATTTGTCTAATTTTTTGTAAGGATGATCTATGAATGAAGACCTAAAAAACAGATGGTTGGATTATTGGAAAATTGTAGGATACCCTAAAGGGCATCCCTCAAATAAAATATTTGACGGATCCCACAATAGAAGGGGTATATATATATATATATATATATATATATATATATATATACAGAGAGCTTCCATTGAGGGATCCCTCAAATAAGCTTATTTGAGGAATACCCCTTGTAGGGCCCACTCCAAATTGTATTTTACTAATCCAAACCGTCTATTTTGTAGATACACATTCAAAGATCATCTCTAC